TATTGTTACCAGTTTTTACTCCGGTGCGCTGCCAAGATGAGACAATCTAGCGTGATCCACCGGTGGGTCACCCCGGCGTGAACGTGTTAATGACATCAAGGGAAACAATTTTGACGAAAACTTCTTGACCAGAGAAGTTCATCATTTTATGTAAGTCACCAAAGGCACCAGAAACAAGCTTGTCGATACACACTGAGTGGCTTCTAAGATTTATAAGGCGTCTGTTTTTTGTTGGTTTTGCTGCCCTAATAAATCAGGGGTCATTGTTACTTCTTGACCCAAATCATGATCACTTTCATCAAAATGATCACCCATTCCTCAATCTTTGCGAAAACGGAGGAAAAAAATTTCCCAAATCAATTTCAATTTGCTGTTAAGCAAGATCTCTGGAACACAATCAATCTTGAAAGTACAAGTTAGAATGATGAAAATTGATTCAGCAAAGTATTTATTCCAGTTTTAAATAATGAATTCAAGTTATTGTTCATGATTTAACAATCAAATTTTAATTGTTAAGGAATTTTTAAATTTTCTATACAATGGAATCTCTTGATTACACTTTCTATTGTTAAAAATAAAAATCTGAAATTCATTGTCAGAAGACAGTAAATTATATAAAGTCAGAAATTTATACCGCTAATATTTTATCACTGAAATGCTAATTAAAATTAATATTTTAATCAAGCTAAAAATATTTTGATGCTCATAAAATCTGCATATAAATATAAAAATGCATAACAACCATATTGTATCGAATTAGAATCCTTGTTAAAAATGAATTTAAAAAAGAGCATTCATTAGAGGGCATAATAGTTAAGCACGAAAAAATTAAAGACATTTATTAAATCTTTTAGAGCATCTCTGTGAGGAAAGCGAACAAAAAATAAACCAAAATATGTTTGATTGCTACGAAATTTAAAATCCTTTCTTAAAATTACCTCTTTAACTTCTCTTTGATTTCTCCAACTATTGAAAGGTTCTTACATTTCAGTAGTGATTTGCAGAATGCAATGATTTCTTCCGCATTTAATGATTTTACCTCATTTCTCCACTAATTTGCGACCCCTAATGAGCATATTTTTTTACTTCAATTTTGACTTAAATGGAAAAAATATATATTCTGAGCAATGATTATGGAACACCGATTTTTTTTTTACTTTTACAGTTTAAACTATTTCAGCTTTCATTTGTTTGTTTTGCTAAGTGTGTTCTTTCCAGCCCATCTTTAAATTTTTCGCTTTCATTTTTTCGTTCATTGTTTTCATTTCCGTTAAGTTCATTGATTTTAGATTCTACTTGCTCTGAAGCTGTCTTTATTACAACATTTAAGAAAAATTGAATACATTTTTATTTACAATCGCATTGTATTTAACTTGTAGAAATTAACGATTCTATTGGCACACTGAAACAAAATTGGCACACTAGATTTAAGAATATTGGCGCCCTACAATTGAAACATACGACTTTCTCACTTTGCGCTGCTACGCGTAAATTTTATCACGATATTTTCGTTGATAGGAAATTATCGGCAATCAAAACTGTAACCACTTTAACCCTTTAACGGGCCCTTTATTTCTAGTAAAGGTAAATTAAAGTATTTCTGGAATTGAAATTGTTTTAAGAACAGTAATTGATATTAAAAAAAACCCAACTCATTTAGTTTATAAACTGCCATTTTTTGGTGGTAAATATATTTAACATGACCTATTAGGAACTTACTGCCTTTTATTTTTCTTTATTTATAAAATAAATTCCTTAAATGCTACAAACTTCAAAAGGAATTATGTATTTTATAACTTTTATACGTTTTTTAAAAGTGACAAATGGTTACCAATTTTATTCAAACTCACTTCAAGAAAGCTGAAGTTATTGAAAAATGGAAACCTAAATTAAAAGTGGTAAAATGTGGTGGTAAGTATACTTACCACGGCCTTCAAAAGGGTTAAATTAGCTAAAACTCTACAATTTTGATTGGAACTCTCTTTCGGATGTCATTGCAAATTTCAATCGTTTTCTAATCGCTAAAAACAGAATTTTATCGTCATATTATCGCAAATTAAAATATATTGTCAATCAATATATCGACCAATTTCTTGACTTACTGAAAACTTAAAGTTTTAACTGCCTCTCTGTCCCTGACAAAAATATAAGCTTCAACTTCTTGACAGTAACAAGCAGAATAATCGTTATATTATCGCTAAAATGAAATTATCATTAATAGAAATTTCGACTTGTTTCTCGACTTAAGTTAAAGTTGCACTGGAGTTCTATGCTTTTTAAAAATATAAGACTCACTGGTTTCCTTTCCACTATAAAAATAATTCATTGGCAAACAGAATTTATCGCTGATCACAATTCTAACGGCTTAGTGACTACTGTCCGATTTTTAACTTATGTTCTGTACCTAGTAACAGTAAAAGTTGCAATCGTTTCGTAATTCTACGAAAAAAACGTATCACTAATAACAATTTCTTCTACAAATAAATTACTTTCCGAGTAGCTATATCGCTTAAATTAAAATTAGATCTCTGTATCTGATGCCACTTATGTCAAATTAAGTTTTTTTAAAGTGCAAAAGTAAACGAATATGCACTTCTGATAAAATAACAATCGAATAACCTGAAATTTTATTTTAGGTTCGGCTTCTTCTTCTTCTTGTTCAGAAAGGAAAGGGGTATATGAAATTATTTCAGATTCGTACAACGTTGTTGGCAATATTCAATACCACAAATGTTGGAAAGTATTGAATCCGGCGAAGAATGTAATTCATTTTCGTCTAAGGGAACTGCGTCTAATGACAAAGGTGTGGTAATTATTTTCAGCATTAATTAACTGTGTTTGAATCAATTTTTATGAGAAATGTACAAGAAAGAAAATTATAAATAAATGAACATCATAGAGTTTTTTACTAAGTACACTCCAACAGAGTGTTTGCTTCGCAGATCCTCTCTGATTATTCTATAATTATCATTTAGAATAAATAAAAAAAAACATGAAAAAGTCTTAGAATAGTCTTAGTCCTCTGTTCTTAAATGCATTAATGATAGTCTCAACAGGGACTTTATCAAACTCACCTTCAATGTCAATAAATATTGCAAGAGCAACCTCCTTATCTGAGATAGTTTTCTCAAGCATGAAGAAGAGCTCAAATAGCAGTGCTCTCCTTCATGTATAAGAGCAATATCTAATTCTCTATCATTTAACCTTTTAGCCATAAGGCTAGAGGCAACAATGCTATGATGGAGATTGATTTGACCAACCTTGAGTGTTGCCACAATTGGTTAGCAATATGAGTAACACCAGAATGGCACCTACCTATCCGGGTTAGCTTTAGAGGAAAGATCTCCATCTAACAGCTCTATTGCTTCATCAATACCAAGCATTGAAGCTGGTGAGTCAGGTTGTAAAGTTACGCCTGACCCAGAGCCCAAACCCAGCACCGAAAAATCAAGAGACCCAATTGAACTTACCTTGGAATCAGGGGAATTAGCCTTCCAAGGTTCATCCTCCTGATCTATTTCCTTCTGGTCCTAAGGTTCGACAGAAAGAACATCCGATGTTGTTGGAGCCTCTGCTGCCTTTTTCTTGTTAGGATCTTGGATAATCTAAAAGACGCCCCGATCCAAAACCAGTGATTGCACAATAATTGACCCTCACAATATCTTCCATGTCTTCAGGCTCAACCTCAAAGATCCATCTAGAGGTGCCCGGTCCCGAAGCATTCTGCAGAACCCTCCACCCCATAGACTTCAACCCTGGGATCAGTCTCTGAAGACGCCACAAAAAGGTGCGCTGATCAGAGAATTGTTCTCTGGTCTTAAAGGCCACCTTCACAGGCTTGGGTAACTCATCAGCGCCTATAACTTTAAGTGTGAGGTCATCCAAGGATCTGTCATTAAAGTGGCCGCTAATCCACTCTACCGTGTACTCATTACACTGTATTACTAACGCTACTCTTAGTAGGTTGTTGTTGTAGATATCAGGCATTCTTTCTCCACCGGGAATGGCGTCAGTCTGCGTTAAGATACACTATCCCCCGAGTGTCTCTGGAGACCAGAGACTCCTGCAGAGGAAGGGCCTGTGCTTTTGCATAGCTCTCCTGCTCTCGGAGGAAGCTGCAAAGCAGTGGTATTAGCACTGGGCTCACCAGTGGGCTTACCATGTGCTATTGGAGACTGTAGTTAACTTTTCGAACAGGAACCTCTACCGAATTCCGGAACGCACTCCTTGTTAATCGGTGCGACGGATAAGGCCGTATCTCAAGCTTTATTTGTGCTCATCATGATGTTAGTCTGCCATTTAGTTATCCAGTGAGGGGTATCCAGGGGGCACCACGTGGAGGCGACAGGCATTACCCCCCCCCAATATGGTCATCATAAGAGCTTGATTTTGCAACATCTTTTCTGTGCATTTTAGTTGTGCAAAACCATTTAAAAATTGCATACATATTTCACAAAGCAACAGAAATATAGGCATTAAAAGAGCTTGATTTTTGACACATCTTTTCTGTGCATTATATCTGTGCAAAAACCATTTACAATTACACATAAATTTCGTAAATCAAGAGAAATATAATCATCAAAAAAGCTTCAATTTTTGACACATTTTCTCTGAGCATTTTAGCAGTGTTAAAGCCATATAAAATTGTATAAATATTTCTTATTCTACTTTATGAGAACATTGGACAGCAAAAATGAAATAAATGACACAATGAAAACAAATCTATAAAAAAATTAAAAGAAAATCATAAAAAATAATCACTAAAATAAAACAATAAATAACAATAGGTTATTCTAATGCATGTGAATGTTTTTTTGCAGCCCCTGATATCTGGCAACTTAACAATAATGGTGAAAGATGTAGGAAAGAACTATACGTTTTGGTCTGAATCAAAATCTGGAAATATCACAACCACGTCGAGTGTCATAGAAATTCATTTCAAAGTGAATTCTGCTAGTTTCCCAGGCAACTATAAAGCCAACTTCACGTTGGATTTTGAAATGGGTGAGTATTACTTTTTGAGGAAGCAAAATTCATTTCGATTCGTGAAAGGTATCTACTACAATCAAAGAAGTAATTTCACTATCAGATTAGAGAGATATGCTTTGACAGACGGTACTATGAAACTTTATTACCGCTTCCAATCCGGAACTAAAATAACTCCATTCAGACGATAGTAGAGAAACCCGACTGGTTATGAATTCATTCTACGTGTTAAGGTTCCACTGTGGACTTAATCGTAAGGCAACTATAAAGCCAACTTCACGTTGCATTTTGAAATGGGTGAGTGTTAATTCGCTTTGTAAAGGCTGTTTGCTACGATTGTAGCGAAGCAATTTCATATGGTAGTATATTTCGATAGGCGGTCAGTTGATTGCAATAAAACTTTTTCAGTATCGTTAGACTATCGACATCATCTTGAAAATAAGTTTTTTCATATTGTTATACAAGCAGGGATAATTACTTGCTACGCTTCGTGGATCCATTTTACCTTGTGGCAGTAAAATTTATGTTTTAATAATGATTATTTATTAAATATGATTTAAATAATAAGTTATTTTTGTACCAATTACTTCGATTTGAAGATTTGCAATTTTGAATTGTGTTGTGAATTTTAATTATTCACTAATTTTTAACCTTCAGTTCTCCGTTTTCACCTGTGAGGTGACATAGAAATATAGAAATCAACTTTTCTAAACATATCATACTTTAAATTAATTTTCTTACTTTAACTTTCAGCAGCACTGCTCGTTCGTGTGGCCACTTTCACAATTTAGACATGCATTTGAAGGGGAAGGAAATTGTCTCTAGATCCCTATACCCGTGGTACTGCTCAGCGACCTATCACTGAACTTTTAACCACTCAGATTTTATGATCACGTATCATGTTCTCAGTAGGTCTTAGCGGATGTGAAAATAAAACTCCAGCCTTTTTTGGTACAAAGGCCGATGCTTAACCACTAAGTAATCATATCTTTGGTCTATATGACGAATTTTAGAAAGAAGTTGGATTTTTCTCATTCTTATTCCATTCCAGTAATCTGAGCAGCCGGTTATAACGATGTGCCGAAGAAATGATTAATTAGAGGTTTAGCTCTAAAACGATAATGAAAAAGCTCTTCTTGTATGACAGTTGTAAATCCCCGGTGTGGCTTATAATTTTTTTTTCATTCTGTGATACATGTTAACAAATCTATATTTTGTATTGTTTCATCGCTAACTGTGGATATAACTTTGAATTTCCGTAAAATGAGAATATGTTTCAACAGATCATACCCTACAAACATCTGATTTACATTTGTCATTAAAATCGCATTTTCATATCTATGTATTTTATAGTTAAAGATTAGAAGTAATGATAATTAACTCTCGCACGTTTTTATTTCAGAGGTTGGCATTACAGGCGTGGAAGATGTCAGCTCAAAAGTAATAACTTGGCTAAAAAATCAACGTTCTCCTTTGCTGGATTGCTGAGCAAACACGTTGAAAGCCATAATTGCTTTATATTTAGAGGGAAATGCAACATATGACGGAACAGATGTGAGAGAAGAATTGTTAATCCGGCGAGCAGAGTGTTTCGTTTCTAGAGCTTTGCAGAGGTAAGAATAAGTTTCTTTTGTAGAAATTTGTTTTTTTAAGACACAAAATGTTTAACGAAAATGTAAGAATTGGAGTATAAGTAATGCGTGCTAACCAGTTGCGCCACTGGGGATTTTAATAACAAATAGGATCCATTTCGGCTTCGGACTAATCGTGGGAGGTTATTGGTTTCTTCTCCATGCTGGTTAGTTCTTTTAAAAAGTCCTGCCCCGAAGGATAGTTTGATCCAAGAGTTTCCTAGTCTTCTGGGTCCCCTTTGAATCTGACAACCAGTAACGTGATTTTAATAATCTCTTCTAAAACATCCAGCAACGCCCGCTTTACGTACATTACAGGTATATGGTTCTGTTCTAATATGTTTTCACATAGTTTCATATCCAAATTAATTGACATGTTTTCAATGCATGTTAATGAATAGTCATAGATTTTCCTTAAACTTTTGTTGTTATATGTAACCTGGAACAGTGGTTTCCTTTAACTATTAATTAATAGCCCTTCCTCACTGTGCTTATTATAATTTGTGTTTCATTTCCAGCAATGCAATTTCAGAAATAGAATTGAGTTCTTACATCAATTTTCTGCTAGTGACCTGTAATTCCCCTCGCCATTTTGCTTCTTATGATTTAATACAGCTGTTGCAAAATAAGTTGGAATCTTCTGGTAATTTTACACATCCTTCAGTCTACTTGGCTCTGTGTAATGCTAATGAAAAATGGCCACAAAGAGCTGTATCTGACCTCACAAACGTGTTGACCAGCACATCTGAATACCTCTTTCTCAAAGGTAATAATTGGAATTTATTTTGTTGTATCAAAACTATGCATATGGAAAATGTACTCTAAACTAAGCGTATATGTCGACTTTTCTTTTTTAGGTGGGGGTTTAAATGCAAAATATGTATTATTTATTTATTTTTTAGTTTAAATAATGTGATTTTGTTCACCACTAGGCTTACAAATAAATAAAAAAATTCTATTAGTAATAGTAAATTAAAAATGGTAGAAAATTCACATCAGTGCTAGTAAAAATCGCTTTTTTATGTTCCACTTTATCTTTACTGGTGTAGTGGGAAAATATTTGCATGCAGATATATTTGCCTTAAATAACAAATTGTGTTTGCCACCAGCATATTGAAGTATCATAACTCGCGTTCTTTTTGATTACCGCGATTAAATCTTGCTACATGGGAATTTTGTATATTATTACTAATGCTAGAAAAATAATTTTTTTTTAAGACATTACTTCAATGTTTAAAAGTCTGATATTAAAATATTTGCATATAGATATATTTTCTTTAAAAATTAACACAGTGTTAGGCCACAAACGTATTAAACTATCATAGTTTGTATTTTTTTGTTACCACTATTGATTTTTTTAAGATCCCCTGTATATGTAAACATCTGACAATTTAGCGTTCAGCTCTATTTGATTTAGAAAGTAAAATATTTGCATACAGATATCTTTTCTTTAAAAATTAACACAGTGTTAGGCCACAAACGTATTTTGTATTTTTTGTTATCACTATTGATTTTTTTAAGATCCTCTGTATATGTAAACATCTGACAATTTCGTGTTCAGTTCTATTTGATTTAGAAAGTAAAATAGTAATTTTTATTACTACTTAATATAATGAAAAATATAGAAAAAAACGCAAATAAAGAGACAGAAATGAACCTTGTATAGTTTTATGTTCTATTAACAAGAACCTTTCTCGGTATCTAAACCCCAAATTATATTACAAAAATGTAACTAGAAAAACGTGAACATATTTTAGAGGCACGATAAACGAAGGCGCGTGAAGCAATCAGTTATTGGTTTGGAGGAAAGATTGTGCGAAGAGAGTGAAACTAACAATGATTTTTTATAATTACGACTAAGAAGAATGGAAGGAAAACGCTTATTATTTTCTTGCTCAAATGTGAATTGAATGTAAAGATTCGTAGAATTCCTTTTAGTTTTTCTATTTTTCTTATGAAAAACCTATCGTACCCCTGTAAGAAAAGCGACACAAATCAAAAAACAACAATTTTGTGTTTATGTCAATAAAAAATATGCATGAAGTGCCCCATCAAGCTCAAAAAGTGTCACATCTCTTATTCGCAAGGTATCCAGCTGAGGGCAGTTGTGTCAATTTCAGAATAAATTTCATAGTATTCTTTAAGTTGATTTTTCTGAAATGCTGCATTTTAGAGTTATGACACTGTTCTTGCCGGGGTGCGATATGGTACAAATTTGAGACTTCTATATTGGTAAATACATGCTATATAGTTCTATGCTATTAGCCATTATTTTATTGCGAATCAGACTTAATTATCCCAGAATGACTCAAATCATTACAAAATATCTAAATGAAACTTTTTCAATTTCTACCTTGTAGTAGTCAGTAAATTTGAACATGTGAAACAAATGAATTTGAGACATCTATTTTAATGGTACAAAATTTTAGTGGCACCGATAACTACAAAATATCGAAATGAAATATTTTTAACTCTTTCTTTATATCCGATAAAAAAAACAGTCCAAATCTGGGACTCCTATCTTGGTAAAATTGTGCTATTTTATTTTACTGCCACTTTTCCTAATTATCCCCATTATTGCAATATCAGAATTATTTATGTCTTCTATGATTTCAGATATACAATCTTTTGCATTAATGGCTATCTCTTGCCAAATGAATTTCCTTACAACATCCGAACAACAACGTTTATTTCCAATCTACAGGAAAAGTATTTCAAACTTGAAACAGAAGCAACTATCAGACGGTAGTTTCGGAGGTATTCACGAAACTGCCATTGCTGTACAGGTAAATGCTGATACTATAACCACATTATTTGGATTACTATGCCATTGTTGCTAAGACTATGATAACTGAAAACTATAAAACGGGCGTCGTTTTTACCCTTTTAACAATTCCATGCTCGTATTTATTTCGATTCTAAAAAGGATATGGTGGTAAAAGTGTTATTCCCTTCCTTGCATTGTCAAGACAATGAAAACATATTTGTCTCCATCATATTCAGTGTTCATATGGTACTTAAAAAAATATAAAAATAAGAGGTCACTATCATAATAAAAAAGCTACAAAGTTTTTACAGCATGTTCAATTTTAAAATTAATATTTCGAAATCAATAATTCGTAACAAAATATGTTTGTTTGGAAATACAAAATGTTTCGGAAATTGAAATTGTGTAGTTCAATAAATAGTTAAAACTAATTAATTACCATGTTTAAGGTCACGCCTTTGAACCATTTAATTAGGGAAAATCTGATTATCAAAGCAAAACTAATTTAGGGTGATGTCTCTTTTATTTTGCGAACTATGCATATTTGAAACGATGAGATATTAAAACAAAAACAAGCAGCGCCACAAAACGGAGAGGGTCAGGGCTGGATTACCCATTAGGTCAGACTAGGTCAAGGCCTCGGACCCACTTAAAAAAATATTTTTGAAAATAAATTTAAGAAAAACAATTATTTTTTTAAAAAAAAATCAATTTCAAATATATATTAATATAATACGATAATTTTTTTAGTTCTAATTTAACAAAATAAAGTAAAATTTAATTCATTATTATTTATTTTTACTTTAAATATGCTTTCTTAACACGTTCACCCGGGGTGACCCACCGATGGGTCACGCTAGATTGTCTCATCTTGGCAGCGCACCGGAGTAAAAACTGGTAACAATAAATTTCATTTTTTAGTTTTTTTCCGGGAATAATAAAAATCCATAACTACCAATTGTTTTTAACGGATGCAATTTTTATATTGAATTGCTTCTCCGCCATGATAAATTTCCTTACAGTGAATTGTTATTGTTGAGAATAGATTAACTCCTCCCGAATATTATCTAATATTGAAATAGTTCTTCTACCAGTATTTTCACTTTTCCCGGCGTGAACGTGTTAAATGAAAAGATATATAAATACTTTTATATCTGAATAAATAAAAAATTTAATCTAAGGTCCCCAAAAACTAGTATGGCCAAGGGCCCTGGAGAGGGTTGTAGTAAAACTACTGAATTTGGGATTTAGTATTGCTGCAGAGATACCAGAGGGGATTTAAAAAAGTAAGAAATGGTAGAAAATAAAATCTTTTTAATCTTAGCTAACACTATTACTTACATTAAAAATTATTCTTATTTAAAGAGAAAACATTTCAATAGTAAACTGAAAGAACAATCCTAGAAAACGTTTTTAATTTTAATACATCTTTACTTTTTACTGGTCACCACTTTTTATATTTTTAGATCGCACAAGGCATCCCTAATCCAGCTAAAAATAGTAATTTATTGGAATGTTAATAAAGCTACTAAATTTGGGTATAAAACTTTCAAAATATAAATCCTCACCATCATTTTCTATATTATTTTGGCGTAGAAAATATTACTTTAGTAACAAGTTTGCAGCTATTTCTTACGATACGGTCTCGAAATTTCTCTAAAATAGTACATTAAAGGAATAATGAAATTTATTTCTTTAATGTACAGTTTTTATTTCTTTTCTTTTTTAAGACATTAATATCCAGTGGAGATGAACTGGCATATGACTGGAATTCACGTGCAACAGTCAGATACATAACAAATCAACTGAGTTCGCCAAAAGTAGATTTTCAAGCTGTCTACCTGTCGCTTCCACTGTTAAACAGAAAAAGTCTTGCTGATATTGCTAAAAGGAATTGTTCAGGAAACCCGAGAAATAATAATGGTAATTAAAAATCATCATTCAGTAAATTAACAAATTTTTCATTTTTTTTAAAGTGAGTCGTCGAAGAGCTTTTTATTCTGGACTTATCTCAAAATGAATATTCCCGAAAACTGCCGCAGTTCGAAATGGACAATTTGACTAAATTTACTCCAGTCTTTTGATTTCCAAATTATGCAAAGATTCATTTCTTCAGAAAAAAAAAACTAGACAATTGTAGAAATTGGAAGAAAAGGAGGAATTTCGGCAAATCAGAAATAGCTTAGAGATATATATAATAAAATAATTCTTATTTCAGCAAATAAAATGTAATATGGTATGAAAAAATTTAAAATATTCATATTTACTGACTCATCTTTGTATAACAAGTAGATAGTGTTTTTAAACAAATTTTCATTACGCTCTGTTCATGGTGGACTAAAAAACATAAAATTTCGATACAGTGCATTATAAAAATAATTGTTGAATTTTGAAAAATGAAAAAAAAAAGGATTCAGTCTTTCTAGCTTAAAAAGTTGTTGTTTTTTTGTATAAAACAAAATGAAAGTGTTATAAATTAGTTAAATAAATCTTTTGCACAGTAAATTGTTACTTTAATAAGAAGGCAGAGCACTAAATGTAAATGAATTTTAGTTATAGAACAAGTAAATTTTCTATAAGACTTTGAGTGTATTCAATATACGGGGGATAGCCCTTATATAGCCCCCTATAATAAATTGGAAACTGTCGCTGAATAACTTTGAATTATCAAACAAACAAAATTTTTAAGTTTCACTATATTTTGAGAGTAAAGTCGCAGTCCTCATAAGATTTAAATATCATCACTTACATTGTTGACATAGTTGAAATATATAGTTTCAACCAAAAATACACGTAAAAAGTCATAACTCTCTCACATTTTTAATTTTATTAGTAAAATTTGACCCTTGAATATGTAATAATAATTTGCTGTATATATTGATACAAATCAATAATTGCCAAGGTGGAGGATTAGTAAGAAACATTTTCTTACTGGTAGTAATATTTCCTTTAAATCATAAATTTAAAAAAATGGCGTACTGATTACCAAAAATTAATAACGCAAACACATTAATCCTTAATCTATTTGCCAGGTAGTTACGATTTTAAATATTGGTGAAATAGCTTAATTTTTTAAAATTATTTTTATTTTACTACCACTTTCTATACTCTTCGATCGTGCATATTGGTAGCTATACTAAATCCTAATGAAGCCCTGACTCACGACTAGAGGAATGAACGCATCGCATCCTGGCAAGAAAAGTTACATAAATCAAAAAATTGCTATTTTGAGGAAATGTCAATAAAAAATTTGTATGTAGAGCTCCATCAAGCTCAAAAAGTGTCACATCTCTAAGTTTGTGTCAGTTTTGCGTCTGTTTCAGAATAAGTTTTATAGAATTCTTTAAGTTGATTTTTCTGAAATGCTGCATTAGAGTTATGACACTGTTCTTACCGGGGTGTGACATGTATACAAAATAAAGATTTTAAAAAATTCCTTACAATATTGCAGAAGATCCGGTGCATGACTTCGCAGGATCTAAAATTGAAGTGCCAAGTGATCAAGTTAGATATTCCCTTTTCATCGGAGATAAGAAAGAGCTGATACGTACCATAACCTTTCGAATCCCTGATAATTTCACAGCTTATCAAGTAATGTTGATGGCAGAAGTACAAGATGTAAAATATAAGTAAGTTCATCCAAATGTATTAATATAGTTACATACAATAAAAATGAAAATTCATTACAGATGGTTAAATATTTTTTTAAAACTGGCAGGCTCTGTCCCTTGTTTGCTTCGCTCACAGATCATCGTTATTAATTGTTTGTTTTTCTTAAAGGTCAACATTTTATTAATAAAATATACACCGAAGAGCCATTACATTATGGCCATCCTCCATCTATAACAATGGGCTCGCCCAGGTTTTCATGGTTTCTCGCCCAGGAACAATGTTTTCATGGGGCACATTAGGACACATAATCCTCATAGAACAATCCCTGACGTCTGTAAGCTACTTAAACATAGTTGCAGACCAGGTTCACCCACTCATAGCAACAGTTTTCCCTGCGGGGGATGGTGTTTACCAACAGGGTAATGCACCATGTCATAAGGGTCGAATCGTCATGGATTGGTTCGAGGAACATTCCAGTGACTTTCAAGTCATGACATGGCACCCCAAAGTCACCTGACCTTAATCCAATAGAACATTTGTGGTCCTACTTGGAAAACCAAATCCGTGCTGCCACTCTACCCCCTCGCAATGTGAGGGAATTGCAGGACCAGTTGGTGAGCTCTTGGTACCAGATACCTCAGACTGCCTATCAGCACCTTGTGGAATCAATGCCACGGCGGGTGCTTGCAGTTTTGAGGGCTAAAGGTGGTCCTACATGTTATTAGCAGGGTGGTCATAATGTAATGACTCTTCGGTGTATAATTATAGTAGTTTTATGTAAGAATATTTTGACGCACTTAGGTTTGTTTTAGTAAAAAAGCATTTAATTGCCTGGATTACCTGAATTTGTAAAATAATAATCTGTACGTGGAGAAAAAAAATTAACCTATGAAATAAAAATCGTGTGACTAAATATGAGAAAATAAATGAGAAGTACTTTTTTACTCGTTAATGAGAATTGTAACAGCGCATATATAGGTAATGGTGTTCAATCTTATTTGTTTTAAATTTTATTTTCAAAAATTTGAATCTAAATGTTAAGATTTTTTTACTAAAAGCATCTAACCTCTCACCCACATATTATTTCGTCATTTTTGACAATAATTTTAAGGGTGAGGTTATAAAAATAAGGAAATCGAAAGAGAAAATGAATTTTTCTTCAACAATTGATAAATTATCAATATTTAAAGCAAAAAATACTGAAAAATTCACGAAAAAAATCTCTGAAGTTTCAGTAATTTTCGTACAAATTACAAAAAAATAAATTCTCGTTAAGTTACTAAATACGGATTTTTCTCCATTTCAAATTTCAATTCCGTAACTACATTTCAGCGGGCAACAAACCGGCTCGCATAGAATATTTTACTACAAGTTTAACAGTTAATTCTAGAACTAGTAATTAAATCATACAGTCCGTCGCCAAGTTATTAGAAGCTTAATAAGATTCTTTGTAAAATCTTATTTATCAGGTGATATGATACAGCTTTATTGTTTTTACGCGGCTGAAATGGAATGGAAACGCTAGACTAAGTCTAGCGTTTCCATTGCTTTCTTACTCAAGACATTTGATGCAGCGTAAGTGATTGAGTTACAAATCTTAGTCACTAAATCTGAAACTTATTTTAATCACAACCAGATAATTAAATATGTGTTATTACATGAAATTCGGCACTATTACGAATTAACGGTTAACTGATTATGCGAATTATTTCGTTTTTATACATATTGCAATATAATTACTATAATGGTTCATGAAGATCATGAGTCGAAATTGATTATAGCATTTCATTTTTTAGATTCCAGAGAAAAAGAGTATCCGGTAAAATATACGTAGAAGAAATCTCACAAATTCAAAACGATCCCGAAAATGGAAAGTTCTGGCTCCTATATATGGGTTCAAACAGTAGGAAGCTACTCACCCCCTACTTTAATAAGGGTAATATGCATTTATATATTAAATCATAATAACTATATGTCATACTAAAAAAGAGTTAGCTTAATTTTATTTTAGATTCAGTGCGCCGACCTGGTGACCGAGTGGTTAGCGTGCCTGACTGCGGAGCCACTGGTCGCGAGTTCGAATCCTGCTCAGGGCATGGATGTTTCTTTCTCTCTCTCTCTTTGTTCCATGTGACCGCCCTATAAACGCCCTATAAACGGATTTGTGGTTGTGTGACGTGGGCGACGCTGCTCCACCGCCGTGGCTCAACACCTCCTAGAAAAGAGCAGGCCTCAGCACGGGTTACCATAAATATCCTTTAGTAGTTCAAACGTAATGACATATTACGTATTTTCAAGTGCTGCGCAGCTAAGTACCCCGAACGTAATGACATCTTTCTTATTTTTCATCTACAGCGCAGTTAACTTCGTCACATCGGACTACTAAATTGATCCGTGCTTAGGCCTTCCTTCTTCTAGGAGGTGTTGCGTGCCTTCGCCACAGGTGCACACTGTGTAACGAGACGAGAGTAGCGTGGCATTCCTGTGGCAGCCCCCAGTGCCCGCCATTAATGTAAAAAAAAAAAAAATTGATTCTGTAATACATTTGTTTTAAACTTAATCATTTTTTTCTTCAAATTTAACCATTTTCACTCCTCTGATAATACGATGAAATCAGAAGTCACCACAATAAAACTTAAAATTTATATAACTTAATAATTAGTAGCTAATTTTGCTAATTAGAAATTATATTAAAATTTTGTACAGTGTAGTTTAAATGATGAAGTGTTGGCATTAATTCAAATAGCATACTAAAGTACTTCAGAAATTAATACAGAGTTCAGAAAATTAATACACTTTATCTAGTGCCATTTTATTTCGCTGGTTTATAAATCCTGCTGTATCAGAGAAGCGGTTTGAATATGCGATTTTATATTTTACAATGTTTGCGCAAATGTAAAACCAAGTTTTAAAATTTTTATTTTTACAACTATTACTGATAGTAACTGTTACTAATAATGATAGAAAATAAAGAAATGTCTCAACAAATGTAACACATATTTTGTTGGGTAACTCTTTCATTAACCCTTGACAAACATTTAACACGTTCAGGCCGGGGTGACCCACCGGTGGGTCACGCTAGATTGCCTCATCTTGGCAGCGCACCGGAGTAAAAACTGGTATTAATAAATTTCATTTTTTAGTTTCTTTCCGGGAATAATAAAAATCCATAACTACCAATTGTTTTTAACGGATGCAATTTTTATACTGAATTGCTTCTTCGCTGCGATAAATTTCCTTACAGTGAATTGTTATTGTTGAGAATAGATTTACTCCTCCCGAATATTATCTAATATTGAAATAATTCTTCAATCTGTATTTTCTCTTTTCCCGTACCAGTACTTTCCCTTTTCCCGGCGTGAACGTGTTAATCTGTAATTGTTTCTTCCTTGGATTTCGCCGTTTGCATTTTGTTCCTCGCATTTTGCAGTTTGCTACTTGTTCCTCGCATTTCGCCGTTTGCTATTTGTTCCTCGCATTTTGCCGTTTGCTATTTGTTCATCGCATTTTGCAGTTTGCTATTTGTTCCTCGCATTTTGCCGTTTGCGTTTGTTCAGCTACTAATCGTACATACATTTCAGTCAAAATTTAGAACTTGAATTTTTGTTGGCAGCCGAAACTTCTCATATTCAACTAGAAAGTTTTCGAGAAAGAGCAATGTTAGGGCCACATACATATTTTCATTAAAAGAAACCATTCACTGATAGAAATATTTACTCTAAATAAATCAAAAAGAAAATTTTTATGCATCTTGTGTAATTTTAAATAAAATATCAATACGTGTTAATCCTTACTGATTCTATTAAGTCAAACTTGTAAAATCAAAAATTATAATTTTTTATGAAACTATATGCATTAATGCTCTTATGAACTTAGTCATGAGTTAAAATTATTTACCATAAAAACTGATTTCCATTTACTTGCAAGCGATTAAAACTTTTTGCTCTTATTTATTGAAAAAATATCTGGAAAATCTATAAATCGAAATTTCAGGTCTTATGTGTGAAGTAATAAATATTTTTCAAAGAAAATAGGAAAACTGTAAAATCTTAAAAACAATTTTATGATGCAGCAAACTTTTAACTTCAAATGAAAAAAATTTTTTATTATGCATAGCTAAAATAATAAGAATGTTGAATTTGGGTGCCAAGACATGACTTGAAAGTCACTGGAATGTTCCTCGACCCTTATGACATGGTGCATTATCCTGTTGATAAACACCATCCCCCGCTAGAAAAACTGCTGCCAGAATGGGTGAACCTGGTCTGCAACTATGTTCAAGTAGCTTACAGGCGTCAGAGATTGTTCAATGAGGATTATGGGTCCTAATGTGCCCCATGAAAACATTGTTCCTGGGCGAGAAACCATGAAAACCTGGGCGAGCCCATTGTTATAGATGGAGGGTGGTCTGTATTAGTAGCGAATACATAAAAAAGTTGTCAATTTTTCGCAAATGATGGCAAAATAATCGTTTAAAGCTATATTTCGGCGAAATTAATCGCTTTAGTAGCTTTTTCTCTATTGATAGATACGATTTAACTAAATAAAAGTGTGTGACCCAATGTCATCTTCATTTTACGGCTTTGTCTTAATAGAACCGGTAAGAATTAACACGTATTGATATTTTATGTAAAATTAAATAAGATGCATAAAAATTTTCTTTTTGATTTATTTAGAGTAAATGTTCAGTGAGTTCTATCAGTGAGTGATTTCTTTTTATGAAAATATGTATGGACCCTAACATTGCTCTTCCTCGAAAACTTTCTAATTGAATATGGGAAGTTTTGGCTGCCAACTTTAACTGCAATGATGGCTTAAATAGTTTTATTTCATAGTCATCAAAATTATTTACATTTATTTATTAAACAAATTATTATACATTAAGAATATTAATTTTGCTACTCAAAAATATAAAAATAACATTGCTCTTCCTCGAAAACTTTCTAATTGAATATGGAAAGTTTTGGCTGCCAACTTTAACTGCATAGATAGGTTAAATAGTTTTATTTCATAGTCATCAAAATTATTTACATCTATTTATTAAACTAATTATTATACATTAAGAATATTAATTTTGCTACTCAAAAATATAAAAATAAAGTCTTCTAAAAAATTTAATATTTTTACAACTTATAAATATTAATTAGATTACACTTCATATTATTAAATAATTTTATTATCAACTTTTAGGTCCTGATGAAGTTTTATTGAAGCATGGTGATCATCTAATTATGTGGTACAAGACTGTAAAAATTTGACTTTTGGGACACAAATGACTTCAAAATTACCTTGAACTTTATTCAAAATTAATCTACAGGAAAAAAAAGGAATGTATCACAAGAAATATTTCTTAGCTGGAAGATTTTCACCATACATTTGCTTATTTTTACTAAAAAAAATATATAATTCACCTTGAACACTTTGTAGAAGAATTTTTACCCTATTTAAATAAAAAATTAGTTGTGATAAATAATTATATAAAATTGAGGAGAGATATGTTTTTATATTCAATTCATATTAATACATAAAATTAGGGAGAAACTTTTGCATTGCTATCAAAGTTAAATAACACATCGTTTCCTTTTTATTTATATTTTTTACCACTGCTAGGACTAAACCCAAGTCTGAGTCGATGAGACTGATAGTTTAGAAATTAATTAAATTTTATGTATAAAAGAAAAATAAATAAAAGTAAAAAGGCACCGTAGTTGGTAGATAAAAAATCGGGAAAAATTTAACCAAACAAATTAGATTTTTATCAAATTATATACATAAACTTTTAAAAATGGCTAACAAGAAACCGAAAAAAAAACTAATTTTTTCATTTCAAGTATAATAAAATTAAATTCATCCAAATGCAGGGCTCGAAAAACCGCCTGTCCTCGGCGGTCAAAAATTCCCCGCGGACAACGAATTTCTCGAATCCGGCTGCCATTTTCCCGTTAATGTTCGTAATATATATTCAATTTTTGTTATCTTACAAGAGTTAACGCCTCACTTCTAAAATAACCCTCTTATCTAGAAATACAGCAATACGGTGGAATTTGTGCTTTCTCTGTCTGTGAGTACTGCAGCTTTTGAAAGGGACTTTTCAGCAATGAACTAACAAAAAAACACACACTACGTACTGGTCTTAAACAAGAAGCGTTAAACGCAATTATGAACATCTACCTAAATGGAAAACCCTTTTAGATTTCAGTGCAGAAACCTCTGAAAATCATTGGCTTGATTGTGGAACTGGCAAACGTCATATTTGATTCATTTAAAAAACGCAGTACCCTCAGATAAATTGACAATCCAGATAATTTGACTTTTGTCATTTAAAATATTTCATAAAAGAAATACTAAGTTAGTATTAGTAACCTAGTATTTCTTTTATTACTGTATAATGTAATCCTAGTAACTACATATTCATTGTGCAATTTATATGAATGTTTGAAATAAATAAGAGAAAATTATATGTTTATTTATTTAGAAGCTACGGGTTAGTTTCAGAGGAGGACGGGTTCATTGTTGGACAAGCCGTCCTCGGGGACGGGTAAAATTTCCGAGTTTTTTTCGAGCCCTGTCCAAATGTGTCATAAAAACCATCATTTATTTTTAATTTAGTTAATTTGTGACAAAACATTAAGTTCTTATTATAATTTTCCTAATGCATCACTGAACGATTCATAATATTTTGAGATCAACATATAGAAAACTTTTGTAGTATTGCTGCATTGATAAAAAGACCAACCAGCGTCAATTACTAAACACCAGCATCAATATTTATTATTCTTCCTCGTGCTAATATTCAATTAAAAATTGGAATCTAGTTCAGAACTTCCTTCATTAAATAAATTTAAAGTAGGCTTTAATAATCTTGCAACAAAAATACAATAAATAAACCATTAAGCAGTTTTGTACAATAGAATGACTGAATACAATATTAGCACTCACAAGATTTTTTTCAGGTTTTGTATATTTAATTAGATACCGAAACGAGAAATAAAGAAAAAAATATTCGAAACAACCAATGAATAAAATAAATGATTTGCTATCTTGTAAGTGTAAATACCCATGATAGCTGCTTATTTGCTTAAACATTGAACTATCTTTTTGCGAGATTATTTTGTCTTCCATTTGTTATCAATCTAAACATCGAATAATTCGAAGATCAATAGTATAAATAGGGAATAATTCTTTAATGAAAGAATAAACTTGAAAATTGGAACAATAGAATAAATTCTGACGAGAAAATAAATTGAAAATAGTAACCCGGAAGCTTCCTTCATTTTAGTCATTAACGCAAGTTATGTTTAGCTTTGCACGCTGAACCATCTATAGAGTAAATATAAAATTTAATCTATCACCAGAAAAATTTTTTGGTTCAAATTATTATGTTTTCACAAACTAATATTTAATTCTAATAGTCTGAGAGACACCCCTAAAATATATTAGTTAATAATTACAGTAAATAATTTAATCAGTACTATCTATTAATTCATTAACCAAATCAAACTCAAAAACTAAACTGTTTTCACTAAAAGAAATATGTATTTTCCTTGAGGGATTTGAATTACAGACTTTCAAATTATAAGGGTTGTCACAATATAGAAAACATGTTCACATAATCCATTTTATTTTAAAAAAATAAATAAATATGTATACTCTCTAATGGATTAAAAATAAAAAGTTCCTGTGAACAAAAATAATGTTGACGTATGCCTGTTTAGGCAGAGGGGGTGCGATTGTTCTTGTTTTCCAGTAGCGCCATCTATGGCCAAGAATTCGACTTCTGCCACACCGCACCCGTTTATAAGGCGGACATATCTTACATCCATTCATTCATCCACAGATCGATCTCCAATCCAGTACTCCCAGAGGTTTTGATTTGTTATGGGAACATGGAGGACTTTTGCGACTCGACAGATTTAACGTGCATCAGTCACTTTACTACACGGGGAGTCATCGGCCCGCGGTCGAACCCACGAACTCTCGAACATGGGCCCAGTGCCCTACCGACCAGGCTATCCCGACCCAACAAAAATAATACCAAGTAAATTTAAAAAAATGACAAAATTATTGCATTTTAGAAAATATTAGTAAAATGTTTCTAAGATGTCTCTGTTTTAATGTGACTTGCTACGAAATGCATTTTTTTTAAAAGTTGGTTGAATAATTTTGAAACAATAAATAAAGGAAGATCTTCCTCTCCCGTGGCTATCTACAGCTTCATTGAATAATTGCTTCCTTAGTGACTCTGATGACCATGTAGATAAAATAAGCACCGACGGATTAAAAAATGCTATTCGTATGTAATCTTTACAGACCACAGTCAGTTTGACGAAGAGCCGAGGTTCGATTTAGTGTTACTCCAATTTAAATATAAGGTACGGAGTACCTAGCCCAGAGGGCTATCTGCTCTTTCATCTGATTTGAATAATATTAAAATCAGAGGAAAAGAATGAGAATCGTGCGTAATGTAATGTAACGAAAATATAATAAATTACAAGATAATAAAAAAATAAACTGGGATAAGAGAAAAATACTATTTATAATATTTACATGTATACAATTTATATGTAATTGCTGAAGAAATCAACGAGCATCTCGAATTCCAGCATCGTTCCCTTGCCTCCTCTTTACAGCGCGGAGTGATACAGTTCATGTTAATGTGTTGAGTAAGTTAATTTGAGGAATAGAAGTATTTAGATAATGCTTTGTAATTTAGAAAAAAGACAGAGGGAGGACTAAATTTGGTATTTTCCTCAATTAAAGCGAAATAGAAGATTTGATTGAAATCAAACTTTGTGCATTTGGTTGCTTCCCTAAAGAAGGCTGCGTTTAATCTTCGCAGATAGTTGTTTAAATTTTCAATCTTTAGGTCATTATGTTACGTTTACAAATCAGGGTGCACCTGTCATCCTTCTTTAAGTTTTATTCTCAAATATGGGTAATTTTCTAGTCCGAGATAGCCTGGTAGGCAAGTCGCTGAACCCACGTTCGTAAGAACGAGAATTCGAATCCAGCCGACCGAAGACTTCCCGTGTAGTAAATAGTGACCGGTGCACGAAACTCTGTCGGTTCACGAAGTCTTCTATGTTCCCATAACAAATTATACTTCTCGCGGGTACTGAATTGGAGATTGACCGTTCTCTGATTCAGGTCAAATTTACGATCTGTGGATGCATGAATGGGTCTGCCCAATAAACTGGTGTGACGTATGGGTGAGGCAGAAGTCGAATTTTTGACCACAGATCGCACCCCTTGCCTCAATGGCCTTCGAAAGTGAACCCCAAGCTGAGGAGGCGTAGCATAATATTGGGAGAATTCACATTATATAAATATTCCTTTTGGTGTTTAAGGCCATCTTAGTATTTTGTGATAAAATTGGTCAAAGTGCTTGATAGGCAGCTTCAGCTTTCCTGATAATATTTGTTATGTGTTTATTTCAGTTTAGGGTATTTGTTAGCGAGATGCCTAAATATTTAGCACTAGCGGCTATTGGGATTTCTTCTTCAAATAAAGTGAGCTTATTGTTATCTTTAATCTTTCTCTTATGGTTTGTTCTAATTATGAGAAAGTTCTATTTTGATTTTCCACTGAGAGCATTTTTTTATATGGAGTCTAATTGATCTTGAATTTTATTCATAGCTCGATTTGGAAAAATTGTTACTGAGTGTATTCCTGTGTCGTCAGCGTAGAAGGCAGTTTGCATATTTTTATCGCTTCTTTCAATGGGTAATTCCGTACTATAAATGAGAAACAGTATTGGGCCTGCTTTTATATATCTATTGGTTGAAGTTGAGTCGTTTACTCTAACACGAAAAGTTTTTTTGAGAAAGATAGTTGTTGAGTCCTATGTGTCAAACCTTATCCAAGGCCTTTGCTATGTTTAAAGTTAGTAGAGCAGAGGCTTATCTTTGGCACAATCCTAATCAATTGTTTTGCAGTTGATAAATTATTTCTGTAAAATAGTGATACTGATGCGTAAATTTTAAATTTTAAAAAAAATTTTTGTTTGTTGATGAAATCCATTTCCTAATTTGAAATTATCGAAGCGAAAATGAAATTCGTTTAAAAATTTCATCGAACAAAAATAAAAGATATTCTCCCGGAGTAATTTATCGGTAATTTAATTTCAAAATTCTTTTTATTGGAATCTTTAAATAACTTCCTAAGGCATTCGGGTCGTTTTAATCAAATTTTACTTGAACAAAGGAAAATATCTTCAATTATTGAAAGACTATTTACTTTTTTGATAAATTTATCCAAAATAAATGCAGTTTTAAGATAGAGAAGAAACAAATAAAAAATTCTCAATTTGATGCAATACTACCTTTATGTTGTTTATCAAATTTTGAAGTGGGGAATCCATAGCTTTTATGGTTTATCAGAAAATTTCATTTAAAGTTATTTTTGAAGTATTTAAGATCATTTCTAAGTGAAGTGAATGCAAAAATCGAAATTGAGTCCATCAGAAAAATTTTACAGTTTCAAACCTGACGTTGCTGTTATCTACTTTCCTTTAGACAAAAAGAAATAAAAGTTTATTTTATATCATCAATCCTATTTTGAATGCTCCCAGTCTCGCACTTTTTTTAACCCTTTGACACAGATGAAACATTGGTGTCCCTGTTATATATTTTTTTCTGAAAATTTCACCTCTAATTACAAATGCAAAAAAAGATTTTGGTATTTATTATTATAAAAAGTCTAACAGTTACTAAGAAAAACTCGTTAGATTATTGAAGATTATTTGTACTAAAATATAAAATTCAAAAACATTTCATATTCAAAAAATTATCATTAATTAATTTTGTAAATTAATTCAATTTTAATGATGAATAATTGCTTCTCTTAGATCTAAATATCTACCAATATTTGCAAATTAGAAAAATTATTGTTTAGAAGTGAGCCGTGTTGATATATAAAAGAATATTTTCAACACCAGTTATAAAATACTCCTATGATATAATGGAATGACCATGTGATTCAACCACGAAACACTAACTAAGGTTTAAAAATTACTCTATTATTCATTAGTTTTTCTAAATTTTCAACATAAGCTTACAGTTGCAGTAGACACTAACTGCAGATCAACATCACATTCCTTGCTGACGATACAAAATTAATATTTGTTGCGGAATGTTAGATATAATTCTGTTCCTTTGGGTTTTACCAGGTAAAGCTTATCTGTGAAAATGAAACTTCCTTTGTAACTCTGAAATGACGCATCTTTAGAAGATAGCCTTAAATCAGGTTTCATTTGTTATAAACTGAATTGTACGTAGCTTAAACAGGGAACTTTAAATTATCTTTTTAACTTATCTATCTTCAAATTGACTTGAATGGAACTTTAAATTAGCTAGACTTCAAATTGAAAGTGCTCCTTGAATTTCTTTACTGATAAATTTTGCGACTAAAAAGGGAGGTGCCCTAACTGAGAGGTACAAATATCTTTTAAATCTGGAAATAGGCGCATTTCATTTTAAAAGCATCAAAATGAAAATCAAATATTTTTTAACTTTTTTTGCCTGTCTTTTTCTACAAGCAAGTAAGTTATATTTAAAGATGCGTGATTTATTTTGCGAAATAAAAAGATGAAATAATTATTAAAATTAAAAAGAATTAAATAAATATAGAAATTTAAAATTAAATTTTCAAATAATAGAGATTTAAAAATTAGTGTTTGAGATAAGTTCCTAACATTGATTGAATTATTTTCATATGTCATTTTATTTAAAATTTGATTAAATTGAAATTAAAAATTTGATTAAATTGAAATTAAAAATTTGATTAAATTGAAATTAAAAATTTGATTAAATTAAAAATTTTAATAAATTAAAATTAAAAATTTGATTAAATTAAAATTAAAATTTGAATTAAATTAAAATTAAAAATTTGATTAAATTAAAATTAAAAATTTGATTAAATTAAAATTAAAACTTTAATTAAATTAAAATTAAAAATTATTCAAAAATAGTTTTTTATAATTATTTTTAAAGCAGAATTTTTTTCAGAAAACCACTTTAGCAGAAATTTATTTCCTCTTTCAAAATGCAATAATTGCATAATTTGCAAAAATCCAAAAATTTTCATTTTCTCTATCTAAATTTTTAAAAAATAAGACAGAAATTATTCATATTTTAACATTAAGATTTAAGTTATTTTAAAATACCAATTGTAACTAATTGCGTTCATACTAGTGAATTTATCAACAGAAAATAAATAAAATTAATGTCAGGAATTATATAAAAAATAATGTAATGTATTTTAGATATTGTAACTATGTTTAGATATTGTATTATATTGTAAATATTTAGCAAAACTAATTATAGAAGAAACTAAACAAAAAATATCTCTTGAAAAGTCTACGACTTTCCGAACGAAACTAATTTAAGATCTGAAATCCCCGAACCCGAAACCTTTTGCCTACGTCGCCTGGTAGCACAAAAGTTAAGTACGATTAAATACTTGTATACATGTAACAAAAAAAATTGCTCTTCGGTTTTTCCTATTGTCAAATTCCTATTACATTATCTAATTAAAAATAATTTTTTGCACTTGCCGATTAGTCGGCAACGCTCCTCGTCATAATTTGAAATGGCAGAATTTTTAAATTCTGCCATTTCAGAATTCATTTTAGAATTCTTTTTAAATTTTTTTTACTGATAAAAATTATTTGCACATATTTTTCATTTTTCTATATTATCTTTGCGAAGCAAAACATACCTGTCTACCATGTTATAAAATATCAAATACAAATTTTGGCAGATGGATATAAACTTCAACACCTAATGTTTTTGGGAATAATTTTTTCGTGTAGTGAAGAGATATTGCAGAAATTTATAAAATATATTTTTAAACAAAAGAGACGCATTTATATAATGTTTAACAGAAACCATGATCAATTGTCGCTCTAACCTCGAATATATATGTTTGAATTATTGAAAAGCAGAATGAGATAAAATTCCTTAAAAATGCTAATTTAGAAAAACATCAATGCATAAATTTTGAGGTGCAATGGTTCAGTGGTTAAGGCGTTGAACCGTCAATGTGAAAGTCTGGAGTTCAATCCTATGTGGTGACATGAAGCCCACGCAGCTTCTGATCGATGAGTAGCAGCTTGTCTTGGAAGTAAAAGTGGCCTGACCACATTGCCACAGTCATACCGTTGGTCAGGAAATTATGAAGCTTCCACCTTCATGACTACCATGGTTCACTACGGGCTATCACGGGAATGCAGTTTTAACTAAAATACATAACCTTAGCCACATATTTCCTGAAACTACGAAATTTTGTAGTTGTTGAAATTGTGTACTTACGGAATTATAGAATTCCGCTTTTTCATATTGGAAGCTTTCAAAATCATGAAACCAACTCAAGGAAAAAAGCTTATGAAATATAAACCATAAGTTCTGAGAATAAAACATTTATTTTGCTTTGCAGGTTCAGTCTATTGCTATTGCTCAGAAAGGACAGGCTTAATTGATACGATTTCAGATATCTATAGTGTGCTTGGCTCTACAAAGTACTTCAAATGTTGGAAAGTGTTAAATCCTGCAAAAAATATAATACACTTTCATCTCAAAGAACTAAATACAAAGACTGAGGTATTATACTTCTAATTTATGTAAATTTATAAAATTAACCAAATTGTGTCTTCTTTACTGACTTGACAGCTCTTTGTAATTCAAGTCATTTTTTAGAATATTTCTCCATTTCTTTTCCTCGCCAGGGAGCTTCAGTTGTTCAATTTCAGTACCTGAAAATCTCCATCAATGCAGTCCGCCCACCTTAGTTTGTGCTTGCCTCTGGTTTGGGTTCCATTCAGTTTAAAATTAAGGATTCCGGATGTTAAGGTGCACAGATCCAATCGGAGGATGTATGCAGAAAATTTTATGTGTTTTACTTTGATGCACTGGTAGATAATATCCGCCTTTCTATACACCTTGTACAGCTCATTATTGTATCTGTACCTGCATGTACCATTGATATACACCGCACCCAGAATACTTTTTCCAAACTTTAGTATCTAAATGGCAAAATGCGTCGAACAGCTTTTTATTTAAAAAAATACTTTTATTCAAATACGAAAAAACGTGGTTGGAGAACTGTTTCGTTATAAGCCATGTTTTTAGATACAAAATAGTTCTGTCCAACATGATAAACGCGATGGTTATAATTAAAATTCCACTTTGAAATGGTCATAAAACCAAAACTACTGGACCAAATGTTATCGAACGAGATAATAGTTTAAAGGAAGTCATGGAAATTTATTTTCCACTACTACAAATAGTTCAAAAACTTACCACCAGGGGGAAATGGCACTGAATACAGTATTGATAAACGGAAAAAAAATGAAGATATCGGTTCAAAATGTTTTTCATCGTTTCTGAAACGATACAGTTGTTGTAGAAACGTAGAAAAATGTCAGAAATAACTACGTAAAAAATTTGACAGAAATAATGACAGTTGGTAATGCAGAGCTTTATTCAATATTTTATTAGCATTTAATTCAAAATATTAAACCGCTGATTTCGAATTAGATAGAAAAATTTCATGGTAAAAGTTACAATTGCTCAAAACTTTAACAGTTTTTTCTAATTTACCTGTAAAACGAAATTCTGTAAAATTTAAAAGTAGCCCTATTATAGGAAAAAGCGTTTCAATGAATCTGTTACTAGATACGAATGTAGACGGACGTAAATTTAAAACTAAAATAATTTAAAGAAAAAAAAATCAAAATAAATAAGATGCGTATGTACAAGTTTTCTATCTACAAAATTCTTAAAAACATGGGTGATTCTTAATTTTATAGGTATAAAAAATTACAAAAAAGATTAAACTCTCTTATTTATTAGTTAACTTGTATGACGTATAAAAAGATGCACTGCAATTTGGCGATGTAATCTCAAAATTTGATGTAATTTCAATACCATTCTATTTTTAATTATTTAAATTACTTTTTAAGCACTTTTTTATTGATCAAATAGCATGAAACTCTAGATTTAGATTTAAAAAATATATAAACAGTAATATTTATATGGGTGATTCTCACGAAACATGACAATTCACTGTCCCTTGCTCCAAGATCTAATACTATAATACTAAAAGAACTTTTTTTATAAAAAATTAATAAATAGCATTTTAAAATGACTTTGCACTAGCATTGACTGTTTTGTATACTTAAAAAATTTAATTGAAAATCAAAATGTCATTTTCCTGGCATGTCCCAAACAATATTTCCAACAATAACTAGCTTCAAAACTTCCATACATTTTTCAAAATCTATTTTTCTTTATCTTATCCTACGTAAGCATTTCTAGAATATACGCAGAGAATATTGTTTATTAAAACTTCGTTTAAAATAAATTTTACTGTCAATAATTTGTTTGTCCCACGAAAATCTGTCATTTTCCTGGCTACTTTTATTTAGTGATTTATAAACAAAATAGATAGCGCCAGGCATCAATATCTTATGTTAATAGATTGATTAGATACCCTCCTATCTGAACATGTCTTGTTGCATGAATAAATAACCAATTTTCTGGCTCAAAATCTATTTCAAAAAATTTTTCAAGGTGAGTATGTTTTTATGCTGTCATTTTCCTGGCTTCTTGAAATCATTAATAACAAAAACTACATAGATTTATCTGAGCTATTTTAAGAAATACTGTTGTTTTCTGAAGAATATAAACGTCTTAGGCCAAAATATTAAATTAAAATAAAGTTATGTGCTATAAAATGGCGAATTTGTCATTATCCTGGCTTATGAATGCCAGGACATTGAAGTATTACCAGAAATTCTTTTTAACTGCTAATACTGTAAAGAGGGAAAGCAAATATTAACCTAATACCAATTTTATGTATGATTGTAATATGCTTGGATGTAATCAAAGTTATTTATTTAATGATTGATTATTATATACAATTTTATTCTGTACATATCAGCAACAAAAATTTTTTTGTTTCTTTCTACAGTGGATAAAAAGAATTAATTTAAGCAATTTATGGTCCATCTAACATAAAAGCTTAAGTTGAGTTACTTACTATTAACTTAAAATAACTGTTTTTTTAAACTTCTAACGTAATATGTCATTTTCCTGGCATTCAAGATTTGGTGAATTTCTATTTTATTTTTTTTTTCTCGAGCAAATGTCAATAAACTACACTGCTGTCTATAAGATATTAATAAGTGTAGCTAAAGAAGTATACAAAAAAAAGTTTTAGATTATTTTGAAGACTTTAAATTTGAAGAAATGTTTGGTCCGAATTGTCATGTTTCGTGAGAATCACCCATATACAGAATATATAAACATTTTTATACCTTACAATTCAAACTTTTTTTTCATCATGAACCAATTAATTAATAAAAATGATTCAATTTATCTAGATTTCCCATTTTATGACATGCTTGTATTTGGACAGAGGGCTTATATTTTTTTGTGAAAGAATTATTACAGTTTAATTAACTATTAATTCAAACGATAAGAGAAACGTGAGACATAAAAATAACAAATTTTTGAAACGTTGTGGCGGTTAAACTATAACAATCAACTTTTCAAAACTTCGTCTACACTCCTCCCCCTATTTCGCAGGTAATAAATCCAAATTTGATGAAAAAGAGTTCTGTTTCTTCAGAAAAAGGGCGCTTTTTTGGTGAAAATAAGCATATTCCACAATTACAGTTAACCGTTATACATATTTTAAGAGAATTCTTTGAAATATTGCTATAACATTTTACAAAATCCTCTAAACTGTTCAAAAGTTTTATTAATAATATAGATATTTATATTTGGATCTGAAGTCAAAACACAGTACATATTTAAATCTAAAATGGTTGGAAATAGTAAGAAATACCTACTGAGTATGAACAAATGCATACTACCACATTTTGCGAGTAGGTGTTTTTCATATATAGACCACATTTTGTGACGGTAATTCAGAGATGCCAACTTGCTCCGGACAGCAAATTTATATTTTAAAGTGATAGTTCATCAATTGCGATTCTTGGTTTAATAAGTTCAATTAAGTAGATTTTTATCCACCACTATTTCTAAATAATTCGTAGGCTTATATAATTCAATACTTTTTGGTACTATAGTCGTGCTATACCTTTTAAAAACAAGTAAACATAGTCAAATATTTGCAAAATTTAGTTTGTAGTTATTTACCGCTTTATTAATTATTTTGGCGTGTCCGGAGCAGTTGGCATCTCTGGTAATTATTGGGTACCAAGAAGAGTTTGGAGCCCTATTCTCATTAATCATGATTTCTAGAGTTACCAATCATTACGGGTACGGGTTTATAAAAAATATTTTATCGAGTAGTATATACTAATTAAAAACTAAAGCTTTCAGAATTGTTAGTAATTTTGCCAACATTTTGAAAGCCTCAGCATGAGAGAATTGGAACAAAGTCTTTGATCATTTTGTTTTACAACTTTAAAATCATTTATGTGTAATTGTGTGGTAAGATAATTTACAAACCAAGTTTACAAACGAAAGATTGATACAAAGATATCGCAAATGAAGTTAGAGAAGTCGATGAACAGCAGCAACTTCAGTCAATGTTAAATTTCCGTTTGGCAGCTGTGATTTTTTTTTTAGTTAAAACTATATTGTAGTAGGTTTAAAGTCCTAGTCTTTGGATTCCCACCATAAAATGATATCAATGCTAAAGTGTCTATATCTATAAGTTCCTTTCTATTTTTATCTTTTCTGACCGAAACAGAGTAGGGCGATAATTAGGGCAAGTTTTTTTACAAAAGGTTTTGTAGAGTAACAAACAACTAAAAACTAAAGCTTTAAAAAAAATTTTTATTTTTGCCAACAATTTAAAAGCTTCACCGCAAGAGATCGGGAACAAAGTGGGTTTCATCTAGCTTTTGAATAATTTTACACGTAGTGATATGAAAAATGACTTTAAATTTAATTTACAAAATAAAGAATCATACATTCAAACATAAAATTAGCTACTACCCGAAGAAATTTTTCTAAAAAGCGTAGAATGTTGGCAGTTCTGTATTTTTAACTCATATTTTCAAATCAAATCACAACTTCTTATATTATTTACATATTTGATGAACGCGTGAATGTCTCTGTTTAACACGTTCACGCCGGGGTGTCCCACCGGAAGGTCACGCTAGATTGTCTCATCTTGACAGCGCACCTGAGTAAAAACTGGTAACTATCAATTTCATTTTTTAGTTTTTTTCCGGGAATAATAAAGATCCATAACTAGCAATTGCTTTTAACGGATGCAATTTTTATATTGAATTACTTCTTCGCCGTGATAAATTTCCTTACAGTCAATTGTTATTGTTGAGAATAGATTAACTCCTCCCGAATATTATCTAATACTGAAATAGTTCTTCTACCAGTATTTTCTCTTTTCCCGTACCAGTATTTTCACTTTTTCCGTGAACGTGTTAAACGAAATAAATTTTCAAAAGTGAAATAATACTTTTTATACATTTTTGTTAATATTGATATTGTTAATATGAGTTATACATTTTTGAAAAATATACACTAGAGTTTCGTGAGTTTAATGGGCTAATAAATTTGTTCAAAGCCAATCTTGGAAGTAAACTTAAGAAATATGTATGCTCTTCATCAGCCTTTAAGTTTTTAAAAGAACCCAAAATCTTTTATCAGATAATTATTCAAATGGTGACAGATACTTATATTAATTATCTTTTCAGCCTCAAACAGTGGCCAACTTAACAATAATGCTGATAGATGAAAATAAAAATTTTACTTTTTGGTCCGCCTCTTCCACTGGGAGAATTACAACTTCGTCATCATCAGTAGAAATTAGTTTTAGAGTGAATGCTATCAAATTTCCAGACCATTACAAAACAAATTTCACTTTGTTTTATACAATGGGTAAGTATTGTTTAAAATCATAAGTATTACTCAAAACTTTTTGTTTCAAAATAACTGTGTGACTCCAATTACAACCGAATATTCTAAAACTTGAAGATGCATTGTAAGATTCATGCAGAAAAGATTGACACGACTAGATGGTGCTCAACTGCGTCATTTAGAGCGTGTAAAATGTGTTGTACGGTCGTTAACCCCTTGGGGACGGGTGACTCAGAAAAGCATTCGTACAAAATCAGGATCAAGTTGTAATTAAATTAAAAACGCTGCATACCTGCCAACTTTTACGCATTTGGCGTAATATTTTATTTCTATATTTAAAGTGGTAGTAAAATATATGCTTTCTATATATTCCTTGCATTTATAAACATATGTATAATCTTTCTTACCACCACTATTTTTAAAAAGAAATTATGTCGACGAATTAAGTTTCCTCGAAATTCAGCGTATGTTTCTGCCTAAAATCGTAATTTAAATTACATATTACTACCACTGGGGAAAATCATTCTCGAAAGGATTAAAAGTTGGCAGGTCAGATTATGCAAAATCTTTTCGAACGACCGCACTCACGCACAAGTTGGCAGATATGATAGTGCTACTTGAATAAATATTGAAACTAGAGATACACGTATACATACTTAAAAGTTATTTGATAATTAGTTTACGATTTTAGTTGTGCATCAACATTTACAAAAGAAATGCAACGGTAAATCACGTTTGTTTCTGAAGAGAGGAAATGCAGATAATTTCTTCCACAGAGATTCGTTGAAGGATCATGCAAACACTCTGTTTTTATACAACGTTCATAAACTTGGCATTTACTAGCAATAAGTTTTATAAAACTATGCAAACGAATTTCAGGAAAATTAGATAATGAAAAGGCCGGAATTTCATTTAAAAAATAATATAGAGCAGGGGTCGCAAAACTTTTTTGATTATCGACCCCTATATAATTTTTCGAAATCTCCATCGACCCCCGCAAAAGTAATTTTCTGTTAATTAAAATAAAACTCTTATTAGATACTGTGTTTGTACATTTATTTTATGATTTTAAACATTTATTAAAGTAATAGTACATTGTGTAACAATAGTTTTATGAAAAATATATTAATATTGAAATTTAAATACCTTATTATTAAATAATAAGTAATTATGCATAAGTAGATATAATAAGTAAAGTAACTAAAGATTTACTGCTTCTTGATCAATGAGATGGGTGTGCCTGGTGTTTTTTTGCAAGGTTCGCTATATTGGGTTCAAAATTGGTCAATTTTAATTTTCGTCAAAATTGGTCAATTTTGTAATTTTCGTAAAAAAATACAAAGTGTGCTATAGTTTTGTCGCGGGCTGTACTAATCCATATTATTAATGCTTACCTTCTTTTTTGTGCATTGATAATTAAAATTGATATCTAAACCAAACGAATGGTTTTATCGAAACAATAACTAATTATCCAAAACTATAAAAGTTTTAATAATGACACTGCAAATATTCAACACAGTTTGCAAAGATAGCTGAAACTGCGTATGATATTTGCATTTGTAACGTCAATGCTCGTCACACGTGACATTTGGACAAGCGCACATATGCATATGACTTATAAACTGCGCTGAGTTCGTGCCACTGCGCGGTGGTACGTAAATACTTGTTTCACCCCAATAAATATACGTTTATTAATTTATGTTTTATAAAGAAACTGATATTGAGTCAATTATAAAAAAAATTCACAAATTTTACATACTTAATTAGGTATGTGTGATTTGCGTATTGAGAACTGTTTCTTTTTTCAACCCACAATTGACCCTTCCGATTCGGATCGACCCCCATTCGGCCCCCTGTCTCAGATCGACCCCTGCTTTCGTTAAATAGACCCTTGGGGGTCTATATAGACCACTTTGGCGACCTCTGATATAGAGTTTACTATGCCACCATTAGAAGACGTAATATTGAAATTAGCATCTCCTATTGAACTGAATATAAACTGCCGGTTCGTTCGGCACTGCAAAGTTTTCTTGACTTCTTTCGTTCTTGAAGTTTCCCTTTTCTAAAACATAGACTTTCGATTGAAATGTTTAATGAGGGCAAAGATTTTACGACATGATGTGATATAAATTGAGACTTAACCCTTTCGCGCCGACTGTCACAAATACGTGACAGCATAAAACCGTATCAACCAGGGTAAAAATATAAAACTGGTAATCAAAGTATTTCTTTAGCAGTTTATTTGTGGGCGGAGTTATAATTGTTTGATTTATTTAATTCACTATTACTTTGTTCAAAATAAAACTATTTAGTTATACTTTGAATTAACATTGATTATATATATATGATAAAACTAACAATAATTAAAGTAAAAGCAAAGTAAGTCTGTCAAATTAGCAACGACTACATTTAAGTTACCGTTTTTTATATAATTATAACTTAATTCTGCACCACCCGTCCCCAAGGGGTTAATGGCTTTGGCAAGGAAAAAGATTCGAGTGTTGGCTGTGAAGCCTCTGTTGAATTTAATGTTGTAGTTAAATTGGAGTGATAAATTTAAAATCTTTTTTGTTTAAAGAAAAGTGGTTGCTAAACATTTAAAAGCAAAGAATTCTACGTTTTTATTGGTTCCTGTACTAAAATCACTTGTTTTAAAAAAAACATGATCCTTATGATGTTTGCCATTATCTGCATAAATTTGGAATCGTGAAATTGCTTGTTCATTCATTAAAAACCAGTGTTTGCTGAGAAAGAATACATAACTTACGTGCTATAAGTTCGGAGGCCGAAGTGAAGAAATTAATTATCATTGTCATATTTGATATAACAGAAATGGGCAGAATAAAGCTTTCTGTTAAAAATTCTTCGGGGACAACACGTTTAGAAATATGGTCTATTACTCCCACATCCGCAATCCCTGGTTTAACAGAATTTAGCCTTCTTCTTTCCTTCTTTAGCCTTCTTCTTTTTTAGTAGTAACCTTCTTTGCTGGATTTTTTTAACCCTTTGACGCAGAATCTTTATTAAGCCTAGTTCTCATACTTTTTTAATTATTTTGTATTAATTTAGGTCAAAATAAGTAAAAAAAGTATTATATTTAGCATTTTAATAATTTATCGTTATGAAATACAGAATGAAATACTGGTTTTTTATTTTGTCTTAAAGGTAAAATCTTCCAAACACGGCTTACTTCCAAATAATTTTTTTTTTTTTTCAAATTTGCAGTTATTTAGATCTAAAAGTAACAGTTATTCTCATCGTTGAATTTTTTTAATATTAAGCAAGACGTTTTCGATGTCGAAAAAATGATTTTTTCAACCTTATCGACAAGCCATTTTTTCTTAATATTAAATACGTTTTAAAACTTTAAACTTTACATTTATGACAACTACAAATTAATATAATTCAATAACAATAAAAAGGAATTTAAAATGTATATAAATTAAATTTTTATAAATGTTTGAAAATTTAATATAAATAAATTTTTTTTTTACCAGACATAACTTTCGGTACGCTCGTACAAAAAACAAATCATTGTAAATTTATGAAAATTTCTATGCTTGTACATATACCTTATTTACATTTAATTAACTATGTAAAGTGTATTTTTTTCATTATAATTTTGTTATACAGGGGAAGTTTTTCAAAATTTGAACGAAATTTTGCATTTTTTTCAGAAATACAACATTTATTTTGCTTAGATATAATATATTCTGTACATATTATGAAACAAACTAGTTCATCTGATTTTTCAAACATATTTACATGAGTGCATGCCAATTTTTTGTTGATATTTCATGTAGAAAATTTTTTGAGCGTACCGAAAGCTATGTCTGGTAAAAAACAAATCATATATACATTAAATTTTCAAATATTTATAAAAATTAAATTTATAAACATCTTAAATTCCTCTTTATTGTTATTGAATGATATTAATATGTAGTTTTCATAAATGTAATGTTTAAAGTTTTAAAATGTATTTAATATGAAGAAAAAATTGCTTGTTGATATGGTTGAAAAAATCATTTTTTCGACATCGAAAACGTCTTGCTTCCCTTAATGAAAAAAAATTTTTTACTTTAGATTCTAGTGCAAATATAATTCCGATAATCTAACACATGTTTCTAGTAATTACTAGATTGTTTTTACAAGTAAAAAAATACCGAAATATATTTTTGCTTGTAGTTAGAGCGACAGCAAAAAGTATATAAAAGCGACACTCGTGTTAATCGTTTTTAGTAACGTGAATTGCCAAGTTCAATATTTTAATTTTAATGGGTTAAATTAATTTTACGCTCCTTAAAAGTTTTATCAATAGGATCAAATGCAGACCACATCTTTCAGGTATCTGCACAACCACAAGTTACTAGGATTAAACATAATGCGCCATCTAGTGATGTTCTTTTTAAGTTTTTTTTCTTCCTATTGTTCATACCTGCCAACTTTTACGCATTTGGCGTAAAATTTTATTTCTATATTTAAAGTGGTAGTAAAATTTATACTTTTTATATATTCCTTCCATTTAGAAACTTAATTAAAAATCTTTTTGACCACCACTATTTTTAAAAAATTTAAGCATATATATTATTATGAAATACTGCCGTGTTTGTCCACATAAGCTTTATCCAAAAACAGCACATGTTTCTGCCTAGAATTGTAATTTAAATTCGAATTTACTACCACTGGGGAAAATCATCCTCGAAAGGATTAAAAGTTGGCAGGTATGATTGTTTCATTATCGACTTTAAATGAAATCAGGGCTGAAAGCCTATATATATCAAGACAAAAAAGAGTAAAAACTGGCAACAAATAAATGTCATTTTTAAGCTTTTTTTCGGGAATAATAAAAATCCATAACTACCAATTGTTTTTATCAGATACAATTTTTATATTGAATTGCTTTTTCGCCGGGAAGTGATAATTTCAGTGAATTGCTTATTGTAGAGAATAGATTAACTCCTCCCGAATATTATATAATATTGAAATAGTTCTTCTACCAGTATTTTCTCTTTTCCGTCTCGCTTTCAGGCCTGAATGAAATTGTAGGGATATCTTTTGATAAAGACTTCTTTTAACTATGGAAAGCCTATAAAATGTTAGTAAATCTTGCTAATGCCATATAGAAAACGTAACCTTTTTTTAAAAAAATTATTTTTACTTTAGATGTTGTAAAAGACGTACGTTCAAGTACAATTACTAAGTTAAAAAGTCGACTTTCACCATTGCTGGACTGGCGAGGAAATACGCTAAAAGCCGTAAATGCTTTATACCTATCCGGAAATGCAACATACGATGGAACAGATTTGCGAGAAGAATTGTTAATCAGACGTGGAGAGTTTTTAGTTTCAAGAGCGCTCCAACGGTAAGATGAAAATTTATTTAAATATAATTTTTTTTAATTAATAAAGCTATGAATCAAAATTCAAACTTAGTGTTTTAAAACTTTTGATTAAGATTATTAAAATACTGATGTATTCAAGTATTATTCGCCGTACAATATTTGTATGACATTTGTATACTAACAGGTTTTGAACTACTACTTCTGTAATCTGATAATTTACTTAGATCATTACGCATTTATGCAATATCAAAAGTTATCGTAATTATCAATCACGATTTGTAATAATTATCTCACATTTTGTAATAATTTGAAAAGCACTTTTAGAAAAAAAAAAGTATTACTGCTTTTATGCGACGTTGGCCCACCTAACATGGTGCCCCTGAAAGAGAGGTCAACAAAATTGCCCTGTTAATGCCTGAATGGACAAAAAAAATTTAACACAAGTGGGCATTGGAGAAAAAAAACATTTAGAGCATATTTAATGCTGAACTTGTGAAATGTTTTACGTTTCTTCAACGTTGAGATATTGAGAATATACTGTATGTGAAAAGGTTCTTACTTGCTATTCTAAAATGTAACTAGCTGAAGAAATTATTCACCTATTTCAAATTTAAAGATTCTTAGATAAAGATTTGAAGGGTATAGAACAATATAGTGATAACTAATAACGTGCTTTCTAAGGCTGCATCCTTCTTCAATATGTACTTTAATATCGTTTCCCGATAGGTACTTAATAAGTTTCCTGAATTCTTGCGCTTAATATCAGTACAGAAACACCTTTTTCTCTACACATGGAGATCACGGTTAAAATAGAATATGGCATTTTCAATATAACGCCCTTAAAAATGCTCTCTCGAACATTTTGGGACTAAAGCTTATCATTAATATTGAACCAAACTCTTAAATTATACTACGTGAGTCTACTATCTGATAAAATTGAATATTTTAACCTCATTCTTACAGAGACGCTATTTCCGAAATAGAGTTGAGCTCCTACATCAATTTTCTGCGAGTCAGTTGTAATTCCCCTCGGTATTTTGCTTCTTATGATTTCATACAGCAGTTGCTGGATAAGTTGGAAACTTCCGGCAATTTTACACATCCCTCAGTCTACTTAGCTCTATGCAACGCTAACGAAAGATGGCCTCGAAAAGCAGTCAAAGATCTCACAAATGTTCTAACCAGTAAAGCTAAATATCTCTTTCTTAACGGTAAGTTATACAGTTTATCTCTATTCAAACATGCTGATTTAGAACTATTGTTCAAAAATCTACCGTCAGGAATATGATAGCAAGCAAGAATCATACGGAAATGTAGGGTCGCAAACGCTGTCCAGATGCGCGATGAGAGATGGCTGAGAAAGGTAACCAGGGTGCTGTCAAGACTGGGGGAAAAAAGGACAAAAGTTCGAAAATTTTCCTTGATAAAATTTTTTGTATTTCTCGTCTTTATGCAACAAATTAACATTATTTTTATCTTGTTATTTTTGATGGTTTTCTATTAAATAGACCAGCATAATCTTGATGGTTACCATCAATAATTCTACCCTGCACAATTATATTTTTGATAGTAACCAACATAAGTAACCATCACCCCAAAGTAGGAATTCGGACTGATTTATGATAGTTCAAAATAGTTAGAACAAGAATAGCAACTTGTTTTTATGGCATCTTCCTTCTGAATCAGATTATTAAACCATCATCGAAATGCATTGTTGTACCGTAATGTTTCATCACGAATTTTCACCATACTATCATAGAAATCAAATGTTGGAACGATCATGAACAACCATCATCTCAATATAGAAATTTGGACTGATTTATGATGGTCCAACATTAAAAAAAAAATTTTTGATGGTCTATTCCTGAGAATCAACAAGAATTCCCATTTAACCATCACGGAAAGTTAAAACCATCATGAATTGTTGGTTCATGAGAATAAAACGTCTCTTGGTTACCCATCATAGTATTAAAGCAGCAATTTCCATCCTGGAATGATGGAAGTGTGTTGGCATATTATTAAAGACAGTGAGCGCATAATGGAAAATGGTGGATGATGGTGGACCATCATGGATTCCACTGAAACCAACATAAACCATCAAAATGTTTTGATGGGTCCATCAAAACATTTTCACTTGGGTTGTCTTGATCTGCAAGCATGTAGAGCGTCTACATTTCATTTGCGACCTGTAACTTGTTATCATATTCCTAACCTATTTGAATATTCTTGAGCAATAGTTTTAAATCGCGAGCATAAATATCACTTCCAATCTCTCCCAAAAGTATTTATTAAAATTCTATATTACTTTATAAGTTTAAGTCAAACTTAAATAGTCTACAATTAATCTAATATAGCAAGAAAATTTAATAACGTAGAAATGTAATCAGTTTTTCGACAGTTTGCAACGATTCGAATCCATATCTAGTTTTTAAAAAAAATTAAACTCCCTTGTATTGAGTTAGAAAAAGGAAAGAAATTATTTCGACGTATTAAGCCTATCCACACGGCATTGCGATGAAACCATTATATACAATATGTAAGCCAACTTGAACTTCAACTGAAATCTCGTACAGTGTACTCTCCACACTTTCATCTGTGATTGTGCCCTTGAATAATGTCGTTGGTATTGGATATTGGCGGTGAATTGCGGAGGCAGTGGTCAGATCAAATCTACATTTAATCTAATTGCATGAAAAAACTCTAATTGGGATGTTGGTCACTTTTGATCCTTCCCCTGAAGTGGGCATACTAAATCTGAAGTAATATGTAAGTACTACTTTTAACAAACCGTGTGGTGGCGTTCTGATGGCTCACTCCAGGATTAGTACTTTCAAAATAATACAAGTAAATACAAAATTACCCAAATCAATACAGTCGGTTAATATAGTGGACGAATATCATTATATAAAATGAAATTTTGAGAACAATAGATACAAGTTATTATCGGTTAGTGAAATTTGATTGCTATTAATAATACAAATAATCCAGAGGTGTACATAAAAGACTTTCAAGAAATTGGAGGAACAGCTTAGAACAGGGTATTGCCGATAAGCCCCGCAATAAAGCTGTTGCAGAATTGAGACTTGCAGAGGGCCATGATTGCCTGGCGAACCACCTCTGCATTTTCGCTGACCCAAATTGCTCGTTATGCTCGAATAATGAACTTATGGACAGGAACCATCTATTGAGATGATCGGCACTGCGTGGGGACTCTGAGGTAAGGCGCTACTGAAGTGCCCGACATCTGTTAACTTGTTGTTAATCTTTTTGTTCACTGTTTTTGTAAGAGTTTGTCATTTTCTTTTGCCATTAGAAATTTAAAAAAAAACATATAAGACTTGCTAAAAAACCATACTATTACATTTTTACGCGCTATCTACGTACTATTTTTATGTGCTAAGATAGGTTTGCATACTATTTTAAAAAACAATTTCAGTAAATTAAAAATTATCTATTTGAAAACAATGCAATGGAGCAGTTTAATGTAAAAATGACATATTTAGAAAAGTATGGCTTATAACTATGTTTCTCCAAGCACTTCATTTATAAGTAACTATTTGCTGATTCTAATTTTTCAGAAATCCAAGCTTTTGCATTAATGGCTATATCTTGTAAAATGAACCAAACAGATTCGCTTACGTCGTCTGAAATATCTAGTATACTTCCGATTTACAAAACAAGTATTGCCAACCTGAAGAAAGAACAATTAAAGGATGGCGGTTTTGGGGATATTCATGACAGCGCTCTTGCTATACAGGTTTTATGTTTATTCACATACTTTGTACTGTTAATCAATTAAGGCATAAATATGATAATTTCCTTTGCAGTATCACGTGCATATGATTGTTTCAAAATCCCATTCACAATAAGAAGAAAGGTAGTAAAAGAATTAAGCCATTATTCTTTATTTTTAGGTAACATGCCGTTAACCCATTGACACAGAATTTTTATTTTCATACTTTTGCATTAATTTAGGTTAAAATAATTAAAAATATTTTATTCAAAATTTTAATAATTAATGGTTATGAAATTCAGCAGGAAACAACAATGTTTAAGATAAAATCTTCCAGACACGGCTCACTTTCAAACAATAATTATGAAAATTTGCACTAACTTAGATTTAAGAGAAAAAGTTATTAATCATTAAAATTTCTTTAATTTACGAAATCATTACGAATTGATAAATTTTTGATTATTATTAATTTTTCTAATGGCAGAGGGGATTGACACAGGATACAAATAACACAACTCAAGAGAACTAAAATATAATATGAATGAAAAAATAATTCTTTTTTTTTTCAAACTATATTTGAGGATTTTATATTTTAGTACAAATATTATTCCGATAATCTAACAGATTTTAATAACTATTATATGGTTTCTTATAATTAAAAAAATACCAAAATCTATTTTTGCTTGTAATTAGAGTGCTAGAAAAAAAAATATTTAAAAGAGACACCTATGTCCCATCTGCGTCAAAGGGTTATGAGAAATCTCCTGCAGGAAGCTGTATCCAGAAATAAGAAAAGTAAATAGGCAGTAAAATTTTTAATTGGTAGTAAATTGGTAGCTTGTTTTCGGAAGGATATATTTTCCCAGGCAAGAAACAGTCCCGTATACCTTTTATAACGTGAATAAGTCCTCGCAATCACAGATGTCTAATTTTTTTCCAAAAACAAGCTAGAAATGAAAAACTTTTACTACCGGTTTTTTAGTTTTACTGTTGCTTTTTCTCATTTCCGAATTAGGCTCTCAGACTTTTTTTTTTTTTTTTAGTCTCATTGCTCTGTTTTCTAAAAACAAATTAATAAGGTGATCAAGAATTTAAAAAAACTGTAGTTTGCAGAATTTTGTTACATTTTTCTAAGACTTTGAAAGCTTCAACACGGAAAAAGTCGGCACCTCTGCGTTAAGCCATTACTATGCAGAGGTGCGATAAAGTTATAAATATATACTGGAATTCAAAACCAATATGTTTTGATTTATAGTATATATATATATATATTAATAATGTAAGTGATAAATATTTAGGTCTAAACTGACAATAGTGACATTTTTAAGTAATAGGTGAAACTAGATTATTTATAACTCTAAACATATATTGATTTACCGCTATTTAATTTTTTTAAAAGAAGTGACATTATTAGATAAGTGACGAGCAGTATTTTGATTAAATACTGTCCAAAAATTTGGAAAAATTGTTCAATTTTTAGTTTTTAATTAGGTCAGTTGATTTTTACGTTTTCCGAATTACCGAGTTAAAGTTAACAACGAAGCGAAAGATCACTTAAAATTGCAATGCCTTATGAACGAAATGGTATTTCGAATGAAACTTAATATTATGCGTACCGGAAAAAATTCGTTGTTTGCGTCATTTGTATTAAAAATTCGCCGAATTCTATAGCTCTTACTGGATTAAATGCGTGACAACTCATTTCTAGAAAAAAGGTCTTTGTTTATACAAACTGAACCTCAAATCGAATGTACGTCACAGGTCTATCGAATTTGCCATTGAGATTCGACCCTTCAATTCGGTCATATTTTCATCATCTGCGGCGTGATTTTGTCAACAGCTTTGGCTTATGTCGTTCAATGGGTAACCTTGATGTATGTTTAATGAGTAAGTAGCACCATACAAAAAAAGGGTGCACCATGCAAAAATAAAATTGAACTCCAAAGGTGTAAGGTCAGAAAATATGGGTGCCCGCCGTCATCGTCACTTTTCACCTTAAAGAAATGACTGCAATGAGGACGAAGTGTGGCGGTGCGCCATTATGTAGAAAAATATCAAGAAAAGCTGAGAAGAAATAAGTTCGTATCTTATTTCGTGAAATTAGATCCTAGTTTATGAAATTAGATGTTCATTATCTTATTTCACGAATTAGATGTTAAAAGTATCCTATATTTCCTTGAGCTGTAGAGTGTTTCTTGTGGTAAATTTTATTACAACTTGAATAGGTAATAATTCTCCCATTATAATTATTGAATACCATATAGTTTAATTGCACTGTATTTCCCATACGATTTTCTATTCAACTTCATCAGTATTTCAAATTTTCACACGATATTGATTTTGAGTAACAAGACTAAATATGCTTAATGTTGAATTTTCTTTCAGACTTTAATATCCGCTGATGGTAATCTTCCTTACAACTGGAACTCAAGTGCTGCAATCAGAAACATAACAGAGCAACTGAATTCAGCCAAAATAGATTTTCAAGCTGCCTACTTGTCGGTCTCAATTTTAAACTGGAAAAGTCTGGCTGATATATCCAAACGAAACTGTTCAGGAAACCCGAGGGACAATGGTAATTAAATGCAGTAAACACTCAGCGTAACATTATTTTGAATTCAATATGAGTATGGGGTAAAATGTATGGTATGTAAACTTAAAGCAAAAAAACAATATCTATAAATTACAGAAATGGACATACTATAGTTTCGGTTTTATAAACAAGAACCTTCCTCAGTGTCTGAACACCAAATGATGGTAGAAAAGTAAAGAGACAAACAAGCGCAAAGTGGTTTAACCAGTGGGGACAGAGAAGAGTGCTCTGTATCGTTGAAATATATTCAATTCAATTGAGGAGCCGGACTACAGGCAACTTTACTCTTGCAGACATAGATGACAATACCAAAACTCAATTTATATCCATCCGACCTATTCGTGTCACTAACTGAGGTGAATGAAGGTGAAGGACAGAACCCCGAATCTACTTGTTCACTTGGTATTGCATTTGGTTTCCCCCTTTTAAGGTGTCCCCTCTGCAGAGGATCAAAATTGTGATAGCATGTCTACAGATCATCCTAAGGGATGTTTCCCAGACCGTCGCCAATAGCCCATTGTGCAGCTCTAGTGCGACGTAAATTAACAACCAACAACCAACCAACCCCGTTAAAGGTGTTTGAGCGAAGATTATGTTCGTAAAGAAAAAAAAATAGATTTAAAATAATTGCTTTTTAAATAATTAGTATGAAAGCTTAATTTTGATAAATAATGAAATAAGTGTATTTAATTATTTTGCTCAAAGTAAATTTTTTGAAACTTTTTTTTTAAAACAAAATGTTTATTAATATACATTTTGTTTAAAAAAAAGTTTCAAAAAATTAGAGATTATCTGTAACAAGATTAATTTTTAAAAATGCTGCTGAAATAAAATAAAAGTAATTTATTAATTAAATTTTATGATAATAATGAAGTAATTGATTCCTTTTTACCCATGCAAAATTTTCATCGACCAAAACGAGCGTAAAAAATTTAAAGTTTCTTTCCCTTTTTAATGCCGCAATAAATTTCAAAGCATTCTAAAATAAATATTGCAATCCTTTTGAATGAGTTCAAAATGACAGATATTAAAGTTTGAAAGCACTTATTAATTTCCTCTCCTCATTTTGCATGAGTAAGTATGACATAATTTTCTAAAAGCTTGAAGCATAATCTTTCAAACTTTGCCAACAGTTTTGTCTTGAAAAATCTTTCAAAATTTAAATTAGTCATCATAGAGAAGTGGTGACTCAGGGGATAGAGCATTCGCCTTCCAATGAGGTGAACCGGGTTCGAATCCAAGCAATGGCTTGTTAATACGAATTCCGCATCCGGTTTGAGCTGACCACACTGCTGATGTGAAATATCCTCAGTGGTAGACGGATCATACATTTGATTCCCCTTGTCGTCGGGCTAACCGTGGGAGATCTTCCTCTCCATGTAACGCAAATGCGTGTTAGTCCCATCAAAAAGTCCTCCAGGAAGGCAAACTTCTTCCAATACTTGATCCAGGAGTTCCCTTGTCTTCTGTATTGGGTTCAAAATTACAAGGCTCTGGAGTTGAATATTAGTAGTCGTAAACCCAAAATTGGGTCGACTGCTCAACGACGGTTATAAAATAAAATAAAATTAATCATGATGGTCACACAACCAGGGTTCTCACAACCAGGAAAAAATAAATGAGTTTGAGCTAAGATATTTAAGACTATTGAAAAATGCTTACATTTCCGAGTTATTTTTTGCATCCATATATAATTTATTTAAATTAAACAATTATTGTGAAAGCTTATCTAGATATATCTCCCTTTTGCTAACACTGTAAAAAATTTCCAGACCGTCGGAACCATGAAAAAAACATACCCGTGAACTTTTATGCTTCCGAAAAATGATGTTCTGAAACGGTAGCTAAATGTAAATTGAGTAAATAACTACAAACTATATTGTATAATTAACTATTTTTAAATTTTAGCAGAGTTTATATTATATAACATCATCATATGAGAACTTAGCATTTATAGATGTATTTAATTTATTTCTTTGTAGTAGTAGTAGTTAAATCGTGTTTTATGAAATTTATAAAACCAAGAATAAAATTAGAGGCAAAAAATTACTACAACTATATAATTTTCCGGAAAATTCATTATGCTGAGTTTCTTATATGTACGGTGGTTTTTAATGTGCTATGTAAGTGATGCAAAAAATTAAAATTATGGTTAACATTATTTTTTTTAACAATTTGCATGCGGGCAACTTTTCCAAAAAGTTTAATATAGCTGTTCTAGATTAAAATGTTAAAATTATAGGCAAGATTTCATAAATGTTGAGTCCCGCACAGGACTGATCGTTAAGACATGGTTCCCATCAGATCACCGAAGTCAAGCATCACTGGCTGCGGTCAGTGTGCGGGTGGGTGACCACTTGGATCAGTCTGCGTAGGGACCGAGGGTGTGAGGTATTGGTCCTCGTTAAACTGTGCTACCATAAAGTGCTCGACTTCGCGTGCAGGTAGGTCGTCGGGCTAACGAAGCAGGAGTGCCATCCCCTCTGCAGAGGATCAAAATTGTGATGGCATGTCTTCGGATCATCCTCAGTGATGTTTCCCAAACCGTCGCCATATAGCCCATTGTGAAGCTCTAGTGCGACGTAAATGAACAACAATCATAAATGTTGAAGCAAACTTGTCCCTTTAACTACAACTTTAATTTAAAAAAAATTATGACGAACGATTATAGTACTGATTGCATATATATTGAATCATTTATGTTTGCAGTAATGAAGAATGGATAACTTTTTTGAAAAACAGAACGGAAACGAAGTAGTTTTGCTTCTACTTTTTTAAACTTTTATATGAATAGCAGAAATTACAAATACGTATTTTTACGTGAAATGTGTTCATTTAGCAAGCTTCTTGGAAACAAACATCACAAATTATTATTTAAATAATTTTTTATATATTGATGGCCAAATTCACACACTGCAATCTTATAAAATCAAAAAATGAAAGGTAATGCATAAAATTAATTATCATTTCCAATATTCAAGAAAAATAAATCTGTCGTTAAAGCGATAAAAGCTGGCAGCGCTTAGTAGATTATAGGTAAAATTAATTTTTTATTATTTTACCAACACAAGCAAATTAAAAGGAAATATTTTTAATATGACAATTTGAAGTAGCTAGGACAATTACATTTGACTTCATTTTTAATTGTAATATTTCAGATTTCATGACTGACGTCACAGGATCTAATATTGAAGTTCCAGACGATCAAGTTCGATATTCCTTATTTATCGGAGATAAGAAAGAACTTATACGAACCATAACAATGAATGTCACTGATACTACAGCTTATCAAGTGATGCTAGGGGCAAAACAACAAAATGTGAAATTTACGTAGGTTCTTGTAAAATTATTAATATCGTTTCATATTTTTTCCTTCTGTTGGAGATTTAATATGTTTTGCATGCTTTAAAATGAGAATTTTATTCCAATTATTAAGCAGACAAATTGCATATTTACTATTACAGTTAAACCCCGCTATAGTGAACCTTCAAAGGATCGAACTTTTGGTTCACTATAACCGGGAGTTCACTATATCCGTTCCGCAAACAATTTTAACTTATGGTTCCGAACTCCTTTTTATTATACATTATTTAAATAAATGACCAATGAAATGAAGTACAAAAATGGCTGGAAAAAAAATACGTAGTAACAAAAAATATCATTCACCACTTTCTGGTACTTATGACATGCAATGCCTTTTAAAAAGCAATCAAAAATAGTCAAATATTTGCAAAATTTACTTTGAGGTTATTTACCGTTTTTTTTAATTATTTTGGCATGTTCGAAGCTGTTGGCATCTCTGAAGATAGCATATTTCAAGATAACAACTTCGTCCGCCATTATCTCAGTTGCCTACCGATGTTATCTCAGATGAAGGAGTAACGTGTCCGATTCGTGGACAGAGACTCTGTAAACTATTTTAACACGTGCACGCCGGGGTGACCCACCGGTGGGTCACGCTGGATTGTCTCATCGGGCGGCGAACCGGAGTAAAAACTGGTAACAAATAAATTTCATTTTTTAGTTTTTTTCCAGGAATAATAAAAATCCATAACTACCAGTTGTTTTTAACGGATGCAATTTTTATATTGAATTGCTACTTCGATGTGATAAATATGTACATTGCGATTTTTTATATAACCCAGATAAATTGTTAAATCATGAATTATGCGATTTCGTAATCTTACGATTTTACGACGCTCCCCCTTCCCTCCTCCTTCTCTCATAGAGATGAAAGAGCAGATAGCCTCATCAGGCTAGGTACTCTGGAAAATATTATTAGTTCAGTTCATGTGATAAATTTCCTTACAGTGAATTGTTATTGTTAAGAATAGATTAACTCCTCCCGAATATTATCTAATATTGAAATAGCCAGTATTTTCTCTTTTCCGTCCCGCTTTCAGCCACAACACCCGGCGTGAACGTGTTAATTCAAGTGGTACAAACTTAAACGTTTGATGGTGCTTAATATTTCAATTTAGTACCGTGATAGTTGCGTTCCTTAAGAAATTATAATGTGTTTGTCAAGTTGGCATTGCACCTAACAATATGTTTGAGTTTCCTATTTTATTTTGTCCCTTACGAAGCTAATTTCTGTTCGTAGTCAAATCGTTTTCAGCAAAAAATAGGCAAATCTGATAAATTCGATTTTCCGATTCCTATTTTATTTTGTCCCTTACGTGGCTAATTTCTGTTCGTAGTCAAATCGTTTTCAGCAAAAAATAAGCGAATCTGATAAATTCGATTTTCCGATTCCTATTTTATTTTGTCCCTTACGATGCTAATTTCTGTTCGTAGTCAAATCGCTTTCAGCAAAGAATAAGCGAATCTGACAAATTCGATTTTCCGATTCCTATTTTATTTTGTCCCTTGCGATGCTAATTTCTGTTCGTAGTCAAATCGTTTTCAGCAAAGAATAAGCGAATCTGACAAATTCGATTTTCCGATTCCTATTTTATTTTGTCCCTTACGAAGCTAATTTCTGTTCGTGTCAAATCGTTTTCAGCAAAAAATAGGCAAATCTGATAAATTCGATTTTCCGATTCCTATTTTATTTTGTCCCTTACGAGGCTAATTTCTGTTCGAAGTCAAATCGTTTTCAGCAAAAAATAAGCGAATCTGAAAAATTCTATTTTCCAATTCCTATATTATTTTAAAGGCACCTCAGCCACTGACAGTGTATTTTTTAATATTTAAGTGGTACTCTAGTGGAAGCAAAAGCTGCAACTGAACATATTAAACCAAAAAAAAAAAAAAATTTCTTTAAATAATTTTTTTCCCTTTAGATTCCAGACGAAAACTTTACCAGGTTCTAAGAAGATGTACATAGAAGAAATCTCACAAATTCGAAATGATCCCGAAAATGGAAAGTTCTGGCTCTTATATTTGGGTTCTAACAGTAATAGACCACTGGTTCCCTACTTTAACATGGGTAATATTTTTAATTTCAAAATAAATAAAATATAACTATATATTACATAAAATAGTTAGTGAAATGTTATAATAATTTAAAGAGCATCTTAATTTTTTTAAATTAACATCTTCGATAAAGAACACAAAGATTTTTAACAGTTTCGTTGAACAGCCTTTTTTTAGGTGTGACTCTAAAAATGCATTATTAGCCACATGTAACATTTTTTAGTTATGAATTTAACGTTAACTATTTTTAAACATTATTTACTTTTAATTATCAATTGAAGCAGATATCAAGCGTTTGTAAAATAAAATAGGAATTTTTGTTTCTCATTCCTAGTCAATCATTAATTTTTGCAAGAAGTAATTTTTGAAGAGAAAAATAATAAATTTAATAATTAACTAATAAACTTATATTTAACGAATATTTTAATAAATACAGTGTGTATGCTTTTTCAATCTGAAACACTTTCAGGCGTTGACGCTTGATTTGACAAATTTGTATTACGTTTCAAATATTTGAAGATTTTCTCAAAAAAAGCAAAAAAATTTGCTTGTAAGATTTTTTCTGTAATTTTGCGATTAATTCCACATTTTTTACACAGGACTGTTCTAACCCAGGAAAAAAGAAAAACTAATAACAGAACTAATTTATTCATGTAGTCTGTTCAGCCAAAAAGATAGGAAAAGATGTAAATTTTAAAAAAATGCGCCAACCTTTCTAATAATAATTTTATAACACATTTGATATGATGCTATATCAGTTAATCAATATTGTTTAAATTTATGGCTGTATTCTACACTATCATTTTTTTAAATTTTTTACATCATAGGAGTTTTTTTTAGCAAGCATTATAACATAAGGTTCAATAGTAAATAACTAAGTGGTTTAAAACCGCTTGAATGTTTAAAAATAAAATTTCAGTGTTTATTGAAAATTTAGTTTATTAAATAAAAGTTATTTAGTTTATTAAATAAAAGTTATTTAGTTTATTAAAAAAAAGTCAATTTATAGTATTCTGAATCATTCAGGCATTCATAACAATCAGTTTTAACTCCGCTGTTATTCATTTTTAAATGATTCTGCAAATGCTCAGAAAATTCCCAAAAGTAGCAAACCTGATCATGATTATGGCAACTTATTTGTTTACTTTCGGTCTATCTTTTCCGTGAACGCACTAAAAATAGCTTTTGCAAGAAAGTTTCTTTCTTTTTTTTTTAAATAACGGCAGGCACTTAACTTTCGTTCTTCGCCTTAGAAGATGCCGGAAGTGTTGCTCATTTATCGTTACCCAGTAGGCACCTGTGAACCAAAGTCACGGAGGTGAGCAACATTACCCACGCTACACTGCCACAAATACCCGTTCATAGGGTGGGCCACATTCATACATCAGAATACAACACTGAGAGAGAGAGAGAGAAACATCCATGCCCAGTGCGGGATTCGAACCCGCAGCCATTGGTTTCGCAGTCAGGCACACTAACCACTCGGCTGGCCTTTGCAAGAAATAAATGTGCTTATTTACTACGACATATTAGCAATTGTATTTCATCAGAGGAAACAGTCTTATCAATACTTTTAATGAGTTTTAGTATAGCCAGGGTTCTTTATTTCTTCTAAAAAATAGGTGAAATGAAATGGTTTTGAAATCTCGATATTTCCAACACGATATTATTGCGCTCTACGTATTTGGAATCGTAAATTTGAATGTAAATACACTGGTGAAAGAAATTAAGAGAATTTGCAGACTGGGTCGATTATCTCTAGAACTACTGGACCGATTTTAAAGAAATTCGATATGTACACACATTGATACAATAAAAAACAAATAACCATTCAACAATTGTAATACACACCCATGATCGTGCGTAACACTCGTTGGAGTCAGAAGGTATTAAGCAGCGGTTGCAGAATAAACAAAACAAAAAAAAAATGGGTTGATAGGGGCTGTGGTCCCCTTTTAAAGATATACAGGCCGTGCAGCGTGATTTCATACTTGAAAAAAAAGGCAGTTTATCATTTCCTGTGGCAATTGGTCCCACTCGTTCAGCAAGGCTGTTTTTATTCCCTGGATGGTTCTCGGAGGAGGGTAGCGAGTTGCAACTGCCCTCCCCAGAGAGTCCCAGACATGCTTTATAGGGTTGAGGTCTGGAGATCTGGGTGGCCAATCCATCCGACGATTATATTCACTCTCTAGAAATTCGACGACCAGAAGAGCTCCATGTAGCCTCTTGTTATCGTCCATTAAAATGAACTCAGGGCCAACTGCACCCCTGAAAAAGCGAACATAGGGCTCCAAACTCTCATCCCTAGACCTCACACCAGTCACAGAGCTTCTTTCAAAGACATGGAAAGTGTGCGGCTATTCAACGTGATTTTTTCCCAGACTATTAAACCTGGTCAATATGGTCAATAGGTGACCATAGTTATAGGTCAATATGGTCAATTGACCGCACTCCTTCCATGACCATGGAAGGAGTGCGGTCAATTTCGCGGACATTGGAGGGTGGGTAGCGGGTCCCTGGTTCTCTCCATATGAACGTACGCCTAGAACCGGTGTTTAAGCTGAACCGGGACTCATCAGTGAAGCGAACTGTCTCCCATTCATCCATACTCCAATCTCTATGCTCACTGCGCCATGCTGAACGGAATCTCCTGATCGTAAAAGTGAGCGAGACACAAACAGTAGGTCTTCTTGCAAACAAACCTGATTTTGACAATACTATTTCCTATGAACTAGCAAGCTTTGTTACTGAATTTGAGAAATAAAACAAATAATGTCCTTCTTACCAGCTTCTAAGATAACCTAGAAAGATGAACGAAAGCTGCAAAATTCGAGANTATAAAAGAATACAGAACGAAAGATTGTCAAAGAAAAAAAATTTTTAATCTAAAGAAAAGAGAGTCGTTTTCGTATATCTTTTTAAAAGTTTTTCTACTATTTAACTCTATTGAACGAACGACTTTTCACGACTACAAAATGTTATATTTGCTTTTGTTTGATTCACGAACAAATAAGAGCCGGTATAGACTAGTTGGTAGGACGTTGGGCTTGTGTTCGTAAGAACGGGAGTTCGAATCCCGTCGGCTGAAGACTCCCCGTATATTAAATGGTGACTGGTGCACGTTAAATCTGTCTGGGTCACTAAGTACTTCACCTTCCCATTATAAATCAATACCTCTGGGGGTATTGAATTGGAGATAGATCGTTATCTGGTGCAGGTCGAAAACTGCGATCTGTGGATAAATGATTATAGAATGATTGGGTCCTCCCTGTAAAACGGGCTGTAGCCTGTGTGTGGCTGAAGTCGTATTCCGGGCTATAGATGGCGCCACAAAAAAAACAAGAAACGCACCCTCTGCCTTAAAAACTCGCTTGATTTCAAACAGGCTTGCTGATTGGCAAGAGACATAAGTAACAACAACGAACAAATAATTATGACTTCAAATAACTTAATAATATTCTTTATATTTCAGGTCCTGATGAAGTTAAAGTGAAGCCTGGTGATCATCTAATTATGTGGTACAAGACGGCAGAGATTTAAATTCTGTATCAAAAGTAATACAGCATATCATTGTGAATATCATTCATAATAAATAAATAAAAAGCATTAAAAAGAAATTTCCAAAAAGGTTTTAAGTGCATTCATTTATCTCAATTTAAGAGCAAAATTTATATATTTTGTAAGCAAACAAATAGAAAGTATTCAAGATGGTGTATTAAACCATCTTTTCTTTAAAAAAAAATTTTTTTTTCATTTAATTATAAAGAAAATGTATGGCGTTTATGTGTGAATATTTTCTGACTTTCAAATTATGCTTTCTGCCCCCCCCCCTTGTAGAAATGTAACTTACGTTGCACATTATAAAAGGATAATGACTTATCGGAGTGCTAAAAATTTTCTTTACAAGATATGATTTTTATTTTATAAATTTTTCCGACTTATAATAAAGAAAAAGGTTACATGGTTTCTAGATTTAAAAAAAACTCGTTGTTTTGGCTGTCCTGATTTGGCTTCTTTTTACTTGTTTGTTCTAGTTGCAAGCCGTGTACCATTGTACGTTAGTGTTAGCCTATTGTTCGAGCAGCGAGATTAAGTTCATTTTACAAATTATCATTTAGTTTGGAATTTCGAAGTTCGTATATTGTTAAAAAGATTAGAAGTGTTTTATAATGATTCTTTTTTTTTTTTCCTTTTCAAATGACGATTCTTACGTCTTGAAAAGACAGGTCTTCAAATGACGATTCTTTTTTTTAAATACAAATGATAAATCAGGTAACAAATACACGTATATAAGAAATGCTACGCAAGTGAGTCCAAAAACACAGTGATCACGCTGTTTTTTTGAAGCGACAATAAAAAAAATTATACTGTCTCAAAGCCTTCAAATTAAAAAAAATTTCAGAGGTGCTAAAAGAAGTTATCTAAGATTTATACACTATTTGGAATAAAGTGACGGGACACGACACTATAACGACATAAACCCATATTTATTAAAATTAATAGTAGGTAGGACCTCTTTTGGCTGCGATCACAGCTGCAACCCTTCTGGGCATGCTTTCCACTGAATAAGTCATAGTGGCAAGAGGAATTTCCTTCCAAATATTTAACAGGAAGATCCATAGTTCATGCTTGCTTTTGGGGAGTGGGGTACAGGCCCTCAACCGATGGTCCAATTCGTCCCAGAGATGTTCAATTGGGTTAAGATCAGGGCTCTGCGCCGGTCACTCCATGCGTTCAACGTTGTTGCTCACATACCAATCAAGAGTCCTCCTTGCAATATGGGATCTTGCGTTGTCGTCTTGATACAAGCAATCATCCATACCGTACGTCGTCCACAAGGTAGGAAGGACATGATTGTCGAGAATATCACAGTACCCATCGGCATTCATCATACCATCAACCTTCACCAGTGGGCCAGCCCCATACCAGGAGAAACAGGCCCATACCATCAATCCTCCTCCACCAAACTTTACAGTTGTCCCGTCACTTTCTTCCAGATAGTGTAGTTTAAAAATTAACTACTGAATTGCATTAGAAAAAAAATGTCGAATTAAGTTTAGAATTGAGTCATAGTTTATAAAACTGAAGATTTTTAGAAGTTTGTTAGCAATTATCGACTTAACGGGACATTTTTTTCTAATAAATGGCATACTAAAATATTTTTTGCATAAATTAATATCTACGAAATAATACTCCTCTTGCCGAAATGGTATTCTCAGACACTTAAATATGTACAATTAAATCAACACTTCTAATAAACATACCTAATATATTATACGCCATTACTACTATCTAGGTTTTAATTTAATTTAATTTAACGATAAAACATTCTAGACACGTAAAAAGATATGGGTTAAAAATTGTTCTTTATAAATAAACATAAAATAGTATCTAATCTAAATAATGTCTAAGGAATAAAGCATATCTAATTCCCAAACTTCTATTGATTACGTTTAGGTCGCACCCGATTCTGTGTTGAATAACATATTTAAACAAAAATTAACATATTTCGTCACCTGTTAGTAGATATTGTGCACGTTTGTCAAGAAAAGTTAGTAGAAATGTAAACTATGTTTTTCATTAAATTTTTTATATTTTTACACAATTCATCAGAAAAACCTGTCACTTTGTTTGTCACAAATGTCCCTTGCACTGAATATTATTAAGTTTACCACTGAAAGAACACATATTGAAAGAAATAGGAATGAATAATTTAGATGACTTCTTATTCAGGTAAAATATAAAAAAATTTCTGACAAAAAATTAAAGATTTTTTCATCTAATTCATATAAAAGTTAACACGTTCAATTGCCAGTCAAGTGCAAATTGTTATAATAGATGAGGTGTAATCTATAAAAATAAAATCAAAGTTTAGTTTTCCTAATTTAGTAATCCTTCCAGTGTTTAATTTCTACAAGAAATTTATTTAAATAAACAATATGTTATTGTCATAAGAAAATATCATATTTTCAATAAAAATAGTATGATGATAATATGCATCGTACAATATGTATCATATAGTACTATTGCTTGATCTGTTTTATTGACACTAACTGTGGGAAAGAATTTCGACAACTAATGTGTTCAAATATTATTATTGATAGTCAATACTTTCTCTTGTCTTTAGTACGATCAATCATTTAAATTGAAAATTTTGTGTAATCGAAGACAAAATTTTTTTCTTTCTCCTTAAATTCGAAATTAAAAACCACAAATGCAGTCAGATGTGTTGAAATAATACGAAACCTTGATCTTACGTCACGCATTATTATCATCTTGTTCTAGTTTCATTATGAAGATTAGCATCATAAATAATTCACTTGTTCCAATTTTTCTTAAATTAGAGACAAATACAAATAAATGGTAAACTTTTATTGTTTTTACCTAGAATAAAAAAAAGCACTTATCTGTGAAAGTGAAACTAATTTTTCTTTGAAACTGCAAAAGGGTTAAAAGATTCCTTTTGAAGATAGCTGTAATTTTATTGACCATAAAGTGAATTGCCTGTAATTTAAACACAAAAAACTTCCATTTTATCTGTTTTCTTCTTAAAATTGCAAGGCATTTCTTTTTTAAATTTGTTGATAAAAGGTATTATAAAAGAATACAGAACGAATTAAAATCGAAAGTAGTTTTTTTGAATGTCTTACTTAGTCTTTGTCTTATTTCTTCACTAAGTTGATAATGCTAAATAGCAAGTATTTTTTCATTTGCCCGGCACTACTTTTTCTACAAGCATGTGAGTAATTGTTTCATTAAATATTTAATATATACATTTTCAAAAAAAATATTTAGAAAAAACAATTATTAAGGTTCGAACCCCATATAAAAATCTAAGGATAATGTCGCAGTTTTTCTTTGCTGTCATGGGTTCATTTTTATTATCCGGCAAATCAAACAGTAGGATGCAGCCCTCCCCCCCATTAAATTTTTTGGTTGTCATCAGCATAAAATTATCTATAACATTTACCATTCCTTTACCAACATTTACATTTACCACCAGAAGTCATAAAAGTAGTGTTTTCCTGCAAATTATTTTTGTATCCCAAATTTAAAAATTTTTCAATAAATTCCGGTATTTCTCTATCAATTATAAACTCGATAGTTATAATTAATTTGTTAGGTTGTCTTTAATAATAATTTAAGTAGAATAAAAAATTAATCATAAGTTAAGCATTTTTACTTGGATTCATTTTATTAGGTGGTGTTAAGTAATAGTTTAAGTAGTGTTATATAGTCAGTCATACCTTAAATATTTATTAAAAATAATTATGTATTTTTATAGGAAAAAAACTCAGTAACGATACACACCGAAGAGCCATTACATTATGACCACCCTGCTAATAACATGTAGGACCACCTTTAGCCCTCAAAACTGCTAGTACCCGCCGTGGCATGGATTCCTCAAGGTGCTGATAGGTAGTCTGAGGTATCTGGTACCAAGCGCTCACCAACTGGTCCTGCAATTCCCTCACATTGCGAGGGGGTAGCGTGGCAGCACGAATTTGGTTTTCCAAGTAGGACCACAAATGCNGTTGCCATAAATGGGTGAAACTGGTCTGAAACTATGTTCATGTAGCTTACAGACGTGAGGGATTGTTCTATGAGGATTATGGGTCCAAATGTGCACCATGAAAACATTGTTCCTGGGCGAGACCATTGTTATAGATGGAGGGTGGTCATAATGTAATAGCTCTTCGGTGTATAACTCAGTAATAGATTTTTTTATCCTCTCTAAAATGACTAATGGTAGAAATTTTAAAGATATGATGTGCCACATTGCCGCGTGCTGTAATAGCAATTATTTTTGACAGAGCTTTATCTTTTCGAGCAATAGCATTTATATATCAGTGAAACCTCGCTACAACAATATTTTCGGGTCCAAATAAATATATTGTTGTAGAGGGATATATTGTTATATCGAGGTCCTACATACTTTGGGGACACAATAAGATTTTTTTTTAAATTTTAGTGCTGTATATGTATTAACTATAAATGTAAATATTACATAAAAAATTAATTTACATAGTGTTAAGCATGATTTATTAAAAACAATTGAAATAAAATAAGGTCGCAGACATACCAGAAAACCGTTTTTATTGAAAATAGTTCGATATTTTTATTTGTTTGTTCATTTTTTCGACTATCAAGTCAACTAACAAAGTATGCATTGAGTCCAAAGCACGAAAACGATTTTTGCTTGTGAATGGTGCTCCCACCCACCCTCTAAGGAAAAATAATTCTCTTTCAGGCATTAATGTGATGCTTGTGGTCATTTGTCACTCATGATCACCTTTTATCATGACGGAAATTAAATCAGAGAGGAATGTCACTCTATTGTCATTGTCAGCAGTGAATCTTCTCTTGTCCAAAAAAAAAACGGCAAAAGATGATAAATTAAGATTTTTTACATTATTTGAAAACGAATTATAAATGGAGAAAATGGGGTTGAAATTTGGAAGGAAAAAAATCGTTTTACGGGGGTTTATTGCTTCAAAGAACGTTTTAATGTTGAGAGGAGGATAACATTAAATCATATGAAAGTTCGTCGGGACCACGAAACATTATCATTATAGAGGGAGTTATTGCTGTATCGGATATCGTAATAGCGGAGTTCACTATATATATATATTTGAAATTGAAGTACTTCCTCTCGGAAAACAGCTAGCTAATGAAAAAATTTAATATATTGTTTAAAACTAACTATACCAGAGATGCCAACTGCTCCGGACAAGCCATAATAATTAAAAAAAACGGTAGATATCTACAAGTAAATTTTACAAATATTTGACTATTTTTGCTTGCTTTTTAAAGGTATAGCACGACATAAGTACTAAAGATTGATGAATTATACAAGTCTACGAATTATTAAGAAATAGTGGTGGATAAAAATCTACTGAATTGAATTTATTAAACCAAGAATCACAATTGATAAACTACCACCTTAAAATATATATTTGCTGTCCGGAGCAAGTTGGCATCTCTGCTATACTGATAGGATTGAAGTAAGGAGTTAGGTATTCTATTATTATAATATTTATCATTCTTGTTTTACTTTGAAATTATTATGTTTTTTATTGTTTTCTAAATAAAAAGTTTAAAACTAAAAGTGTTTTTTTCAATTATTATAAGGTATTAATAAGTATCAAATATACTAATATATTTCTATACTAATACACTACATTGTGCTTATATTTGTACACTAATAGCACCTTCTGAAACTGCACCAATTATTCTATTGCGTTACCTAATGATTATTACCACAATTAATTAAGCATCATTGCAGTCAATAATATTATGAAGATCTTTCACAGTTCTAAGAAGATTTTCCACGGATATTTCAAGGCTACGGAGTTGAGCATTCGTTGTCGTAAACTTAAGAAATTGGGTCAGCCGTTCAACGACGGTTATAAAATGAAATATAATGTTATGAGGAGATATGGGTTATTATATATATTCACTTAACCCCTTTCTTCTCGCTCCCGTGATATTTTCGGGCTGGAGTGTTCAGTAGTAACGCACCAATAAGAATAAACTAATTCATTTCTTTTGCCCGGAAAACATTCTCATTTTGCACTCCAGATGGCAGTACCAGGAAATTTTTAAGGTAATTGTAGATAGTTTATTTTAAACTAGATGCACTAATCAAATACGTGTGTATTTGTGATATGTGATAAAAAAGTAGGCACTTTCATGACCGTTTTCTTGAAAATTAACCGATTGTTAAGGGGCTAAAGAGTGTCTACCACTTAAGGAGTGGTTTCTGAAACTGCGGATATTCTACAGTTATTTGACAGTATGTTCAATATTTAAAAGTAATGTTTGCTAAAGGACTGAAATATCCGAATTAGAATTAAACTTTCAATTACGTAATAAAACGTACATTTATTACGTAATTATTGCGTAAGTTTTTCAATGTTCAAAAACAAAATGTTTAAATAAAATACATTTAAAATGTTTTCAATACAAATGTTAAACATTATTTTAGGTTCTGTTTATTCATCTTGTATCGAAAAGAAAGGAATAAATGAAATTATTTCGGATTCCTACAATGTTGTTGGCTTTATCCAGTACCACAAATGTTGGAAAGTATTAAACCCAGCGAAGAATATAATACACTTTCGACTGAGAGAATTGCATTTGTTGGCAAAGGTATTGTAGTTGTTTTCCAAGTAAAGAACTGCCTATAAGTCTGTTTTTATAATGAAGGTGAAATAAAAATGCTATGTTAATTATAATATGGTCCCGATGCCTTGTCGGCAGCATGAAGATTTTTTACAAATTCGCTGCTGTGTAACACTTTATAATCACAATTCAAATAGCCGTGGCGGAGCAACCACTATAAAAATAAAATACCAAATAACTAGTATATAAGACACGTTAAATTGATATTATCACGAGGTACCCTTCGATAGATCAAGGTTTACATAGCAGGTACGCCAACTACTCCGGACAAGCCAAAATAATTAAAAAAGCGGTAAATAATTACGAAGTAAATTTTGCAAATATTTGGCTATTTTTGCTTGTTTTTAATAAAAGGTAAAGCATAACGTAAATTCTAAAAAGTGGTTAATTACATAAGCCTACGAATTATTTAGAAATAGTGGTGGATAAAAATCTACTAAATTGAAATTATTAAACCAAAAATCACAATTAATAAACTACCACTTTAAAATATATATTTGCTGTCCGGAGTAAGTTGGCATCTCTGACATAGTCTATAAATAAATCCCTTCGAAGTAAACGCGATTCATTTAGGTAACGTAATAAAAAATTATTGAAATAAAATCCGGAAACAAGTAATGAAATAAATAAAGTAAAGGGATTAGCGACTCTACGAATAAACGAAATAGAGAATCATTAAATTAAATGAATCATTGAATGCGCGAAATATAATCGAATGAAACAGCTAATTAATTATGAACAAGTCAGCAGAACGAAAGAATTCATCGATTCATAAATGTGCTGTTTCAGTGATTCATGGATAACTTTATTGAGTCGTAGATCACTGCTACGGAATTTTCCGTAGTTTCAGAAATCTTCTTTTCAGACGGTAGCAAAATTAATGTCTTAATATTTAAAAAAAATTAATTTTATCGTAACTTGTTCACTATTACTTATAAAAGTGCAGGCCATATGGCTNTAAATTAAAAGTTTAAAACTAAAAGAGTTTTTTTTTTTTATTATTATTATTATAAAGTAATTCCATATTACCTTATTACGCTACTTTTTAAGATAAGCTTACATAAATATATATTAACCGTTTACAAGCAGTTAACAGGTGTCTAAATACATATTAACAGTTTTACAATTATTATTTTTACATTATTATCTTTATTTTTTTTCCTAACATTGTATATGGTTTTACATAATACCGATAAAGAGATTCGTTAAATGATTTAGAACTTTAGCACAATGTGATGCATGCACAAATTATCTTAATATATCAGCTTGTTTGGAGAGAAAAAATAGTAGTAAGCTCATCAAATTTGTTATAAAAGCATACCTTTAATTTTAAATGTAATTTTTTTTAAAAATCATTACTAGAAAAATTATTCATATTTACTAATAGATATTAATAGACTGAAACAGAATCATACAAAATCTATCATACTATTTACCAATCAAAATTGACACAAAATAGACATTTAATTTAGAGAAATGAATACTAGTCGTAGGAAGTGGGGGGCAGAAGCAAACTTGCACTAACTACTTCTTTCACTAGTTGAATACCTGTTTATTGTACAAGGTGGAAAACAGAAAACAATCATTATATCGCTGAACAATACGGCAAAATCCTCCACAAAACTGAAAGACATATACCAACACAACTAATTACATTTTTTTAATTAATTATTATACTATGTTCTTCTTCGAGTCATTACGCTATTGGATTAAGCAAAACACATTTTGTAATAGTTCATCCAATCAAAATGAAAAGTAACTGTATTCCGAATTACAAGTACGATTGATTCTGTTGATCGAGGCTAACTCACGATAGTCATAATTTACCATAATCACGCTATTTTTCAGGGAACTTATCTCATTAGAAGGAAAGTAAAAAATCTCTTTTAACAATATCTGTAATAAAGTTTAGCAGTTGTGGTGTAGTTTTAATAGGTATCAAATATACAATATACTAATATATTTCTCTACTAATACACTACATTGTATTTGTACACTAATAGCACCTACTAAAACTGCACCAATTACACTATTGCGCTACCTAATGATTATTACCAAAATTAATTAAACATCATTGCAGTCAGTAACAGTATGAAAATATTTCACGGTTCTAAGAAGATTTTCAACTGATTTTTCAAGACTACGGAGTTGAGCATCAGCTATCGTAAACTTAAAAAATTGGGTCAAATGTTCAACGACGGTAATAGAATAAAATATAATGCTATGAGGAGATATGGGTTATTATATATATATTCACTTAAAGAGCGTCTACCACTTAAGGAGTGGTTTCTGAAACTGCGTATATTCTACAGTTATTTGACAGTATGCTAAATATTATTAAACATGTAAACTTATCAAGTTTTTCAATGTTCTAAAACAAAATGTTTAAATAAACTGCATATAAAATGTTTTTAATATAAATGTTAAACATTTATTTTAGGTTCTGTTTATTTATCTTGTTTAGAAAAGAAAGGAATAAATGAAACTATTTCGGATTCCTACAATGTTGTTGGTTTTATCCAGTACCACAAATGTTGGAAAGTATTAAACCCCGCGAAGAATATAATACACTTTAGTCTGAGAGAATTGCATTTGTTGGCAAAGGTATTGTAGTTGTTTTCCAAGTAAAGAACTGTGTATAAATCTGTTTTTATAATGAATGTGAAATAAAAATGTTATGTAAATTATTATATGGTCTCGCTTTAATCTATGCCTTGTCGGCAGCATCAAGATTTTTTACAGGCTCGCTGCTGTCTAACTCTTTATACGAATCACAAATCGAATAGCTGTGGCGTAACTACCACTATAAATATTAAATACCAAATTACTAGTATATAAGACATGTTAACTAGATACCATCACAAGGTACCTATCATTTGACGTAGGTTGACGTAGTTAAAAAATAAATCACTTCACGGCAAACGCGAATCATTAATGCAGCGAATTAATGAAATAAAAAACTGAACAAGTAATGTATTAGAAAAATAAAGGGATTAGCGACTCTACGAATAAATGAAATAGAGAATCATTAAATAAAATAATTGATGTATTGTTGAATAAGCGAAAAATGAATTCGCGAATGAAACAACTAATCAATGAGTAAGCAAGTCAGCAGAACGAGGAATCATCGATTCATAAATGTGTTGTTTCAGCGATTCATAGGTTAATTTATTGAGTCGTAAAACGTAATATACTTCTTTATTCATTCGATGATTCATAAGTTAGGTAATTTAACTGATTCATTAATTTGTTATTTTATTGATTTTCTAATTTCATCGTTTGCTCATTCATTGATCACTGATTTGCTTATATAAATTANATTTATTCATTTATATATATATATATATATTTATATCCTCTTGCTCTGCAATGTGTTACGAGAGTGTTTCACCTTACTTTTCAAAGGTTCTGAGTTCAAAATTACGATACATTGCAAAAATCTATAAAATTAATTGATAAATAAGACTACCACATTCTAACACGTATGAATGATTTATTTGCAGCCTCTTACAGCTGGCAACTTAACAATAATGCTAAAAGATGAAAGAACGAATCATACTTATTGGACTGAATCGAAGTCTGGGAACATCACAACCATCTCTACTGACATAGAAATTCATTTCAAAGTGAATTCTGGTAGTTTCCCTAACAACTATAAGGCCAACTTCACGTTGTATTTCGAAATGGGTGAGTGTTACTTTCTGACGAAACGAAATCCATTTCGCTTTGTTAAGAGCATTTACTACAATCGAAGAAGTAATTTCACTATCAGATTAGAGACGTTTGTTTTGACAAACGGTACCATGAAACTTTATAACCGTTTCTAATCCGGTACTGAAATAGCTCTGATCTGACGATTGTAGACACCTCAACTGGTTATGAATTCATTCTATGTGTTGGAGTCCCACTGGGGACTTATCGTAAGACACGGTTTCCGGTAGATGACGCATCTCTGATTAAGGTCAGTGAGCGAGTGGGTGACCGTTTTGATCAGTCTCCTTTAACCGTAAAGTGCTTAACCCCAAGCGCCAATCGTCGGGCTTCCAAATCGGGTAAGCAGTCCTGCCTGCAGCTGCAAGTACTACGAATGCCAAATATACTGAGAGACGATTTTTTTTTTTTGAATGAGATTCTTTAAACAGATCTTAAATACTTTCGAATTACAGTTTCCAAATCTGCAATCGGTTTCTCGCTACAAGCTACAGTTTTGAAGCAATAGAATAATACATTCCTAAAAATGATTGTTTTTTTATTATTTAAATTCACTCGAGTGAATACTCAGTGTCCCCGCTTCTCTGATACGTTGGGCGTGGTAGGAAGAAAGCAATAACAAGCTTCAGTCTGTAATGCAATGAGTAATTTTTTTTGTTTTGTTTAGTCTTTATGTGTATCGAATTTTATTCTGGAAAAGTTCTCGCAGCGTGTTAATCCGGAATAAAAAGTTATCTATTTTCTAATAAATGTCGATTCTGTGGTAAGATGTGAATTTACAAATCGAGAAAATAATAAGATTTGTTAATTTTAACAAAATTTAAAACTTCACACCTTTACAATTAATCAGAATTCTAATTAACTTATGCACATTTTTATTTCAGAGGTTGGTATTGCAGGTATAGAAGATGTTCGCTCGAATGCTGTAACTTGGTTGAAAAATCAACGCTCGCCTTTTCTAGATTGGAAAGAAAATACGCTGAGAGCCATAACCGCTTTATATCTATCAGGAAATGCAACATACAATGGAACAGACGTGCGAGAAGAATTGCTAATTAGGCGTGCGGAGTTTTTAGTTTCCAGAGCTTTGCAGCGGTAAGAATACTTTTTTTAAATAAAAATTTACTAAGTCTAGAATTCTTAATAAAAATTCAGTCTACATTTACGTTACATTGAAATGAAAACCGCAAAAACCTCCCTCGGTAAACGCGATGGCAAAGGGGGCTAACCCATGATCTTTAAAAAGACTAAAGATATTTTTATGTTTATTAAAAATGTAAACGTTTTAGGTGTAACATTTTAGGTAAAATTCTTACTTATAATATACGTACAACATTACCATTCTCTAACTGCGCCTATAAACGCGTCTGACTTTGTCATTTATAAAGCTAACTAGGTAGATGAGGTTACGTTTCCAATTTCCAAATCGAATGGGCAGAAATAAAGTCTTCCATGTTTCTTTTCAATAGATAGTACAGTTTCTAACTTATATCATATTACGCATAAAATCCGTATATTAGTTCTAACTTCTTAGTTTTAATGCCCTGTGATTCAAGCAACGTCACGCACGGATCGGCCAATCAGGTTCGGCATACACGTGTGACGTCACTTGCGGGTATTTAATTAAGTCTGGTTCGAAAATTCATTCAGCGTGATAATAAACCTAAGTCTTAAGGTTGTAACGTTAACTCTCCTTGCACAACCATGAGATCAGTTACAAGTACCGAATTACCAAATGAAAGTATCATCATCACACGTTTGAAACAACGCTATGAAATACTAAATTTTTGAATGAATAACATCTAAAACAGTTGCAATTATTTTTAAATAACTATCATCACTGCACACATTATTTAACTCCACGAAACAAAAATCCATAATGCGATTAAAAAAATATGAATTTTTTCTTAATTCCTTTTACAATACAGAGTTTTTATTCTTTTTTTTTTTTTTTTTTTTTTTTTTTTTTTTTTTTTTTTTTTTTTTTTTTTTTTTTTTTTTTTNCCAATCCAAGAGCTCTTAAATTGAAGTTTAATTGAGCTTAGAGTTCTAATTTTACTGAAAAGAAACCATTGAGTTACCCAAGATATAGTTTTCTTAAAGCTATTTTCAAAGATCACTTTCTTCAACTGACTTACTCAGGGCCGGATTTAAGCTAGGCGGGGCCCTAAGCTACTAAAAATGATAGGGCCCTTATAGGTTCAATTCCGTTTTCCATGCACCTAAACTGTGATATGAGCATTATTATTGAGTATTAACATTAAATTAATAAAATTTGTTAATATTACTTGATTGTTAAATATATTGATTGTGATGAAACTATAATGTAGAACCCTTCTTTTATTACACATATTTTTTAAAGGAGAAAAAAAATTTACAATGGAAACATATATTAAGCTCATTCATTTCACAAGTATAAGAACACTGAATAATCACATACATATATAAAACTAGATAGAAGAATAAAAAAAAAATTCTAATACTATGCTAAGGAATAAAAAACATTTAATAATCTTTTACGCACATTAACACAAGACATATACATTTATAAAATCAAGTTAAAATTATTTTAATTAAAAATTTATATCACATTTAAATTAATGTAGGAATTCGAGCACTTGCAGGAAATCGCCTTAAACTTTTAAAAGTAGTACGGAAAAAAGTAATTGAAAGGGAATAAAGAAACTTTTAATTAAAGAAAAATAGAATTTTATTATGTTATACTTGTTGGAAAATAGAGTTCGTTTTACATAACCATCTCTGTTTACAATATTTTTCTTCTTGCCTTTTTCAAAGCAAAATCATTAACAATTATCAACAATATCATTAACAATACCTTGTCAATAACAAGTTCATCACTTTCAATGAACATCAGACTAAGGTTTGCTAACTTGTCTTGTGACATAGTTGTTCTAAATTCGTTTTTGATTCTTTTTAGCTGAGAAAATGGTCTTTCACCATGACAATTTGTAATCGCCATGCAAAGGAACAGTCTAAAAATTGCTTCCACATTAGGGAAGGCAGATTGGATATGATCCTCAAAAATTATTTTATAGAGCTCTTGATGTGTCCGATTGTTCTTGTCTTTGTCCTGCTCTTGACTTAGTCTTTGCTTTACATAACAATGAAAATGTTTCAGTTCTGAAGTTAAATTACTGTTTACATCTTCAGGATAGATTTCTCTTAAAGACGAAACTCCTTTACGAATCTGTTCTTCTGAAGCATATAAGTTTCTTAAGAAAGAAAAGGATTTTGCAACATCATTATATACAGCTGCTCGTCGTGAAAGATTCGAATGAAATGCATCAATCACCGGTACAAATGCCTTGATCCTAAATCTGTCTTTAAGTCCAAGATTCTCGCCTTCATCATTTTCAGTCCCTCCTATATATCTCTCTCCCTTTTTTGTAGTCAATATCGGGCAATTTAATTTTTGCTAGCTCTTCAAAGTAGTCAAAACGTTCCCGACATTCATTTACAAAGTTTGACAGTGAAGCATATAAATTGCTGGCGACATCTAAAGTAATTTTTGGATCTCCTAAAGACTGACTTACTTTATGGAATTCTGCCAATAAATAATCCCACGGGTGTAGCATAATCATAAACTCAAGTTCTTCTATTTTAACCAAAATGTTTTCAGTTTTATCTCTTGTGTCCCCTTTTTCGGTTTCATCCATATACAACTGATTCAATGCATATATTATAGCATCATAATTGTCCATTATTGCACTTGTGGTAGTAGAATGGGCTTCCCATCTAGTTTGAGAGAGAGATTTTGGAACTTTAGATTTATCTGTAAAAAACGATAACATCACTACCCATCTGTGAGTTGACGAAGAGAAGAAATCGTAAATTTTTTGAACATTTCCAAAAAAGTTCATTGCATCTAAGCAACAGTTGACTGCTGCTTTGCCAACAAGATTCAAAGAATGTCCAGTACACGGAATGAATATCGCATGCTTGTTCATCTTTAAAGAGATTTCCTGCATCCCTTTATATTTTCCTGACATATTTGCAGCATTGTCATATGAATGACCACGGCACTTACTGAAATCTATTTTACATTCATTTGTAAGGTAACCATGTACCATATTGGCGATATTTTCCCCTGTGTGGCTACTCATCTCTAGGAAGGTTAAAAAAACGTTCAATGGGGAGTCCGTCATCAGGGGAGACATATCTCACAACCACAGTGAGCTGATCAACATGGGATTGATCTGGGGTTGAATCTACAGATATGCTAAAATATCCTGCAGTTTTCAAATCCTTTGAAATTGATTCTCTTACTTTATGAGCCATCATTTGAATAAATTCATCGCACGTTGTTTTTGAAAGATACGATGTAACTCCTGATCCTTTATTTCCATACTCTTTTATATGGTTTGATGAAAAAAGGATCAAATTGAGCTATAAGTTCTAACAATCCAAGATAATTCCCATTATGGGGGGAACCAAATTTTTCGTTGTCTCTAAAAGGTAATCCTCTTTCTGCTAGCGTAATTATAACTGCCACGACTCGTTTAAGAACGTGTTTCCAATACTGCTGTTCGTTATTTATTTGTTCCGCTAGTTTGCAGTTAATTATTGAGCCGCGTTTTCTATTTTAATATGTCAATAAAGCGGCTCTGTGATCCTCCGAATTTTCGTGGGATTGAACTGTGTGGGCGTTACGCCAATCGGAAAATCCTCCGGACGCTAATGATGTTGAAGAGTCTGAAAATAGCTTGCACACGAAGCAATATAATCTTCCAAGTTGAGGTGAATATACAAGCCATTCTCTGCAATAAGTTTCTCCATCTGCTCGTTTTGGATAAAATAAGCTCTTTGAGCAATATCGCCCTTGTTTAGCATAAAATCTTTTTGATTTTTCAAACGAACCATATGAATGTTGGCACTATTGCGGACGTTTTTCGACCCAGTAGGCTATCTCACTTTGACTCAAATCACCCCATAGCCCGATATCATTTTGTTCAAAATTTGAGGTGGAATTTTCCGAACTTTCACTACTCTCTAATTGATTGAAGTGAGCATATTTTTCTTTAAACATTGAAGCAGATTCTTCAGTCATTAAAATGGACTCCTCAGATTCAGGTATTGAAGCCGATTCTTCAGCTAGTCTTAAAGGTAATTCTTCAGCCTGTGAAACAAATTCTTCATTCATTGAAGCAGGCTCTTCAGACCTCAAAGCAGAGTCATGATAACTAGGCGTACCAAATTCTGTATTAAAAAAAAGAACAAATAACAATTTAATACTGTGTGACAGGAGAAAAGACTTCGGTTCATCAGTATCAGACTTCGAACACTTACGTACTTTTATAAAATAGCCATCTAATTTCGGTAATTTGCTATGTTCTTCTTCAGCTTTTTTCTTTTCTTTTCTTTTTTGAGCCGCAGTCTTATAAACTCTGGTTGACATTTTAAAAAAACCGTAAGCGAAACACTTTGTAATAACAATATTTATATACTTTATTAAAAAATAAAGTATAGTAATGTTAAAAATAAATTATAATAAATAGCGAAGAGTTAAACTATAAAATCAATAATTCTAACATGAAACAAAAAGTAAATCATTCTACCAAATAAAAGTGTTAAAAAAATATAAAAAAATAATTAAAGCAAATGTTACTATTTGAGTATTTATAAATTCGTTACTAAATATTCATTTACTTCAATTTCATTTAAAGCTAAAACATCCTAAATAAATTAATCAAGTAAATAAGTAAATAAATAAAATACGAAAATAAACAAATTAAACTCAAAGCAGGGGCAATTCTGGTTCTACCCTAGCTAATGGCAGTATTAATTTTTTAATTCTTATTACTGAAAAAAATGTTTTAGAAATATATAGATTAAAAAGCATATTAATTTTCAAATTGAATCTTTAATTTAAAAAAAATGATAAATGTTTAATTTAATCTTGTGAATTGAAATCATTTTTTGAAATAAAAAAACTATTAATTTAATATTTTTTTATTTCTGCAAAATGTTTAAAAAATAAGGATTTTTTTCCTTGAGAATTACCTATTTCTTTATTAAATATAAGTAAAAATATTGTTTATAACTAATAGAATTAATTGTAATACATAAAAATTAAAGAATATTTTTATAAATTTTATAAAATAATTCATTTTTCTTTAATGGAAATTTTTTTATTTTATTCAAAAGAATAAATGATTGAAGTAGAAAGTTTCAATAAAGTGAAATTAAAAAACTACATTAGAATCGCTTTAAATTTTTTAAATTAAATAATTTTTTTAATTCCAGAAAATGCTTTGATTTTAAAAACAATTTAGTTTCTTAATAATTACTAATTTTAAAAAACTTCTATTTAAATAATGAAGAGAAAATGATGTCATTTAAAACTAACAAATAATCTCTCTATGTTAAAGAAATATAAGGGCCACCGTCGCCGCCATTTTGAGGGTTCACCTTAGCATTGCTCTTTGCTTTATAACCCCGATCTATTATTTACAGTTCAAAAAATGCAAGATTTAGAAACTTGAAATTAGATGCATAGAAAAGTGTACATGGATAAAGATTAAATTTAAAAAAATGAACATTCGATAATTAGAGAATTATCAACTATTCAACTTTTTGCCAAAAATATACGGCTGCTCAACAGGCCGTAGGAATACAACAGAGTAAAAATTTGGCATTCTGGAAGGGCCATTATATATTCGCGTGACGTGTATGTCATGTTTTTTCCCCGAGATTCTGACTACATGTTATTTGCAATTTTAAATTATAAATAAATTGTAATTTTAAATTTGCAATATTCTCAATTGTTTTTTCTTTGCGTTACATTTTGCATTGCGACTCAAAATCTATAAAATTTAGATACTTGAAATTATAAGGTGATTAGAAAATATGCAAGGAGTTTGACAGTATGCAAGAAAGTACAATACAATTATTAGTTTTATTTTATAACCGCTGTTGAACACCTGATCCAATTTTGAGTTTATGACTACCAATGTTTAACTACGTACCCTTGTAATTTTGAACTCAATTCAGAATAGTATAAGACAGGGATGGGCAAACTTTTCTGGTCGAAGGCCAAAAATCGAAGAAAAAAAATTTAGTGGGCTAAATAAAAAAAAATACTGTATGCAATTTTGAATGTAAATATTTAATGAGATGAATGAAATTGCGATTTCATTTTCAAAAGTTCCTTATATTAAGGTTCCAAGTTTGATGTATTCATTTTAAGGAACAAGGGTAAATGTTTGTCTGTTATTCTACTTCTGAAATGATTTTTTCTCAGGTTCGTAGATGAAAACACTTGTTCACACATAAATAAAAGGAAGCAAACATAGCCCTGATTTTCTAGGCATGAAATATTTGGGAAACTAGCTTTTGGTAATGATTTGTAAAACTCAATTTTTGGCATATTCAGAAACAATTGCTTCAGATGGCACCAATCTACGGCTATTCTATAAAGAACTTCTGCTCATTTTACCAATTGAAGCTGTCTGTGCTAGCCTCCATCAATTTATGTTTTGTAGAACAAAAATAGAGAAAGTTAAAAGGTCCGCAGTACTTAGTTAAAAAAGAAAGAAAAATAACTTTAAACAAAGTAGACAAGAAAATGGATGTATATTGTTTATATTTGCCACAGATCAGCAAGTTAAAATTCCATCCGCGGGCCGGATAAAACCTTCCGGCGGGCCACAGTTGGCCCGCGGGCCGTAGTTTCCCCATCCTTGGTATAAGAGAACTCCTGGATGAATTGTTATAAGAGAACCTCGATGAACTGTTGCAATGCGAACGGAAAAAAATACCAAATGAATGGTTTAAATACCATATATTTTGGTTTTGTTAAAATTTTTTTCCTCGTAACTTTTTCTCCGTGCGTTATTTTCTGTTCTACTACTTTTGCACTAACTATTTAGACATAAATACTAAAACTGTAACCCTATCATTGAATGTCAAATCCTATTTTGGAAATAAGGCTGTTGCAGTTACCAAAATAAGAGAACCTTTTATTTTAACTACTAAATAAATAAACTAATGCAGCACAGAAAAATATTGCAAAACAATAAGCAAATAAAATTGTATTGCTTAATTTAACGAAAAAATCTCACCTAGAGAGAAAAAACACAAGAAGGAACTTCAACAAAAAGGAAGAAAAAAATGTTCTATTTATTCTTTCAAAAAAAGCAAAGAGAAAGCGTGAACCACCAATACAATATGTCCTTCTTTAATTTCATGCTTTTTGCCAACCTGGTTAATACCTTCAACAGCAATTTAAATTCTGTTTTTTGAAAATAATCGTCTGCTATTATGTCTTTGAAAATAATCGTCTGCTACTATGTCTTTGAAAAAAATCGTCTGCTACTATGTCAATCTTCAACAAAGGCTATTTTTAACACTCTACATTTACTTTAAATATAAAGGTTGCGGATAAATTATTTTTATAAAACATTGCAATTAAACTAAGTATATCAAATTTATTGAATTTTCTTCTGTACATTAAAACATATATTTCGATGCTATGAATTTAGAAATAGTAAGCAATTATAAATTAATACCTTACATTTTATTTGCATAAAAAGTGTATTTTTTTTTTTGAAAAGAAGTTTTTTATATATATTTATGAATGATTTTGTAAACAATAAATTTTCTCTTTTTCTGATGCATGAGATAATAAATAATAATCAATGATGTATGTACTGGTAAAAAATAAGCCATGTTAAATGAAAAAACTATATCGAGAATAGAAAAGCAATTAATCGCTGCAAGGATAAAAATGAATGCATTGCTGTTTGGTTAGGAAAGTGAAGAGTAACAATTATTTTTTATTTGTAAACACTTTGATTAGATTTTAAAAAGCAAAAAGCAATGTGAAAAAGAAAACGTCTTCAGGGCATTTTAGTCTTCAGGGGGCACCAGATCCAAATAAAACTTTTTTTTTAAAAGTGGGATCTGGGAGCCCTTGCCATCTCGGGGCCTCAAGCTACACCTTATTTAGCTTATACGTAAATCCGGCCCTGGACTTATGGCACAGTATTATACACTTCAACCCTAAAAAGTTGGGACGTCTTATGAAAAAAAGAATACAAATAAAAAATTTTATTATTTCAATTTGATCTGAAAGATAAAAGCAAAACTTTCTCTAAGTCTGAAACTGTGAGACACTGAGTCAAACTTTAAATTTCATTGTTCCATCAGACAATCCTAAGCATCCCCTTAAAAAAACTTTTTCAAAATTAAGCATCTATTTAACTGAGTAACAGTTGTATAAAGAATTATTATTTTTTCTTCGTATTCTCCTATGCTCAGTTGCAAGTTATGAAAAAACCATTATCTCTATGGCGTGTGCCTGTTTGCAAATAAATGCACACCAAATGGATGCCAACCTCCCAGCGCGAACGTATATCAACATAGTCTACTCTTAAAATGACGTTGCATAGCTTTCTTTTTGGTTGCTTTCATAAATCGTGTGAAATGAAGAAAATAAAACTTATTTAATAATCAATTAAAACGTTATAAAAATTAAAGAAATGATATCTAAAACTCGTATCAAATATACGCCTTTCTGTTCACATTTAGAGAAACTGATGAAAGAATAACAAATATTGTTGTTACTTGCAAACGATTTTCTTCTGCAGGGAAACAAAAGTAAAAATTCTTTATCTCGCATTTGATTTGTTAAGGGCATGTCAGCATAGAGCCCGCCATTTTCAGTGGTCCAATCAAATCCAATGTTCTTGCAACGTCCTATCTTCAAGAACGTTTCTTTTTCAAATGTTCTTATTTATCGGAATAGGGCGCTAAAACGATATTCTTTTTCTTTTCTTAAAATAATTCTAACATATATATCATAAAAGATAGCATAAATTAAATTCCTGGGAGACGTATTTAACTTTTAAAAGATTTTTTGTTGTTTTAAAAGCATATTTGTATAATTTGATAACGAAATAAAACGGAACTATATGCAGTCGTGGATGAGTACTTAAATCCTATACTACAATAGTCTTTTCTTAACTTGAAACGGAGTATAACTACCATTTTATAAATGTTTCTACTAAGCTGTATTAAGAAATTTTCTTGCTATGTCACGAACATTCTATAGAATTTTTAAGTACGTGATATTTTCTCACACATATTATTAATCTTTCAACTATTAATTAATACTCAATCCACACTGTGCTTATTATAATTTGAGTTTCATTTCCAGCAATGAGATTTCAGAAATAGATTTGAGCTCTTACATCAATTTTCTGCGAGTAACCTGTAATTCCCCACGCCATTTTGCTTCGTATGATTTAATACAGCTGTTGCGAAGTAAGTTGGAATCTTCTGGCAATTTTACACATCCTTCAGTCTATTTGGCTCTGTGTAATGCTAATGAAAAATGGCCTCAAAGAGCTGTATCTGACCTCACAAACGTGTTGACCAGCACATCTGAATACCTCTTTGTTAAAGGTAATATTTAGAATTTGTTTTATTTTACTAAGTTATAAGGAAAATGTGTTCTTAGCATAGCTCTCAACTTTTTCGTTAAGGTTGAAAAATATCCTTTGGGATAGCGGATTGCATATTTAATTTTTCCATCTATCAACAGTCTAGTTTTATTTTTCATTTTTTTTTTCGCTCTTAACTGTGGACAAAGTGATTGCGTTAATTTTTTCAAAAATTGGACACGCATTTAACATCAGGTGTTCGTATCTGTGGTGAAAAGTGTGAAGTCACGACATTCTTATCTCACAGCAGAAATGGAAATAATTTTGAAGACTAAAAATGTTGAAATGTCCCGAACTCATGTTGGTTTGCGTGACTTAATGGTTGCCAAGCAGATTTTAAATTATGACTAAAATTCAATACATAGAAAATTTTGACGATATCAAGAACATTTCTTAAAAATAATTGAAATCAAAGTACTTCCATGTGGGCAAGGCCGTGGGCAGCAGCGTGTATGTGCATAATTAATTTTTGTGTAGATATAGTTAAAATCATTTTAAATTAGCTTATATATCCAAGATACGAATAGGAAAAGTAAAATTAATTTTAATAATTTAAGTATAAAAATAAGTATAAATTTAAGTATAAAAGTATATGTCACTGCTGTTAGTAGGATTTATATTCGTAGGTGGATCCCTACTAAACATCTTATTCTTACTTTTAACTCATCTAACTTAGCATTTTCTGTTAAGCTAGCTAGGCACTATTGACCTGTTAAACCTTATATCCCAAACCCTTTGAAATGCTTTAAAATGTCAAAGGTTTGGGCATTCTAAAACATCTTGTCGAGGTCGACCTGTGTGTGTTCGTTGTACTGGTACTGACCACGAAGACAATTCCTATGAGTTGCCACCCCTAAGCATTAACTGCAAGGGTGCTCATGCCGCGTACTCTACGAGTTGTCCCAACTGGTTCCAGGAGAAGGACATACAATCAGTCAAAGTCTCTCAAAAACCTAAGTTACTGCCAGTATTCGCAGAATAGTATACTCGCGAAATAGTTACTGCCCGTACTAGCTAGAATTTTTTTTAAATATTATATTTATTTATAGTTACACATACATAGTTTAGTATGCTCATTTCAAAGATGGCATAAAAGCCCTCATCAAATTAAGGAACAGAAAGCATAATTTACAGAAGAACATCACAAAGAAAAATCCAGGGTACGGGAGGATTCGAAGCCAGGTTGGCAAGGACCGTTCGAAGTGATATACGAAGCTGAGACAGTTCGACCAGGTTTGGCTTGGTTTCTTGAACCAAGGTAGACACTTTTCCCATGTATCGTGAATTGAAGGACTCTGTTGGGTAGAAATTGAGGTGATGGCACTGTGTAACCACGAAAGCCCTTATTAATGTTTTACAGATATCCATTTTTAAATTATCACTAGTTTCAAAATCAATTTTTTAAAAATGAAGCATCTCAGAAAATAAATAGGTCATTTTTTTTCTCAGCATAGTTTTGGTCTATCAGGATCGCTTCTGCGATTTACTTTCCTTTCTTTTCCAGACATACAATCGTTTGCATTAATGGCTATCTCTTGCAAAATGACTTCCCTCAATACCTCCGAAAGGGGCAGTCTGCTTCCTATCTACATCAGAAGTATTTCTAACTTGAAACAGAAACAACTATCTGACGGTAGTTTTGGAGATATTTACGAAACTGCTATTGGCATACAGGTAAATGCGTTGTTTATCCATTGTTGTAATCGCTGTTCAGACGACTAAAAACAATTACTCAATTTGCGCATAGACAGGATTTCATTTGTTCCGCAGTTAAAGACACGGTTCCCAGCAGATCAGCGAAGTCAAGCATCATCGGCTACGGTTAGTGTGCTGGTAGGTGACCACTTGGATCAGTCTGCGTAAGGACCGAGGGTGCGCGGTATTGATCCTTGTTAAACTGTTCTACCGTAAAGTGCTCGACCTCGCGTGCAGGTCGTCAGGCTACCGAAGCGGGGGTGCAATGCCATCTGCAGAGGATCAAAATTGTGATGGCATGTCTTCGGATCATCCTCAGGGATGCTTCCCAGGCCATCGCCAGTAGCCCATTGTACAGCTCTAGTGCGACGTAAATGAACTACAACAATTGATTCAATCATTTGAATTTAGAATGAATTTTTCCATCATTACATAAAAAGAACTTAAACATACATATATATATAAAACCTATTGAATGTGCAGAAAGTTTTTATGCGAAAATAAACAAATTAAGATCAGCTTAAATTGATTGTTGGCTACCTTTTTGAATATTCTGGCAAGCTAGGACTTCCGGATTGGTAACTATGGATAAATTTATCAGCTACTAGTGCCAGAGATGCCAACTTGCTTTGGACTGTGGATAAGTATTTTGTAGTAGTAGCGTTTTAATGTATGATTTTTTGTTTGGTAAATTCGATTTATAGTTTTTAAACACCGCATTTCTAAATATTTCAAGGGCTTATCTGAAACGCCACTTTTTTGCAGTTTTCTAAGTTGATCCTTTAAAAAAATTGGCAAAATTAACCGAAATCTGCAAATTTTAGTATATAGTCCCCCACTGTTTTCTATAATATTTTGTTGAATCCGAAACAGTTGGTATCGCTGTACTGCCGTGCAATTAAAAAATCAATTTAAGCGACAAAAATAAAATAAAAATAGAGATCTTTATGTATTTGTCGTCTTCGTATGGTATACTAGATATTGCAACCAAAAAAAAAACATGTTTTACCAGTTTTTTGCCTTTCTATTTTAAGGTTCAAATAGTTGACAAACCACTTTTTTCGGAATCAATTGTGAAGTACTTACGTTGTTTTTTCAATTGCACTGCAGCGTACTGCTAATACGCAACATTTTGATATTGTATAAAAAGTACCTTCATCGAAAAATAGTAGGCTATTAAACACAAAACAGTTTAATATTAAGTGTTGGCTTCAAATTTAGTTTTAAAACCTCACAGTTCGCCTATAGTTTCAAATCAAAATGAATGTACTTATATTATTAATTTATAATGGTGATAAGAAGATCACAAATGCCTTGTTTGCTAAAATTTTAGGAGTAAAGTAATTTATACATGTTATTTAATTACAGGTTATAATCTAGGAGGGAACTTTTCAAAATATCAATTATTAGTATACAAATTTTTTTAAATTTCAAGAATAAAGTAATTGATTTACAGGTCATAATCCAAGAGGAAATTTTTCAAAAGATCAAAGTCAATTATTAGTATACAAATTCCCCCCCCCCCCCCNCCCCCCCCCACTGGTTTCGAAGATTTTTGAGAAAATCAAATAAGCAGTGCTTTAAAAGGTTAACAATGAAATTATTCGTAACTTTTTTCTTTAGACATTAATATCCAGTGGAAATGAATTCGCATATGACTGGAATTCACGAGCAGCAGTCAGATATATAACAAATCAACTGAATTCGTCTGAAGTGGATTTTCAAGCTATCTACCTTTCGTTACCACTGTTAAACAGAAAAAGTCTTGCTGATATTGCTGAAAGGAATTGCTCAGGAAACCCGAGAAATAATGGTAATTAAAAATTCAGTTAATTAATATTTTTTTTAGGGCTGCCAACTTTCTATGAGTTTCGAGAAAATTTCTTCTAGTGGTAGCTAAGTAAATGTTTTTAGATAAAATTCTTTATTTTGCAAATTTGATTCAAAGGTATTTGATATAAATTATTCAAAAGTTCATATAAAGCGCCATTTTGTCCCAACTATTTCGCGCTAGATTTTTAAAATATTTTATTTTACATTACAACAGGCGTCGAACAGTCGACCCAATTCTGAGTTTACAACTATCAATGTTCATGACAACTCCGTAGTCATGTAATTTTGAACCAAACCCAAAAAACAAGGGAACTCCTAGATTGAAACAAATAAGTCTTCCTGGAGGACTTTTTGATCTAACTAACCCGCATTTGTATTACATGCAGAGGGAAACCTTGAAATCCTCCCACAGTTAGCCAGACGACAAAGGAATTCTAATCCATGATCCATCTACCACTAAGGGTATTTTGCGTCAACATTGTGGTTGGTGCAAGCCACCCGGCTTGCGTTAGAATTCGAATCAACCAACCATCACTGGGATTCAACCTGACTACTATTGGAGAACGCTCTATCCCCTGTAACCTAAAACTGTGAAAGCTTTTCTTTCCAATTGTCTACCAGTCAATAGAATTTCTTACAAAAAGTGTAGTAGTTGGCATGCCTAAATTCTATATAATGTGATCACTGTCCTTAAGAGATTAATCATTTTCTGCCCTATATTTTCACTATTGTTACTTTTTTTATATCAACAACTAAATCTAAATAGTTAAAGGATTCAATGTCTTTTTCACTCGCGAAAAACAAGAACAAAAATATGTTCCTTTAATAACTTATCAATTACATTGGAATAAAAGTATTAATTTTTCCCCCTTATAATATTGCAGAAGACTCCGTGGATGAACTCAAAGGATCTAAAATTGAAGTACCAGAGGGTCATGTCCGATATTCGCTATTTATAGGAGATAAGAAAGAGCTGATACGTACTATAACATTTCAAATCCCTGATAATTTTACAGCTTATCAAGTGATGCTGATGGCAGAAGTCCAAGATTTAAAATATAAGTAAGTTCATAAAATGGGTTGATATAAATTTAATATGTCGCGTGACAATTTCAAATATGAAAGTATTTATTTTTACAAGATTCATTTCTTATTATTTTACAAAATTAAAAAAAAAAAAAATAAAAACTCTTAAAATTTAGAGTTTTTAAAATATGTTATCGTGAATTCAAAATGCATTTCAATTAAGAAAAGGTAAATTAAAATACCCCTATTTTGACACAATTTTAAAAAAGTAGAATCATAAAATTCTCTCGATGTAAGCTAAAATTATGTTTAAAAATAAATAAAATTTAAAAAAAAATGCGTTTTAAAATCGGTTTTAACAAATCAAATAACTGAAACCCCATATAACTTTTATGAGACGTGGGAGCGATTTTCGGTGCCGACAGAACCTTGACGAAAGTGATGTTATTAAAATCTGACAAAAATAAAATTATTTTCTCAGTTCCATTTTGTCTAATCTCTCTAACCATCTCAAGTTTATCCTTTTAAGTTTTCTTTCTTTCCTAAGCTCGTTCATTGACAATGGAAGAAATTACGATTGACAGTACAAAATAAAAAAAAACAATTAACTTAAATTATAAAAGAAAATCTTAACTTATATTGTAACTTAAAACATCAGGCACAGAGAACTGGATGAAATTTGAGTAATCTAGATAGTCGGAAAATGAGGGAAATTTTGCAACTGCTGCAAGCTATAAATTCTGCTTGCAACGATTATGAAGAAATTGAAACTTGCATTGTAATTATGCATAGATGTGTAGTTAGAATTTGAGCCTTTAGGCTGGTCGGATTTTCGATTAACTAGATTCTGTTTGTCGATGAACTCTTTTTGTACTTGCAAAAATTACCATTCGAGCTTGCATTGTTAACAAAGAAAGAATTTCATTTGAAATTTGATTAATTTAATCTGATAAAAAGTAGTTAAGATTACCTAGAACGGTAATTTCTATTGAGCACTAATATGAGTAAAAATTCTGCTTGTAGCTGCTAGAAAATGCTTAAAGCATGCATTATCATTAAGCACAGAGGTACAGTTACAAATTGAGCCTTGTAAATAGTTGGAGTTTCAATTGATGATAAATTCTGCTTGTGTCGGTTTCTAACCGACTAAAACTTGTTATATCGGCCGACAAAGTTATACTATGGATGGTGTTTTCTACACTAGGGAAAGCTGCAAGCTCGGTACCGCCTAAATTTTCGTGTTACTGTTTCCGTTGTATTTTAAAGCCATTTGGCATCATTGTGTTTTGAGATTCTTGCGAATAATGTATTTGATTACTCATTACTTGTGTTTACAACGCTAAAAGTGTTAACACTAACGTAAGATAGTGCACAGCTTGCAACAAGAACAAACAGTAATAAACTTATGGAAAGAGGCCATACCAAGACTGCCAAAAAAGCGAGTTATTCAAAATCTAGCAACCATGTCACCTTTTTTAACAATATATCTCTAAATAACTAAAACAAATTTTCACTTCAAACTCACCAGAATTACGAAATAATATTAATATCTTATGAAATACGGCAGATTTGAGCTCAGAAATTATCTAATTTTTTTCTTTTATTGAAAACAAAATTATCCGTTTAAAAATATCGCCTCGCAGATTAACGTGCAGTAAGCAGCTGCAAACTTTCTAACCGGAACTAGAGCAGGCATACAGCTCGAGATTGTTATTGTTTACATTTGTACTGAAAACACCATCCATACTTAAAATTTGCTCATTCTAGCATGTTGCGAAATCTGTTCAGCAGCAAACGAAGAAACAGTACAAAATAGTGAGCACCTCTAGCGGCAAATGACATTTCCGGGCATGGGTTCCTATGCAGATCTAGTCTTGTTGATGTGCCTTTACTCCCCGAGAAGTTTCTCGCAGCATTTGTGCGACACCCTGTTGCATATGGATGGGTGATCTTGTAAAGCTAAGGGTGGTGGCGCTAGTGGTAAAATTGCTCTTTCAAGACTTCCGGGTTACTGCTTCCGATATATTTTTACGCCGCAGATTGAAAAAACGCGCCATCATATTATTNAAAAAAAATTTAATAGTATATTTCACATGTACCGAGTTCTTTCTTTCAGCCTTTAAACTTCAGCATTATCATAATAATATTATAATCATTAGAATATTTTCTAATAAGGCTAATTTAAAAAGATATTTTTAAAGACATTTTATTTAAATGTAGCCAAATAAGGGATAAAATGCAAAACATGGCAAACATTAAGAATTATTCACAATGAGATATAAACTTTCCAAAATTTTTTTTGGCCTTACGACCTCTGAGAATCAATACATTTCTGAAAGCTCTTATGAATGTTTAGATTTGAACCCAAATTACAATAACAAAACTGCATAGAATATTAGGCTTGTTCACACATCGCCTCGTAGTCATAACATAAGCGGAGGGATACACCGGAAATTTTATAAATTTCTTCTGGTTTAAGGACGCTTGTTATTGTTTACATTAGACCACCCATCCATAAAATTTTAAACTAAACATTTAAACAAAAAAAAATTAATTAAAAATATTATTAGAAAAAAAAAACTAGAGCTTCGAGAGAGAAATCGGTTGCAGATTTGAACTTAGCAATACATAAGTATCTAACATTTTTTTTTTTTTAAATTTCATGAAACAGGAATTTTTTTTTTTCTAATGTAATAAATGAGTACCATACTTTTTATTTACCAGATTTCTTTGGAAAAGTGTATCTGGCAAAATGTATGTGCAAGAAATCTCACAAATACCAAACAACCCCGAAAATGGAAAGTTCTGGCTTCTATATTTGGGCTCTAATAGCAGAAAACCACTTATTCCTTACTTTAATAAGGGTAACATGTCTTTATATTTTAAATTACTATGCTTAAAAAAGTGATTTTTAAATTTCGTTTATACTCTGTTATAAATATAGTACCATATTCTTTGTTTAACCCATTTATGATAAGCATCCTTTTAAAAGCATGGTTCTTTATAAAGATTTATTTTGGGGAAACAAGATATCTTTGTTTAACAATTAATATATTAAAAATGCAAATATTAATATTTAAATCTAAAAATCAATCTACTCAAAGCTAAAGAGGTAGACAGTGGTAGGAAATATCTAATTGGTATAACAGGGTAGCTACAACCAGGTAAAATTAAGAAAGTGGTAAAGAAAAATCAAGGAATCAAAATGTTTTTATTAATATCTATCTACCAAATAAATGTATTTGCAAAATGAAGTAAATATATTAGGATGTTAAAACTGATCAGACTGAGAAGTGGTTTAACGCGCTGATATAAATCCTGTAATAGTGATCTCAGGGCTGTCAACCGAAAAGTATAATCGCTGTGCCAGCACAATAAAACATCATACGTTTATCAGTATCTCTATATGCCGGTCAAGACAAGTGTTAAAGTGTACTGAAGTAGAAGTTTGTAGATCTGAGGATTGAATTTGCACCTCTATAATGAATGTTTGATTATGCTGCATTATCCTTTAACATTTTGAGAATGTTTAAGTACAGTATTTATCCTCTAATTTTTCTTCCAAATCACGCACTCCACCAGGATTTTCGTTTATCTCATTCAAATGTACTATTGTTGAAGAAAAGGATATAAACCCAGATAATTTAATACATTAATACAAGATTTTACATTGTGAGAACATTTATTACATTATACCATACATTAATACAATCATTTAATACGAAGACTCCCCCTGTAGTAATAGGTATGATTTCTATGGCATTCAAAATTTGGTGACAGACTCTCCAACGCAGCTCAAACAACGTGAACATTTAATACATTGTGAGAACATTTAATACATTATACCATACATTAATACAATCATTTAATACGAAGACTCCCCCTGTAGTAAAAGGTATGATTTCTATGGCATTCAAAATTTGGTGACAGACTCTCTAACGCAGCTCAAACAACTAAACTAAAATACTGAACTTAATAATAAATTGCACAAAATTAAACCAGAAATAAAACCATTTCAAACCAGACAGTTCATTATTACAGGGTTCAATGTAGTTACCAAACTAATAATTATACATTACGAATTGTTATAAATAATTATGCTGCTTTAAATATAAAAATAAAATTTCTCGAAAAATGTGAGGGCATTGGCAACAGGGTTCGTTGATTTAAATCACGATTTAAATCATGATTAAAATCAAATGATTTTTTTAAAAAAATCATTGATTTAAATCAACTGATTTTTATATATATATTATATTGATTTTAAAAGTTAAAAAACAGTGCTTTAAATTATTGATACTTTTATTATTTTCTTTTCTTAGTTTTAAAATTTATTTTAAATAAATTGCTGCATTAATTAATTTTAGTTAACGAAATTACTTTCTTTCTTGGAGTGTGTTAAACACATTTAAAATTACATGTTTAAAAATCTTTTGATTCTTAACATTGAAAGTACAGATTAAAGTAAATATTTAATGCTGTCTTAATATAGACTTGCATAGCTGTAGAAAGTAAATAAACATGCTTTTTTTTCAAAAAGCAAATGTTAATTAAAATTCTACCTTTTGATTAAAAAAGCATGAAATTCAAATCTACATTATAGTTTATTGATGGAAATTTCTATATTTCCAAAGCTTGAGGTTATATTAAAAAGAAATTACCTTAATATGCCAAAAATAGAAAAAAAAAAAAAAAGCTGAGTTCAGATATTTTTTTCCTGATATAGTGTCATTCTTCCCTATCAAAGTCTATTTGAAGCAGTAGGGTTATTAACTGGTTTTTATTTTTCTTCTCAATATGTTTACGGTATCTTTGAAATTATCAGATTTTCTTTTGTGAAAAAAAATTCCAATGAGTACATAGATTTTTTTAAAAATGTTTTTTAGCTTAACTTATGTATTTTGATAAAGGATTAAAAATGAATATTTTAACATAAAAATATATAGATTGAATATTTATTTTTTGATGAATAACAACATTTATAAACACAATCTATTGCATTTATTTTGCCATTTTATAAATCATGAGAAAAAAAAGAGATCACAATTTTAAATTAAAATTATGCTGTGCTAATTGAAACTTTGTATTATTAGTTAAAGTAGTATTCTTTAAATTATCTATTTTATCTTGTCTTTTAATTTCAATCATGCCTTTGTATCAAAATGGTCGCTATGCATTAATGAAAAATTATTTTAGTAAGTTAGAGCTTCTAAAATATTGTTATAATATAGTTTTAATATTAATTTAATTTTGATTAAACATTTATAAAGTTTTTTTGATCGTAAATTAAAGCTTTTATAGTGTATTTAAATAAAAAAAAAAAAATCTGATTTAAATCAAAAAAATCCGATTTAAATCAAAATAATCCGATTTTTTTGATTTTTTTAAAAAAAATCAAAAAAATCACGAACCCTGATTGGCAACCATAATTCCAAACTATAATATTCTAAACACCTTATGAATTATACTCCATATCAATTAATAATTTTATTATCCCCTTTTAGGTCCTGATGAAGTTAAACTGATGCATGGTGATCATCTAATTATGTGGTACAAGACTATAGAAATTTAACATCTGGGACACAAATGAATCTAGAATTTCCTGTGATTTTCATCTTAAATTAAAACATAGAACAAAAGATTACGGGGAAAAAAAACTTCCTAACTTAAAGATATTTATCTTTCATATGTACAATAGGATAAAAAGAAAAAAAAATTTAATTTATACATCAGAATGAATATTTCAAAAGAAAAGCTTCTGAACCAAAAGACATTTATATTATCTATGTATAACAGAATTGAAGAGAAAAAATATCATTTATACTCATTGTAAATGAATTTTTGCCCTATTTCAATAAAAACGAGATCTAATAAATCATTGTATGATATTTTATAACTGTCAGCGAACCCAAATTTGAGTGTAAAACTACTAATGTTCAACTCTGTAACCTTTGAACCCAATCCAGAAGACGGGGGAACTCCTGAATCATGTATTTAGAGAAATTTGTCTTCGTGGAGGATGTTTTGCTGGAAATAATTTGCATTTAATTTCCAGCAAGGGGACTCTTACCCATGATCTGTTTACCACAGAGGATATCTCACATTAGCACTGTGGTCAGAGCAAGCCAGATGTAGAATTTGTATCGATCATCCAGCACTGGGATTTGAACCCGGTTAATCTCATTGGAAGGCGAATGCTCTATCCCCTGAGCCATTGCGCCTTCATTGTATGACATTATAGAAAATTATGCTTCTTTGTTCCAGTCATATTAGAACAGTAAAATTAGGCAGAACCTTTGAAACTGATATATATATATTCAATTAATGCATTGTTTCCTATGCATTTTTTGTATTACACTGAGAACTAAATAAGATTAAATCTGAGTCAATAAGAAATAATAGATACAGGAAACTAGAAGTGTTTTAGAAAAAAAAAACACATTTTTTGATTTATACCCATTAACTGTACCTGATGTTGTTATTTAATTGTACCTGATGTTGATATTGCTTCCTGTCTACCTAGTAGCTATCACACAAAGTATTGTCTACTTGAAGTTTTTTAAAGTTGATCTGAATTAGATTAAAACCAAGATCATAGGACTCATTGTTCAGAGGTTACAAAGGTTTTATGAGTGATGAATAAAATGTTTGATTTATACCTATTTATCTTGCTGAAAATATAGCTGCAGGAGGCTTTCGTGGTTTTCCTCTCCATGTAACGCAAATGCTGGTCAGTTCCCTCAAAAAGTCCTCCATGAAGGCAAATTTGTCCCAATACTTGATCCAGGAATTCCCTAGTCTTCTGGATAGGGTTCAAAATTACAAGGCTACGGAGTTGAGCATTAGTAGTTGTAAACCCAGAAAATTGGTTCGGCTGTTCAACTACGGTTAAAAATAAAATAATGGGTCCTAGGCACATCAGTGGGTTTTTGGAACATACAAGCCCTCCCACTACTGCAAACTTGTAACACCAGTTGAAGAGGTGGAATAAAAGACTAGTAGCCCAGATCCAAAATAAGGTTTTCCCGAGGGAATCTTCATCAGAAGTCCTTGAAGAAGGCTGTCATGCAAAAGACGATTATATTACAATTAAAATTATGAATTTAAGTTTTCCCGCAATATTATTAATCATACGATTTTTCTCGTAGTTTTATACAAATTAGACAGCAAAACGTGTATCCAACTAAAAATAGTAAAAACAATCTGTTATATTTAAAAAATAAAACAATTAATTCTTGTAAATTAATCAATATATTTAAGACGGGTTGAGTTAAAGATTTAAAGGTTTCAAAAATATAATAGGTAGGAACTCAATAATAATAATAGAAAAATATTGAAATAGAATAAAATTGTATTTGGATATTTAATATATCAGTTATTTGAATAGAGCAAAAATTATCGATTTCGAAGTAAATAACAAACAAATTAAAGCCCAAAATAGAATATAAATGAGTTAATAAAATTAAGGGGAACGCGATCATTTACGAAAAGCGGTAGTACAAATACAAAACAGAGATGTAATGCAATAACCTTATAGGTTCAAAGGTCAAACTATGTGAGGTTGACCTGAAACAGATTGGCATCACCAAATTTTAAATAAGGTAATCACAATGAAATAATCAAAATTAATAATGAGACAATGACTTGTATCCAAATACAAGTATAACATTTAAAGCAATAAATAAATGTTTCGGGAAAAAAAAACAGATATCCCAAAACAACAGCGTACTCAGCGCATACAGAAGATATTGAAGAAGAAAAAAAAAAACTCAAATAAAATGAACATGCTTTTAAGTCAATAAAACTTTCATTTAAGTCAATAAAATTATTTCATAGCTAATATTATTTTTTCATCACACACTGACATTTCACTTGATCAGTTTCATAAATGCATTTGTAAAATACAATATCACATCATTAAATTTTGATAAAAAATACATTCTGTAAAGGATAAAAAGTAAAAAGTTTCTGTGTAAAGAAAATAAATAAATAGTAGTAGCAAAAATTAAAAATTGTCAGGGGAATTTATGACACTCGTTCCTTTTTCAACTTCTGTTTGATCAACATTTTTTGCCTCTCAAGAGTTTGAAGATCCACAGAGTCTTCATCAACAATATAACATGGTTTTTTGTGCATCTAACAAATAAAAAAATAATAATAAATTATTCCTTTAAAACAATTATACAAAAAAGGTACATAATGTTTAATAAAAATACAAGGAAAAAAAACAAGATCCAGTACTATGCTTCATAAGTGACTCTTATGATCATAGTTTTTAGAAGGGTCTTTTTTTATGGAAATGATTTTAAATGTACAGTGCACACTATGGTGCCTGCTTTTTCAAGTTTTTTTTTTCTGGAGTAATATTTAAACATGGCAAAAGTGGCCAATCTACAAGGACATTATAGATAGAATTTTTTTTTTTTTTTTTCAAATCAAGGAATCTCTTCTATGAAAACTGGCCTTAAAATTTCACAATTTTGATTAAAAACACAAAAATTTCACAAGAATCAGTTAGGCTAAATGGTTATACAGTAATTTTTTTCTATGTTTATTTATTTATTTTTCTCTTTGTGTTACTCAATAAATGTTTTCACATCAAGTTCCGAAAAATTGAAATCATACATGCAATATTCACCAAAAATATTTTTGTTTTGTTAAAAAAAAACATGAATTGCAAAATTTTCTTTGTGATTTGTTGAGAGAAATTAATTTAGATTTATGGAGCTTACCAAATAATATTTATATAAAAAAAATCTAACTCTTTAAGATTAACACACCTCAATTTTTTTTAACATTTCAGCTGCCTCTATATTTTCTGGAAGAATTTTCAAAGCAGTACTTGCAGCTCTCTTTGAATTTTCTAATTCTTTCCTCTTTAATAACCTGTAAAAAACAAGACTAAGAATGAAACAATGTATTGTGAAAGTGTTGTTTGCATTTGTTAAAATACAAACTAAGGAAGGTGCCCGCAAACTAAGGAAATGGTCAAATACCTTCGGGATTGATCTTGGATCAAAATTCAAAAAATAAACTAGTGAAATGTTTTTTTTAAAAAAATACACTTAACAATGTCAACTACTCCTTGATAAGGCCATGTTTGACATGGCCTGGTTTTGCAGGCAGGATTTTAAGGTCAGTAGGCAGGATTTTTTTTTTTTTGTGCAATCAATCTTGCAACCTGTTTTTATCAATTTGCAATTATAGCACCATCTGTGAAAAAAAAATGCAAAACCCCATGCGCCCAATGTCGATTCATTTCTGCAGAATCCAAATCTGCAAGAAAGAATGTGGTTTCTAATTATGATTTTAAAAGTTTCCCCTAGTAGGTGAATTTGGGAATATAGATAGGTATAGTTGAAAACAACTCGTGGAAATATTTTTTATATGTACTTTCAGAACTTTAGTACAATGCATTTTTTTTAAAGACACTTGCTTATTTCCATAATTCTTGGACACTCTATAGAAAAAACTCTCTTTTCACATTTTCCATAATTTACAAATAGTTGCAGTGACATAAAATTTATCTTGTTATACATTAACATCAATGTATAACAAGTTACATGTTAAACATTAACATGTTAAAACATTTAATGCTCAGACAGAAAAGTGATCCGATACTTCCTAACCATGTTTAATATACAGAAAATTATTCATGCAGAATTTCCAAATTTATTAAATAACTAACTTTATTTTTTATTGTTTCATTTTGTCATTGAAATTTTTTTTTATTGAACTTAGATGCCAAATTTTAAGTTTATAAGAGTTTTGTTAAAACTGGCACATTAATTTAAATTTAAGATTGCAGAAGCACATTTTTCCAAGAAGTCTTTCAGATATAAAAGTTTGCAGATATCTTTCCGCTTATAATCTCTCCTATTTTTTGGGGGGGGGGCTGTTATTGAGTGTCACCATGCGAATACGTAATTTTTATTAGATTCAGTGTAAAGAAAAATTATCAGCCATTGACTTTTCAATATTTTTTCTATTGTATTGACTATAGTGTTTTAAAAATGTATTAACTACAGTCAATTCGCTATAACTCGAAGTACGATAACTCGAATATTACTATAACTCGATTTTTTTATGAGGTCCCGACCCTTTTATTTTCAATTTCATGTTAATTATTCTCGATTACTCAAATTTTACTCCCTTTAACTTGATTTTCTTTGGATCTTTTAAAGCAAGAAAAAAAACCTAGGAGCTGATATCTTGCCCCTTCCTTTGCAACACACACACAATGTCTTTCGCACTCTTCATGGAGAAGCTAAAGCTGTCCCTCTTGAAGTATGTGAACAGTGGTTAAATGAAACGTTACCAAATTTACTTCAAGGATACAGTTAAAATGATGTTTTCAATATTGATGAAATGGGTTTATTTTTTAAATGTCTTCCAAATAAGACTATGATGTTTAAGGATGAAAACTGCTCAGGGGGTAAAATGAGCAAGGAACGTTTGACTGTCCTAGTTGGAGGAAATGCGTCTGGGACAGAGAAATTGCCCTTACTTGTTATCGGAAAATACCGAAATCCCCGATGTTTCAAGAATGTAAAAACGTATCCTTTGGATTACAAGTCTAACAAAAAGTTTTGGGTGACATCAGTTTTATTTGAAGACTATGTAAGAAAATTGGATCGGAAATTCTTCACTAGAAAAAGAAAAGTGATACTCTTCATGGATAAATGCACAGCGCATAGTGATCTACCTAATTTGAAAGCAGTGAACTTGCAGTTTCTCCCGCCAAACACAACAGCAAAGTTGCAGCTGATGGACCGGGGTATCACAGTGCTTCAAACAGTTTTATCGCAAATTGCTTGTCAGAAAAATGATCTTAAATATTGTAAGCATTTAGAGGATTTGTAATTAATAAGCATTAATTAAATGATCCGACAATATTTTGAAAGTTTAAAACCGAAACTAAGGGTAAGTCGAACTTCCGATATGTCGAAGTTTTTCGTCAGTCCTATCAGCTTCGAGTTATCGTGAATTCACTGTATTTCAAAATTTAATTATTTAAATGAATTAATTTGCCTGTTTTAAAATACAGATTTTAAATTCAACAAGTTTAAAAAACGGTACTTAAAATTTTGAACATTTTTCAGAATCGGTTTGGTTTGAAACATTTTAAGCGCCGATGCATGACACTTTTGACAATTTCAGAACAAATATGTGCACACCAGTTGAACTGTTGTTGATATATTTTACGAAAAGCAACCAAACTTATATGTCATGATTAATAGGTTAAAAAATCTGCAACTTAATTAATATTCAATATTTAAAAAAATGTACCCTTTTGATCGATATAAAAATATCTTCGACAGACACTGTTTGGATTCTTGAGCACTAGGATTTAAATGAAGAGCTGTTTCAAAGTCAGCCACAGCTTTGAAGAGTAGTGATCCCCTCCTCTTACGTCCTTTACACATGCCGAGATACCTAAAAAAATAATTAATAAATAAATAATAAATACACAATTTTTCATAACTAAGCAGTTAAAAATTTTAAATATAAATTAAAATTGTTTTAAAAAATTTAAAAGCACCCTATAACTTCAAAAATATGGATTTTTGAACAGTACTGAAAAATCCACATTTCAGATACTTCAAACCAATAGAAATATCAATGTTACAAAGTAAAAATTGAAGAAAAAATTCACTTAATATCATTGTTATTTTTGAGCATTGTTTGGAGCAGATTTTCTGAAATCTTATCCTTTTTAATTGTACAACAGTAATACATAATACTTTTAAAGTAATTACTTTTAAAGCAATAAATTTCTCATGAAAAGCATAAAAATTTCAAATAATGACTTGAAAATCAAGAAATAACTTGAATAAGAAGAGAAGAATAAATAAGAAGTTGAAAGGTTATAAAGAAGTAATGAACTTACTTAAAAGCTAATAATTTGCAATCAATATAAAAAATTTTAATAGGAAAAAATAAATGCTTTAATGAAAAATGAATAAAAACACTTATTTATTTAAAATATTTGGAAAATTTGGTTTGAACATTCTTTTTTTTCCTCCGTGCAAACAATAAAATTTCAACATTTGTAACAGAATGTTGAATTTTCTGTAAATTCGTTAAAAAAGTTCTAAAAATAAAAAAATTCTAATATCTAGCCTTCTAGAATTTCTAAAAAAAATTCTAAACATTTCAAAAATCATTAAAGTTTCTCATGTTTTCAAAGGCTTCAAGCCACAGTGCAAATGTTGGTACTGATTGTGGTTCCCTTTTTTTTTAATTGCCTCTATCAGTATCACTTTTCATTTTTTCAACTTCCGCAATCATTTCTTAAGTTGACAATCTAACAAGTTTCAACATTTTCATAAAGTGAAGCATAAACATCAAGCATGATGTTTGAGACGTTTTCCTGAAACTGCCAACAGTTCCTCATTTTCTTCTTAATCATCAGATGTTACTGTTTTTCTTATAAAAATGAAATAACTTCATTTTATTTCTTTTTGTTTTAAATATTAGTAGAATTTATGAATGATAGATGTGGGAATCAGTTAGTTTAAAAAATTATCCTGGATGCTATTGACCATGGATTTCCATCAACTATTATTGGCTCAAGCTACAGAAAATTAATCAAGCAATACAGCAACCTCTTATACGAACTTTAACAATTTTATTATTGATATGTATCAGTCAAAAATCAGACTCGTAATTGCTAAGATTTCTAATAGGTTTAAGCAAACTTACGTGAGGAATAAATCCTAGACTATGTCAACCTTCATCTAGCAAAGGGTACCTCAAGATCGAGTCGAGTTAACATGTCTTGAATACAAGTGATTTGGTATTTAATATTTTTAGTGGTAGTTACACCACAGGGGAATTAATCTTAGACTATGTCAATCTTCATCTATCAAAGAGTACCTCAAGTTAGAATCGAGTTAACATGTCTTATATACTAGTGATTTGGTATTTAATATTTGTAGTGGTAGTTACACCACAGGGGAATTAATCTTAGACTATGTCAATCTTCATCTATCAAAGGGTACCTCAAGTTAAAATCGAGTTAACATGTCTTATATACTAGTGATTTGGTATTTAATATTTATAGTGGTAGTTACGCCACATTTAAAAACCTTTCGCCACTTGTTTGTCTCTTTACTTTTCTACTGTCAATTTGTTTTTAAACACAGAGAAAACTTCTTGTTTACACGAAGTCCAGCAAAAAGCTACCATATCTTAAAACACAGTAACAATACAAACGAAAAACAATACAGGAAAAATACTTTTATTTCTGAACAACAAATAGTATGCCATTTTACATTACTTGGTTAAAAAATTATGCAAGATAAATGGAGCCCTTCATTGTTAACACACAAATAAAGTCTTTTCCAACTACTACCTCCTTAAGTGCTTGCAGAAGGTCGGCTAGACGATTTTCTTTTCAGTGCAGAAAATGTTTTCCATCCAAATCGAAGTCAAATAGCTTGTTGAGTAGTAATCACATAACAAACATTGCAAAGATATTCCTCCACAGCAAACGCACCATATTTACCACGCAACATCATTCCGACTGATGAAAATAGCACATTTACTGTTATCTATTGATTGAATAGTTTTTCTATCTGGAACAGAATCCTATTGGCTAAGTTTAAACTGAATGTGAAATGCTCGTTAAATTATAATAATGACACAACTGCCATTAGCAATAGATTCGTCTACATCAAATGCACTATGCTCACCCAACCAGGATGTTTCAAAAATAGCACATATACTCTGCAGTGCAGTTGAAAGAACAATCTAAGTACTTCAGGATAGATTTCGAGAAAAATGACTTGACAACTATTTTCTTTTTAAAGAGAATGCCATGAACACTAAAATTGAATTTCACATAGAACACAATTCATTTTTGAAAAAATATTTTTTGCAATATGTAGCTTATAGATAACTAATATTTAAACATCACAATTTACAATTTTTTGTTGCTTACATTTATTTTTCTATCACACTGTAGTACTACTATCAATCGATAGCTCCTGTACTGCCATATCCCTAACACAACTCACAAAGTGTCACCTACAATCCTTAAATGTAGTAATCTTTCCGCCAGACCTGGTAAAACCGAAACAATAGTAAGTCCATTTTAGTACTTTGCCTATATCACTTTTTACTTTTAATTATTTACTTGTGTTTGGTCTTATTCGATTTTGCATTTAACAAAAAAATACGTAAGAAATAATGCTTCACTCATTTAGGTAACAATGTTAGGTGTATAAAACCATTATAAATTCTAAATTGTTTGTTCAATCATTTCTTATTTCAATTCATTCAATTTAGTATTGAATATCTACATTTGAAACAGTACCTAATTTGCCTATATTGCAACTAAATAGAAATATAAAATGTGAAAATAAGTAAGCCAAAAACAGTATTAACTGATACAATTAGTGTAAAACAATTAATGTAATAATATGATTTTAGTCTTGTTTTATGTAATTGACTGCAATATAATTTACTTCCAGTTTTGATATTAAGAATAAAGCTTTAATATATATGGTTTAATTCTGGATAAATTGATTAATGACATGATTAATTATTGACAATCTTCCCTTCAATATTTAAAAAAAAAAACACACAAATTTTTTTCTGCTGAAAGGAACAAAAAACTGTTCAAATTGAATCTACAATATTACTTGATAAAAATAACAAAATATTGGTAACAATGCCAGGTGCATAAAATCATTATAAATTCTAAACTGTTTGTTCAATCATTTCTTTTTTCATTGAATTCAATTTAAGATTGATTAAGACCAACATTTGAAACAGTACCTAATTTGCCTACTTTGCAACTAGATAGAAATATAAGATGCGAAAATAAGTAAGTCAAATACAGTAGATTTATACATAAAAGTCCATGTAACTTTTTAACTACTAGGTCAGGGATGGCGAACCAATGGCACGCATTATATTTACGGCATGAGACACAATATTTTGGGCACGCCACCGATCACAATTGCTATTGCACCATGAATTGTACTTACACAAATGTTATTACACTATGAAGCATATGTAACAATTAAATTAAAATTTACAAAAAACAAATATTAATAAAAAGATTAATTAATGCTAAAAAAAAACAATAACCATAAAAAACAAGCTAACAATAAATAACTAGCAAAACATCAACAGTCCTGCTTAAACTAATATTTTACAACCTAATATAAGCTACTTGTCATTTAATCTGTAATAACAGAAGTCCCACTGATATTACTTTATGTTGAATTACGCTTAAAACTGAGACATTGCAAAATTCATTTTCTTTTCAATGTAAATAAAGAGCTTTGAGTTGATAGTATTTAGCATTATTTTCCCAAAAATCATGAAGTCAAAATTATTTGACGGCACGTCTGTGATTTCATTAAACAATTTTTTAGAAAAAATGGCACGTTGGTGTATAAAGGTTCGCCACCCCTGTACTAGGCCTACTGACTTGCAACTGTCTAAATCGATTCTGTGAAACAAAATACATGTTAAATAGTTATCAACTTGTCTTGGTAGCTGTGTAAGGAGCAATAAATACAAAATTGTACTTTTGTAATTAAAACCCATATAGCGTCAAAACTATTGATATCGTGGTTGGTCACAACCATTTCAGGGTGAAAGAATGCATATGAAATAATACCTCATTTGTCTAAATACCATTAAATAAAATCTGCACCCTTTTATGTCAAAACAAAACACTGTATTTTATATGATTCTTATGAAAACTAAATGACACCTTGATAATAAACAAATCCCAATAAGTCCTGGTTTGTTATCTTGAATGAATGGATTTATCCCTTTTTATAGCTTAATTTGACTGAACTGTTTGTTTTGATTTCAAAAAGAACATGGACTTTTGTAATCCCTCAATATCACTTTATGTAACAGCCACCACAAAAAGAAAAATACATAATTAATAGTTATTCTAAATAAAGAATATAAAGAATTTCATTTTATGCATATTAAAAATTTAAATAGTAAAAATAACTCATGCTTACATTTTACCTCGTAATTCATAAAGTTTGTAATTTTCGGGCCAGCAACTTGCACTCTTTTCAAATTCTTCAATAGCAGTGTGGATCTCAAATTTCTCTGCAAATTTTTTAGCTTCTTCTAGACTGCAAAAGATTAAAATGTATAAATATGCATTACAAAGAGAACTCACTAAAGTCTAGAACCATCCTTTTAATTCTCCAATAGCTACAGCTTTACTTATACAATTGGTGTATAGAAGATTTTTTACTCTACAAGTCGTATGCATCAATCATTTTGTGCATCAATGTGAAAAGCATCTTTGGGATTTTTTATTAAACTATCAATAATCTGAGCCGCGATAGCTCAGGAGATAGAGCGTTCACCTTCCAATGAGATGGACTGGGTTCGAATCTTAGTAATAGTTGGTCGATATGAATCCACATGCGGCTTGCACCGACCACAGTGCTAGACGGATCATAGGTTAGAGTCCCCTTGCCATCAGGCTAACTGAGGGAGGTTTTCCTCTCGAAGTCCTCCACGGAGGCAAATTTCTCCCAACACTTGGTCCAGGTGTTCCCTTGTCTTCTGGACTGAGTTAAAAATTACAAGGCTACATAGTTGAATATTGGTAGTCGTAAACCCAAAATTGGGTCGGCTGTTCAACGTTGGCAATAAAATATAAAATAAAACTATAAGTAGATCTGCCAGGTGGAACAGACAGTCTATATGGCATTGTCTTAATAGATATGACATTGTGAATTATATTGATATGACATTGTAAAAGCATTGACACTAGCTGTTTCATCATAATTATTTTTTTTAAAAAAAGAAGTTATCATTGATTGTAACTAATAAAATAAAAAACAATCCTTACTGATTTTGTGCATCAATGTGAATAGCTTCTTTGGCATTGTTTATTAAACTATCAGTAGATCTGCCAGGTGGAACAGATAGTCTATAAAGAAATATACAAATATATATATATGCATAGTTTTCCACAAGCAATATCAAAATTATTTGAGGAAGATAATACCTGAAAAGACAGATTAACTTCACTGTTATCAAATTTAAAAAAAAAAAAAAAAAAAAAAAAAAAAAAAAAAAAAAAAAAAAAAAAANTTTTTTTTTTTTTCATGATAAATAAAAAGTTTGAACCGAATAATCCACAACATTAAATTTAATCCAGAAAAGAAAAATAGGTTGCAATTTTAAAAAGGAAAAAAAAAAGGTATAAATTACTTTTATATTGAATTGGAATAGTACATCAGAATAAAGTTTGAATAAAGTGAATGTAATACTTGTAGAAAATATAACAGTACGTAACAATTATATAGGAATTTAAATCAATATATTCCTGTACACATGCTTAACATTGATCATTACAACATATTACTTAATGTATATAATCACAAAAAATACAAAAAACTAAGCTGGATGAAATTGCTTTATAATCAAATCTCTTAAGCAATTTTCGATTTAAAGAAGTAAACTCAGTCACAATTATAGACAATATTTCATTAAAAAAAAAGATGTTAAAATTTCAGTTGAAAACATTTGTATCAACAAAATTTTACTGACAACTCAACTTATTTATTAACTCTAATTTTAATAAGTATTTTCACAAACGATTTCCGCAAGACAAGTAAAATACAATTACAATTTAAAAAGATATTTTTTTTACATTTTCCTATCGATGTAGACCAAAATTCTAGATAGAATAAAATAACAAAATGAACAAACAAAATTCTAGATAAAAAAACATTTATTTCTCCAATCCTTATAACAATTCCTCTCAAAAGTCATTTAAAAAATTTAAACAATGTTTGTGACTGTATACATGATCAATTAATAGTAGCTTAAGCTGCCATCCAACCTAATAATAATCAATGTTATGCTGCTCATGACATAAATAATGGAACCATAAAAAAAAACTTACAACTTTATTAAAAACAAGCACTATAAAATTCAATGCATAATTTTTAATTATTTTGAATGAATAAATCAAAATGCAAGAAAAAAATAAAATTAATAAACTTACCCATCTCTAGTGGAGCAAAAGGAATATATTCTATAAGGGTCAATCCCCAAAGATTCTATTTGCTTTTTGAAATCACTATTGTGGTAAAAATGAGGATGACTTCGTAAGTAATTGCTATAGCAAGAAAATTTCTGAGTCTTTTTAAAAGATCTGGAACAAAAATATATTTAAAAATTAATGAATTTTACAACATAAGAAATGAATAAAAATAATTAACACCTTTTTAGCTATCAGAAGATCAAAATGATAAAGAGAAAAAAGTATGGCATTTAACACCACTAAATAAATCACTAAATATGAACACTTATTTTCAAAAAAATGCCCACCGTTCACCATTTTTACTATAATTTATAACAAAAAGTTTCATTATTTTTTACGCATATGTATTTTTTTTTAAAAATTTAATACAATAAGATCTATCAAAATACTTTTTAGAAATTAAATTATAATACATTTAAAAAATAACCGAAAATATTAAGTAACTAGAAGACAAAAACTGTTGATGCTTTCCTTAACTACTTGCACAGTTACATAGTACAACACCCCTTTTGACCTTTGAATAAAAAAATTATGCATTTTGATGTAAAAATAATGCTCTATTTGTGCCATTTCCATAACAAATTTTCTGAATATATTATTATTATGACACACAAATTACAAATAGCACATTTAAATAATCTCTTTTTAATGAGTTTTAAATTTACATAAATTTTTTGGGCAGTTTTTGCTACAATTTTGCCATCTTTTTATTTTTTTCCTTCGTTTTATTATTTTATTACAACACGTCAAATTAGAAAAATGGAGGAATACGCAAATTTCAGAAGTTTTGCTCATTTTATAACTGATTTATAGAGTACAAATATTTAAGAATAAGTTTTTTTAAATGGAAAAAAATTACATATTAAAATTACATTAGTCTTCCTTTGAGATAAAAAAAACATCTACAGTTGTAATTAATTATTATATGCGAAAATAAATAATCAACAAAATAAATGAAGTTAGGGACGATAATTTCAAACAGGAAATATTGCTCTTAACTACCAGAATCGCTAACTTTCATCTGATGTGACACGAATTTGCATGAAATCAATTTCATTATTAGACAACAGATGAGCTGAACTCAAGCTAGGTTACTTTTTAGTTTTAACCATAAAATAATTTCTCCCATTGATAAAAAACACACCAACAATTATTTATTAAATTTAAAAATGAATGACCACCAAAATGTATAAAGTTAGGTGAGATAGCTTTCAAGTAATGAAGCTGTGAACTATTTGCATACATAATAAAAAGAATATATATAATATGTAATAAAAAGGATATACAGGGCTGCCAACTTTCTATGCTTTTTGTACAAATTTATTCCAGTTCTACCCAAGATTATGCTTTAATGTATTATTTTTCATTCCTTTGAACTTATTTTCCACACCACTACATATGAATTATTTAAAAGTTCATACGCAACGTCACTTTGTTCCAGGTCCTTCGTGGTGAAGCTTTTAAAATGATGGCAAATTACCAAAAATTCTGAAAGCTTTGGTTTTAAAATGTCTACCACTCTATAAAATATTCTGCAAAAAGCATGGTAGTTGACAGGCCTGGATATATAATAAAGAGAAAATATAATAAAAAAAGATATATAATAAAAAAGATATATAATAAAAAGGATATATATTAAAAAGAATATATGATAAAAAAGGATATATAATAAAAAAGATATATTGCATAGATAATAATTATTGTCAATTTAAGGCCAAGAGAGAAACATTACAGAACAAACTCCTTGTTTTGAAAACCAAATTTAGTTTAGTGAAAATTCCCCAGCAAGTAAATGTTATAAATAACAGTGATCCATTGAGAGAAAAAAAAGTAAAGAGTTCAATAAAATAATACAATCAAGTATTTACTTCAAACTTACTTGAGAAAAGGTGGCATATCCTCATAAGACACAATACCCTAGTCAAAGAAAATAAATAACTCAGAAAAGTTTATTAAATAAATAAATCAATAACTTAAAACTTTCTGTAGTAAGTTATGTGATACTATTTTAACATAACATCTAGCAATAAATTTATTATAAAAGTTATAATAATTACAAAATATATTTACTAGATAAATAACTTAGAAAATAACTTTAACTTTAGTATGTTTACCAATTTTCTGCATGATGTCTTGTAGTTTTGAAAAAATAATTTATTTGACAAAAAGGGTTAGACAATAGATCCAAACAAACATGTACAAAAAATAAAGAGCTATAAATGTCAAATATACACTATTTTGACATTAGTTTTGAGTATATCAAGCTTTTTTTGATAAGTCCAGGTCTAAGAATAATTAAATTTATATATTTTAATTAATAAAATTTAACTTACACAATTAGAGTAAAACAATTAATGTAATAATATAATTTTAATCTTGTTTTGTGTAATTGACTGTAATCTAATTTACTTGAAATTTTGATATTAAAAATAAAACTTTAATATATGATTTAATTCTGGATAAATTGATTAATGATATGATTTGATTACTTAGCAACAATCTTCCCTTAAATATTAAAAAAAAAACACACACTTTTTACGGCTGAAAGGGGCAAAACTTTGTTCAAATCAAATCTACAATATTACTTGATAAAAATAACAGAATTTTAATCAATTATTCAAATTTAGATGCAATACAATCGCCAGAATCGACTATACTGAGCTAAGCTATTAATCTATATTTAACACAAGGTAGTGAAAACAATTGGTTTTATTAATAAAAAAGATTACTGAAAACTATAATGCAAATTAATTAATGGAAAGTGTCAAGTTTAATTTTTATACTTGCCAAATTAATAGAGATCCTTTCAGCTGCAGTAAGCCGTAATGAAGCATAATTTGTTGTGACAAATCTTTTTTGTTGCGTAAGTTTGCCTAAGACACAAACTGAAAATTTAAATAGCACAATTTTAATGTTTAAAGATACTGCAAAATCAGAGCGTGCTCTGGTTATAAAAAATATTTACAATTCATTCAAATCAAATGATTAGATACTTTAATCTAATTTGACAAATATAAACACAAAGAAAAAAAATTATGTTCATGGTTGCCCTTACATGAAATAAGATTTTTTAGTGAATAATATGCTAATTTTATAACTTTTGTAAAAGTGCATTAATTATTTATAGATGTTAGTTTATGCATTATCCATTTATAGGAAAAGTTCTATATGCTGTTCAAAATGTCAACAGGCAGAGAAAAACTTTTCAGAGTTTGTCATTTAATTTTTGACAATTTCAAAAATTATCCCACTCTGCTCATAAGTTTGGGCTCATAAATATACGCAAAATATGATAATATTATTTGGTTTTCATAATACTAGGTTGAAAAAATCTCTCAAAATTAAAGATACTTTATTTATTTATTAATTACTTATTTATTTTTGAAATATTCAACATATTTATCCATGTTAAAGCCCAGAATTTCTCAGCAAGATAGTACCCACAATAGGAGTATGGTTATGTTTTAAAAAAAGTTGTCATAAAAAATATGGCTTTCTGGTTCTGGCTGAATCCAATGTTTCAATTTAAACTATTCTTACAATATTTATCTTTTGCATCAATCATTTTTACTTTTTTCAATTTTATCCACGTTTTTCCAAAGCCTTGGAAGAAATAGATTTTTTCCAGACAAAATCCTAATCCTGCCCAGAATATCATAAAACGAGGAGTAAAATAAATTTGATCACGCTGTTTAAAATTTTAATATATCTTAATAACTTTAAGTTAAAATTTACAGTTCTGGGAATTTCTAAAACATGTTAAACAAAAATAATATTAATTAAGCAAATACCTTTAAGCACTTCAGAAGATTTGATTTCATTTCTGTTCAATCGAGTCATTTCCAGATTCTTGAACATATAAACCTAAAAGACAAAATGAAAAAAAAAAAATTCCTTTAAAATAAATAATATGATATAAAATTTTAAAACACAGTTAAGATATTACATATGCAATCAAGTTTTCACAACAAAATGCATTAAAAAAAAATTTACAACAAGAGTTAAAATCTTTAAAATTTCCAAAAACTAGCAGATTATAAAATGGGTCGCATTCATTTCATCGACAATCACTTCATCGACAGGCCGTTCCATCGACACCACTTCATCGACAGGCCATTTCATCGACTAGGTCATTTCGTCGACAGGGTTGTTTCATCGACAGGCCACTTCGTCGACAGGGTCATTTCGTCGACAAGTCATTTCGTCGACAGGGTCATTTCCTCGACAGGGTCATTTCCTCGACAAGGTCATTTCGTCGACAAGGTCATTTCGTCAACAGGGGTCAATTCGTCGACAATATTAAGAAAAGATTATTTTGTAGGCAAAGTCATGCGTAATTTTGAAACTAGTTTTATGATTTTTTACATTAGCACTTCCCTTGCACTTCTTTGTAATTTAGTATATTTCTGATGAAATTTTTTAATCCTAGCCTGATGCAAAATCCTAATAGTATGGTGAGGTTGACAGAAAAAAGCATTTTATTTGAAAATTGCCTACTCCTCTATTCACATCACGTTGCAAAAACGAAACATTAATTGTATTTTACACATTTAATTTGTATATTACAAATTTTTTTTCTAGTCATATTTAACACATTTATTTCTAAGATTAATTTTTAATGTACATTATTGTAGATTAGCATCGCAAAAGCAATTGCAAACCTCGCATTCCCAGTTTATTTTATTCCTTATTTAATTAATTATTTATAATGTTTTGGTGTTTAATATGTATTTTATCCTATATGTTCCCTAAACATTTATAAGTTCTTGTACCGTATAAAATAAACTTTGTTAATGTAAAAAAATAAGAAAAAACTCACAATGGTATGTGATGCAATCGAAATGATATAAAAAATGGTTTCAAATCAGAGGAGGGGAGGAAACTTGTTTAATTGGTTTTTATGATCTAAAACATTTGGGAATAAAACGCAATTTACTACGATATAACAAATAAATTGACTTTTGTGTTTATAATTGAGGAGAGTTATCCATATGCATCTGATTTTATTCTCATTAATGTTTTATTAAAAAAAAGTTTAGCAAACTTGTTTTTTTACTCAAATATTAAAATGTTTTTCTTCTCGATTTGCCAGGGAATAAAAATTTATTTAAATAAATAAAATTTGCAGAGAGAGTATATATTTTAAAGGCCAGCACTAAGGAAAGTCCTTTAAAAAGTGTAATCGGAAATGGAATAGTTTCTAAATATCATATTTGATATGTGTTCTGAAAAAGAAATGTTAATTTTTGTTACCAAAACGAAAAATGTGGAATTTTGAATGTTGATAGAATTTTTTGTGAAATTTTGCCCTTGTGGTTTCTGCTATGCGTGAAAATTTTTATAAATTTTTTTCTCATTTGTAGTCTACTTAACAAACTTGATATTTTAAATATATATACATTTTTTATTTTAATTTTTTCAGTATTTTAGTTTTGAACCTCCTGGCTTGTTCAGGTCGAAAATAATCAAACTTTTGATTGGCGAAAAATCGTGCTAATAGTGGTCAGTAAATGTTTGAAAATTGTGTTTTCATCCTGTTCAGAAAATCAGTAAAAAATTTCAGCAATTATACTAGTAAAAATTGGTCAAATTTTAATTGCAAGATTTTTCTTTTCTTTTTTGTAGAGTAAGAGTTTACGTTTAAATTCCAGGCTTGACTTTCTGTTAATTTTCTTTTAAACAAAATGTGTCTAATTTAAATCCTGCGAAGAAAAAATGAATTAATTCATCATTTATTTACTACTATTAATATTCTTATTAAATTATACTATTATTATTTATTTATAATAATAGTATAATTCAAAAATAGTATAATTTGATAGTATTAGATTAGAATTTAATAATTAATACTATCATTAAATTTACTATTCATAGAAAAAACGCATTTTGTGAGGATCAAACACTAACACTCTTGCGACGTTACGCGTGTACTTCTTTTTGGTAAGGTGAGTAGCACTTTAAATATTGTAGGAATCTACAATCACCTCGGTAAATACCTTAACATCAAGTTTGCATTCCTATTGTTCTTCGAAATCTCTAATAGTAGTAACGAAACTAAGACTCAGTTCGATTGTTCGAATAAGCATATTCCTGTCCTAATGTTAAAGATGCTGAACAAAAGGTTTAATTAAGCAATTAAAGTGAATTTAGTGCAATTAAAGCAATTAAAGTGAACATTAAGAAATTACTTTTCCATTATAAAAAACCTAGAGTTTTTTTTCTACTTATGCAGATATAATAATTATGTCTATGACTATTTTAATTTCTGTGAGAATTCGACTGAAGTCTATGTTTTTGTTAAAATTTATGTAAAAATTTTGAAAATTTTTACAGCAATGAATTTAGCTTTCCCCTCCTTGAAATAGTGTCTAAATGTTCATTGCAATATATTTTTATTACTTTTAATTCTAAAAATATATTTTATTAATTTGATATCAAAAACAATTTGATTGCTAACGTCACACTATATTAACTGTTGACCACGGTCCAGATATAATGCTTGGTAATGTTCTGAAGGCAATCCTTACCTATCTCGAAAATAAGTGTCGAGCTATTACGATTTAGATATAGAAAAGTAGATTTCGATGCATCAACCGTTTAAACGCTTCTCAACTACCTATGAATTAATTTAAAAAGCGAACTTCTTTTAGTCCAATTGGAACACTGCACAGCCATAAAGAATTTTACTTTAGTATAAAATTTCAATAATTGCATTTTTCTAATTAATAATAGAAAATATATAGATTAAATCTCTAAAATAGTTTCAGAATTACGCATGACACCATGAACGAAATGACCCTGTCGACGAAATGACTTGTCGACGAAATGACCCTGTCGATGAAATTACCTTGTCGACGAAATGACCCTGNGCGTACATTGTGCATATAACTATTTTTTTGTACATCCACACATTACACGCGCATAAGTATTAATAAAGTATGTTGTTATTCAAGTACATACGTACGTTGTAGATAAGTACATACGTACGTTGTACATAAGTACATACGTACGTTGTACATAAGTACATACGTACGTTTTACATAAGTACATACGTACGTTTTACATAAGTACATACTTTGCGTGTACATATATCGATGTACATATAAATGTACATGCATGCATTTTATTTATGTAACTATGTGCATATATTGTGCCTTTAAACAACATTCTTACATATTGTACGTAAATACGTACAATTTCATATACATACGTACGTTGTATATATGTGCTATTATCGAAAATTTATACAATGTATGTACTTAAGTACATAAAAACGTATACATATTATTTTCATATACGTTCATACATATATTGCCTGTGTATACGAACATACAAAACATTGCATTTGCATACAGACTACCATACATGTGTGCATCACACCCATTCTATAAATACATAATTATGTGTACTAAGCATTTACGTTTTGTATTATGTATATTACAATATAATTATGTATATCATACATACAAACAACATTTGTGCAAACATAGCTCCAACGTTTGTGCATTGCCAGATTGCAAAGAATGAAATCTTGTTAGGAAAATATTTTAAATCATTCTTGAAAAATTTCCCGTTCATGTAAGTTCATTTGAATTCGCTACTCGCTTTATAGAATATGCTTTATGTTTCATTCTGTTTTTTCTTTATATTTTATTTTCTGTTTTTACGTGTTATTTTTACTTATTGTGTTCTATTTTATATGTTGTAATTTTTTTTTGTAAAATTCGTTGAGTGCTCCTCACACTATTGTATTGATATATTTTGCTTTGGTTATATTGATACAATATTAGAAAGCACTCTTTTTCGTGGATATAATCGTGTGTACTGATGAAGAATCTTTTATTTTCCCGATTTTTTAAAATTTTTGTCCTTTTCTTCGGATTGTTTTTTTTCTTCCGGTTTCTTGTTATTTTTATTTCAATTATTATTCCCCCCCCCTTCTTTCCTTGTTCTGTAATTTTTCCCTTGTTTTCTCTACATTTTGAACTTATTTTATGAGCTCTATCTACTTGCAGCTTATACGCAATAAATAAAACTTTCTTTTTTTTGTTATTTTTATTATTCAACTTTTGTGTTTTCGAACTTCGCAATTCTGCGGTTTTAGCACAAAAAATTGGTAATTTCAACGAGGGAGTAACAATGCAGAATGTTAGGGTACCGAAATTAAAAATAGTTCCTAAAACGTAAAATAAAAACTGCTTGCTCTTGTGCTTCAGGCAATAATACTTTTTCTTTTAACTATGAGTATAAGTAGAGTAAGTAATGACTTTTAAAGAGACAGTTCAAATAAAATACTAAAGCTTACAAGAAAAGAAAAGTTATTACAACAAATTGACTGTTTTGCTTTACAGTCTTGGACCATTAGCAATGCTACTTTGGAAAACAAAGCACAAAAAAAAAACAACACTACTCTATTTTTTTTAAATTACAGAATAAGATCGTTATAAGTTTTTTCACCTACAGTAGAGAAATCTGTTTTTTTTCCTTCTTTTTTTTAAATGTAATGAAGCATGATCAAATAAGACCCTATGTGTTTTTAATTTGAAATAAAAATAAAACGATCAATGTTATGAAATAGATTTTTATTAAGTACTAGCCGCCTGAGGCGGCCAGCTGTCCGCCACGCTAAAGGTTTTCACAAATAAAGTTTTTTAAAACATAGCAGGAAATCTGAAGATTAGTGGACAATTAAAGTGTTCCTGTCCTGCAATTTCGTCTTCATATCCAGATGAACAGCGACAAATATATCAAAGCGAAGCGTTCTATTTACGTATCGAATATGTTGCCACATTTTTAATACAAAAGTTAAACTTTTTTCCACTTTTATAAATGTAAACTAATGTGAACCTTACAATTAAATTATTAATTCCTTCGTATATTATTGGTTTAAGTTGTCGAAAATTAATATTTCAATTAAAAGGTTCGCATTAGCATCCATTTATAAGAGTGGAGAAAAGTATATGCATTTTTTAATTCGCGATCGCAACGAGCTATAGGGGGCGTTGTTGTATGAGACTAATACCTGCGATTTCTATATGAACAGTCATTCAGTTACTCTAGAGACGTCGTTAATGTAGCACGTAGCATTGCAACGTTCCTTCTTTATTGTGGCTAATTAAATTTAAAAAAGAAAAATGCTTGATATTCTTTCTTATGCAAACGAAAACAAAATGGTATCTCTTTTTATTAGAGAAGGAATA